CAGCCGAGCGGTCACGCTCAACTGTCAGCATACCAACACAGCAACATAGTCACATGGCAAGGCAGTCAATGGCCATCACCATTGATGTTCAAATAATAAATAATGGCTCGGAATTTGAACCCAATAAATTACCTCCACCTCCACACCCACCTATTCTCCACCCGAACGATAATCCGCGACAGCGATCATCAGTGCCGCAGCCACAACGTCTTCCGAATTTTGTGCAAGGATATCGAAAACAGCGTCGCACCAAGCAAAGCTCACCTAAAATTTTACATGCGAGTAAGACACTTCCACATGAGGCCATGGGACATGGAGACTTTCGAGACGGGGACAGCAGTATTGATGACAATGAGTCTGTGCTTTTTGACGAATTCGAAGATGCGAGTTCAGTAACTACAGATGATTCGTTATTCGATGAACACGATAAGTATGCGCCTCAAAGCGAAGCGTTGGAAGACTGCAGCGCACCGCCTCCAGGGGTCACCGCGCTGATCCTCTCTACCGGCTGCACCACCGCCCTGAAAACAGGTATTTACGGTATAAGGAGCATCACCGTCCTGAACAAGCGCATTATCCGTATGGAGAAGTGGATATTTACCCAGAAAACAGTATGTTTAAACGAAGACATGATCGCCGCCTTCACTCGGCGCCTGTGTCACATCTTGTAATTTCGCCGCAGGCACACCCAACATCCAATAACCGACGAGACCGTCATGGGGTTCCTCCTTCCCCCCGCAGTACACATACACTTCCACCTCCGACGAGATACGCCAATACCCATATCCGGGACGATATCGGCCATGACAAAAACTGGGAGCGTGCCAAGCATGAACGAGAACGGTCGTTAGGCGATTACGTGCGCGATAAGCGTGGACGGGAACAGGAGAGCCATCGTCGACGCTGGGACCAGGGCGTTCAAGTGCACACACACCACGCTCAACCCAAGGTCGCTGCAGATCATCACACCACTCCATTGCCACGAGAGGACCGTTTTGATCAATATGCAAGGATGGCGGATCTTAACCAAATGGATGGGAGTGGTCCGCCATATCACCAACATCAGGATAAATTAGTTGACGATGCATTCAACGACCCGGACCCCTTCGGTCGTGAGAGAGTTAACCCCGCTCCCATGGGTTTTGGGCCAATTGACAGTGAGCGCATGGCTTCCCGTCATCATCCTCAGATGGAGCAACCACAACAAAACCACTATGCGACGTATCGCCGCTGAAATCGGCCGAAATTGTGGTGCAATTTTCCCTTGCGTTTCACCCTCCTTTGCCTGAACATGTTGAACTTTTTCTCCCTTTTTGGTTTCTTTTTTGGAGTTTCTATGGTATTTGGTAAGGATATGCTAGGTTTGGAACAGGATGTGCCAGCTCAGTATTTAGGACTATGGCTCAGGTTGGATGTGTGCATCGTGTTATATTATTATGGTTGCCTGCTTCCCCCTGGATTGGTTAATGTGCAAAATGACACATGTTTGCAATGGTTATTTGTCTTGGTATACTTCTTTTTTCTGGTTATTGAAATCGGTATCAAAATCGACAGATCCCTGAATACCACAGCCTCAACACGAGCTAATGTTATATTTGTTACTGATCATTGTGAGTGAAGTATTTCTTCTATTTTATCCCTTTTGCTGTTTTATTCTCTATTTGATTCTTGATGCCTATTTCCAATATTCTACATAATGATTCCATCTAGTGAGATTTCAGGCCAAAAATGTATCATGCTGTCTTGCTGTATTTTATTCTATTCTTTGCTTGTGTTAGTGATCTCTTCGTCCGGAGTTCAAGTTTGTAGTTATTTATGGAACTTATGAAGCTTTATTTTCTTTTTCAATTTGCCATTTTCTAATCCTGTTAAGTAAATAATGTGGCCACAATATAGTGAGTGCTTCTTGAGCCCGTATGAGTCTGTAGAAGCTGTTCCACCAGCATTCTCGATGGCGGGGCAAGTGCCAAGAACTCCCCTATTATGTCATTCCCATACCTGCCCCGCCTACCGGTTTCTGTCGCCGATCCATATTGCTTGAAGCTTTTCCCGTCAGTTTTCCGACTTCAACTGTTGCTCACATTCTCTGTTATTATTCCTCCTGCTCCACATTCTGCTGCATCTAAGGTTCGGTATCAATATCCGGCTTTCTCCTCGCTCGGTTCAATGGTTTCAATTCAATTGCGACTGACGGACAGAGAAAACTTCTTCCTTCGACTCAGGGCTTTCATCACGAACCAGCTGATAATCAAAATTTATCTAATATAGCTAATCTCGCCATTTCCTTCTCGCCATTTCCTCGTCGCTGGATATAAAATCGTCAGTCAGTCACCATGGCTCGCAAATTCTTTGTCGGTGGAAACTTCAAAATGTAATCCAAGTTCTATCCCCTAGTCAAAAACCCGCATTCGCTGGACCCTCCCCGAACAACTTCTTCTCAAATTACCCATAACAAACTAACCAATTGCTTCTGTCCTCCAATATCCCTAGGAACGGCACTATACAAACTATAACCCAAATCATCGCCAACCTCAAATCCGCAAGTCTCGACCCCAATACTGAAGTCGTCATCGCCCCACCTGCGATTTACTTGGTGCTAGCGCGCGAGCTTTCGAACGGGAAGTTTTCTGTTTCTGCGCAGAATGTGTTTGATAAGCCCAACGGTGCTTTCACTGGGGAACTGAGCGTGGATCAGCTCAAGGATGGAAAATTGAGTGGACTCTGGTCGGACACAGCGAACGAAGGGTTATCCTGAAGAGGATGATGATGTGCGTAGATATGTCCTACCAACGTTTTATCCATCTAGGGGTTTCAGGACGTGCGTTTCTTGCCCCAGAGGTGGTGATCGTAGCTACTATTTCTTTTCGCGAAGAAGTTTCTTCTGACTAATTCATGGGAGTCTAGTTCGTTGCTCGCAAGACAAAAGCTGCCATTGATGGCGGCCTTAGTGTAATTCTCTGCATTGGAGAATCTCTTGAGGTACGCAGTTGCCCCTCTCTGTGGCTTCTCGGGATTTCTGCCGCTTTGAAGACAAGAAACAAAATAGAGATTTTAACGTTACTGGTTCATTTTTATCGGCGGGAACTGACGTCAGAATTTTCCGTATGTAGGAACGCGAAGCTGGCAAGACCTTGGATGTTGTGACACGCCAATTGAACGCTGTTGCCGAGAGGCTTTCTTCTCGGGACTGGTCGAAGGTCGTTATTGCCTATGAACCAATCTGGTACTGAGTTCACGCTCCATATCGCGTTACCCAACTACTTCACACCCTCTTGATCGTTTTGCAAAATTTTCAAAAAACAAACCAACCATGCTGATGGCATTTTCTTTCAATTCCTACAGGGCTATTGGAACGGGCAAGGTTGCTACCACGGAACAGGCACAGGAAGTCCATGCTTCGATCCGCAAGTGGCTGGGTGATAAGATCTCCGCCGATACCGCAGAGAATGTCCGTGTGATCTATGGAGGAAGCGTTACGGAAAAGAACTGCAGGGATCTGGCACAGCAGCCCGATGTTGATGGATTCTTGGTTGGAGGGGCTAGCTTGAAGCCAGCCTGTATGTTATTTTATTATCTTCAACTTTTGTTATTCCTTCCATCGCCCTCTTTTGCATGCCATGGCCCCAACATGTTATATTTACTAACGCCAAGACAAACAGTCGTCGATATCATCAACTCCCGGCTATAAAACAGTTTTGCGCCATACAAATATAAAATATAGAGAGACTGGCAAAGTCATGTCGAGCTCCCGTTAATTAAATTCGTTTTCCACGGCACTGCCAGACGACATGACAGCTGGATTCTGCAAAATCCTGGAAATTATCTTGGGAGACTTTCTTGCCTTGTTTTAAAAATAACTAGGGAAAACCAATGGAGAGCGCTATCATCTCAACAGTTACAGGGGAGAGCTGTGTGACTTGGAATCTTTGGTAACGGTAAAAAGATATTGGTAGTAGACATGTAATTCTTGACAGGAGGTTGATTACGGTGGATGTTGATGAATGACGGTTTTTCGTCGTCACAGTTCTCATCGTTTCTTCTACCTCTTTTACTCTGCTTCGTTTATTATACATAAGATCCATATGACGCAGGCTCTGATCGTTTCAAGTCGTAACGCCAGTTAAATTTTCAAGGATAGAGAAGTGGCAGACTTGGGCTAAGAGAACCAAATGTCCGCCACCGGGAGCAGATGGCTGATAGATTTTGTGTCTTGGATGGAGTTCCGAGTTTCGTGCATCGCAGGGGCCCTTGTTGATAGGCAGAGCGATTTCAAGGCTGGCAGCTCTGGACCATTGCTGGCTGGGCGACCGATCGAACCAATAACACGCCTGTTGAATAAACAGAGGTCTTAGCACTATCAAGTCAAGGGCATCGCGGAATGTATTGATTGACTCGATCGTTTAACTAGTTAACGGTTATCTTTATTTAAGTTACTCGTTAGGCCTAGCCGCCTGGCGTGGAGAGAGAGAGCGAGGACACACCACATGATTCAGCAACACCGTCAGCAGGGAAGGTGAGAAGTAAATAACTACCATCCAGAATAAAAATTCGAAATGCATAATACGCCATAGTTGTATGCGATCTTGTGCAGTCCCTCGTTCCTTGCCATAGACACAGACACAGACACAGACACAGACACACATCCACAGCTGTCTGGTGTGCGGCTTCCCGCCCGCGCTGCGATTGGTGGCTTCCCGTCCAGTCGCTGATCCTCCTCCGTCACCTCCAGCTCTTGCATCTCCTCGACAACATCCAACATCCCAACTTGAAGCCAAGTCGGCATCAACCACCGCCATCTCCCATGACATAGACCCTGTTCTGTTCTGCTCCAATCACAAGACTATCTCTGCTACTGCCCACATTCACCATTCAACTCCCTCCCTCCCGCCCTTCCTCCACACACCCTCCTCTCTCTTCTTCCCTCATGCTGCTTGCGCTACCCTACCCCAATCACGCGCCTTTCCTGCCTCTCCCCCACAGCATCTTCTTCAGGTTCCCGGGCGCCTAGCCAGTCGATCCCCTCCCACAAAGACCTGGAAGTCCAAGGTCTTCCACAGTCTTCCAAAGCCTGCCGGCCGCTGGTTTCATATCAACCGACCCAGTTGCTTCTCTCGTCCCGTCACCGCTCCCCGCTCCTCTCCAGCATCCAATCCCGTGGGAGCGATATTATCGAAGCGAACGTAAATATTTACATAAAGAAATAAATAAAAATAGAAATCCTACCGCGGCTACAGCTCGCCTCGCCGTTTCCAAGCTGCTCCCCTTTCTGGCCAGTCATCTCCGGAGGATCCATCTGGTCCCTTGGGGACTGGTCCATCGTGCGCGAGAGAGATGGGGAATGCTTGCTTGGCCTGCCTAACAGGTACCTACTCCAAGATCGATAGATGGTGCCGTATATCTTATTTACTGGCTCCCATCAAAGGTCGATCTAGGGATGGTCTCTACGAACCCATCCTGGCTGATAACGAACGCGAAGCTGTCGCTGATTTGCTCCAGTATCTCGAGAACGTATGTTTACTGACACCTCTCTTCCCACAACCCCCGCCTCCCCATCGGCCTTCTATCGCTCGCTGCAGCACCATTTCATTTATTGCCATACTGATTTCTACATCAATACTAGCGAAATGAAACCGATTTCTTCAGTGGAGAGCCGCTCAGTGCTCTTAGCACCCTAGTATACTCAGACAATGTTGACCTCCAACGAAGTGCTAGCTTAACGTTCGCTGAGATCACGGAAAGAGGTTCGTCTGTCCCTATCCGGGAAGACCTGTGGGGTTGATGGCTCCTTGCTGCATATACTGAGTTAGCCTTTTTGTGGTTTAGATGTCCGGGAAGTCAATAGAGAAACCCTTGAACCTATTCTATTCCTCCTCCAGAGCCCCGATATCGAAGTACAACGAGCGGCGAGCGCAGCTTTGGGGAATCTCGCTGTCAATAGTACGTATGGTCATATAATGACTCCCTCCCCCTTCCTTCACACCGAGAAGCTCACCATATTGTAGCGGAAAACAAGGTTAACATCGTCCTGCTTGGGGGGCTGGCACCTCTAATACGGCAAATGATGTCACCCAATGTCGAAGTACAATGCAATGCCGTCGGGTGCATCACCAACCTAGCCACCCACGAAGATAACAAAGCCAAAATTGCGCGATCAGGTGCTCTTGGGCCTTTGACAAGACTGGCGAAATCAAAAGACATGCGTGTACAACGGAATGCCACCGGGGCCCTACTAAACATGACCCATTCCGGTATGCCTATTTATTATTATTGATGCAAAATGCACACAAAGGTGGCCCATACAAGAGTCTAATATCTTTCGTTTTTCTTCTTGATTCTAGATGAAAATAGACAGCAACTAGTCATCGCCGGTGCCATACCTGTTTTAGTGCAACTACTCTCTTCCTCCGATGTCGATGTTCAGTACTACTGTACAACGGCGCTTAGCAATATTGCAGTGGACTCAGACAATAGAAAGAAGCTCGCACAAACAGAGTCCCGCCTTGTTCAATCCCTCGTCCAGCTCATGGACTCTTCCACTCCCAAAGTACAATGCCAAGCTGCCCTGGCCCTGAGAAATCTTGCCTCCGATGAGAAATATCAACTTGAGATAGTCCGTGCTCGAGGCCTTGCACCATTACTCAGGCTGCTTCAGTCATCATACCTCCCCCTCATCCTCTCAGCAGTTGCATGCATCCGAAATATTTCTATACATCCCCACAACGAATCGCCAATTATTGACGCGGGATTCTTAAAACCACTCGTGGATCTACTCGGTTCGATAGACAATGAGGAAATTCAGTGCCACGCCATCTCCACCTTACGGAATTTGGCGGCTAGTTCAGATCGCAATAAGGAGCTAGTCCTTCAAGCAGGTGCCGTGCAGAAATGCAAGGAACTTGTTTTGAAAGTGCCCTTGAGCGTGCAGTCTGAGATGACGGCTGCAATTGCAGTTCTCGCTCTTAGTGACGAGCTGAAATCGCACCTTCTAAAACTCGGCGTTTTTGATGTTTTGATTCCTCTGACGGATTCAGAAAGCATAGAAGTGCAAGGAAATAGTGCTGCTGCGTTGGGGAACTTGTCTTCCAAAGGTTAGTTTATCTTCCTTAATCACTCAATTTATATCTACAATATAGAACAGATGGAAACTAAATCAAGCTAGTTGGTGACTACTCTATATTCGTGAGAGATTGGTCAGAGCCGAACGGCGGCATTCACGGATACCTAAGCCGGTTTCTGGCGAGTGGTGACCCAACTTTCCAGCACATCGCAATCTGGACTCTGCTCCAGCTCCTTGAATCCGAAGATAAGCGGTTACAAGGCTATATTACTCGCTCAGAAGATATTGTTGATATGGTTAAGGCGATTGCTGATAAGAATGTCGAATCTGACGAAGAAGAAGGCGGTGAGGATGATGAAGGTGAGGTTGTCGCTTTGGCGCGACGGTCACTAGAGTTGCTTGGCCAGGGGCCTAAACAAATACTCGTTGAAGGTTGAGCAATGATTGGCTTCCTTGTCTAGCTTCATTGGTAGTGTGGTGCTCACGGTATTGTGGTATTTTCGACATCACCATATATCTTTTCCCTAATAGTGTTTATTCCGCCCGCTACTCATATTTTCCATCTCGCAAGGAGTTCCGCGAGGGCATGTTGCTTGCGTTTGGTGGCTTTTGTTTTTGTTTTTACATTTGCTCTATAGGGGTTTAATCAACCCTCTATCGGATATATTTTTTTTTTTTCGTTTTGTGTTTGTGCTTTCTGCTTTCCTTGTGCCCATGTTTCTTTCCCTCCGCTCTCCTGTTACGTTTGTTCAAGACAAGAGCCAATACTGGCTCTTGGAAGAGGTTCTCTCTTCTTGTATTCTTTCTTGTCTGCCTACGCCGATCAGTTTTTATATTCTTCATTTTTCCTATCCTTTTTTTCGCTGTTCTTTTTACACATATTCCCTTTGGTATATCGTTTTTCTTCTGTGTCCTTTTTCTTTTTCTTTTTTCTTTTTCCTATTTGTTTCTGTTTTGTATTCACCTTTATACCTTTACTTTCTTCCGTCTCCATTCCACTGATGATAATGGTGAATTAGTATTAGCTTGTGAAAAGGTTCCAGTAGGAGATGATGACCCCTGGCTGTTATTGAGATGAGTGGGTAGCATAAGCATATTCCGATACGCTCCATGCATTATATAATTAATTTTTTTTTATTAGCGAATGAGGTATATAGTGAGAATGGGAAAGGGAGAGATAGAAGGATATTGCTGTTTGTAGTTAGTAGTTAGGAAGAGTTCTCTGATGAAGGGGATGTGACGTGCTGAAAAGGGCAAGAGAATCTGTGTGTTATTATTCATAGGACAGCTAGTATCTATACGTTTGTTATTCAAAAATGCAGAGACAGTAGATATGAGCAATGCATTGCATTCTATGTACGGGTACTTATGAGATGAGGATTGTTAGTCCCTTGTTGAAGCTGTCACAATCCCTCGTCTTTACACTTTATTCATTGGCCTGAAGCTGTCAAAGCTCCGAAAGGGATGATGTCATCTCCCGCATGTTCCATAGCATTAGACGCGCGTCTACGATAGCCGCTCTCAGTTTCCAAAAAAAAAAAAAGACTCGAATACCATCGAAAATTTGTATGCGCTGGCCATTTAAAACCACCCACACCCCCTCTATAAGAAAATCGCCCTGAAGGAATAACAAGAATTTTTCAATTGGGGGATTTTCTCTTGAGTGTTCTAGCCTCTTTTGCTTCCTGCCAGCCAGCGATCGTTTGAGCTTTTGCCCTACGTTTTCCCCATCAAAACGAAGAAACAATTTTAGATGACGGCCACGGGCTCTGTTCCATCGATTGCCGTCCCAGGCCAGCGGCTTGGTCCCATATCATCGTTCATTCCGGGCCCCGGAACCCACATCCAACATTCTTTTGTCTGCGCCTCGATAGCCGGCCCGGTCGTTATACAGAAGGGGGAGGAGGAGTTGTCGAGACAACAGTACCAGCAACAAGCAATTAGTAAACAGCAAAGAACACTTGTATCGGTCGCACGATCCTTTGCGCAGACACAAACGGTTGCGGGGAATTACACAGCTGTGACTGGGGATAATCCTAAGAGCAGCAGCACAAACTATATACAACAACAGCCGCAAAAGCCTCCAAACACAACACCCTCCACAACCACACCCTCAACGACGAAAAGACACAAAAGATACAAATATAACACCCTCCCTGCCGTAGACTCCGTCGTCCTCGCTCGCGTCACCCGCGTCCAGAAGCGCCAAGCAACCCTCTCCATCCTCGTCGTCCTCGAAGACAACCCCTCCTCCCCCTACCCCGCCACCACCACCGCCGCCGCCGCCGACGAGCTGCCCCACTCCCTTCTCTCCACCACGAACGCCGACCCCCTCAACGCCGACGACCTCCGCTTCCAAGCCCTAATCCGCAAAGAAGATGTGCGGGCCGTGGAGAAGGACCGCGTCGTGATGGACGAGATGTTCCGCGTCGGCGACATTGTGCGGGCCGTGGTGATTTCGCTGGGCGATCAGAGCTTTTACTACTGCTCGACGGCGAGGAATGACCTGGGTGTTGTTATGGGGAGGAGTGAGGAGGGGAATGTGCTTGTGCCGGTTAGCTGGAGGGAGATGGTTGATGGGAAGAGTGGGAAGAGGGAGGGGAGGAAGGTTGCTAGGCCGTTTTGAGGGGGGTTATTTTTCTTTCTTTCTTTCTTTCTTTCTTTCTTTCTTTCTTTCTTTCTTTTCTTTTCTTCCTCTTTTTATGTAAGAGCGTTACCAACTTTGTCGATTCGCTTTCATTCGAGGTTGAGGTTCTAGAAAAATAAAGTCTAACGAACGTACGTGCTCTTTCATGAGCTTGCGACATTAAGGGGATTGAGAGTATAAGGCCGAACCAATTGAGGAGGAGGAGCGATATTTTTACTTTGTATTCCTTGTATTTGTATATCCTTTTTGCCAAAGCCGTATGCAACAACACAAAAGCAGACGATGCAGCTAAAATCAAGCCGGGCAGCCAAACCCACTACCACCCATCACTCACGTCCACTCCTCCCTTTGGTACCCCCAATACTCTATCCCGACCCTACTTACCGCTTCAACGTCTTCTGCTTCTCTGCATCCTTCACCAACTTCTTTCCCTTGACAAGCAATCCCTTCCTACTCCTTACCCGATCCATATACCTCTTCGCCACATTCTCGCGATCTGCCAACTCACCCAGATCCTCGAGTTCTTCCTCAGTCGCCGGCACCCAGAACGGGTCTTCGTCCAGCATTTCAAAACCAGCAAAGATAAGCTGTGGCGAGGCGGCGCCGGAGGTGCGTTTGCGGATCTCGTCGGAGAAGCCGAACGATTCCGCTACGGGCAGGAGAGAGAGGATGGTGAAGAAAGGCGTGCCTTCTTTCATGGTCTCGGAGAGGATGCGGCCTCGTCGTCGTGTTATGACGCCGTAGACGCGGCCGAGGACTTCGGCTGTTGCGGTGGAAGAGATGTTAGTATTTTTGGGGAGGCTTTATTTATTTTTATTATTATTATTATTATTGTTGTTGATATTATTATTATTTTCTTTTTAATTCCATTCTTCAATTTTTGGACAATGTAGTGGGACTCTGTTGTCCGGGCGACCCATGGGTGGTAATGGCTGCGGTGCAATTTCAACTTACTAGATGCTTGGATCTCGCAACTGTACATGGCTAAGAGCAGTCTGGGACTCCAGTCGAGGAAGCCTTGCCAGACAGCGTCTCGCGCGGATTTTATTACTTCACCGGTAAAACGGCCAAGCTCTTCCTCTCCCGTCTTGGTGACGGAGACGTCCTCGATCAATACGGCAATGCCCTGGATAGGTTCGCTGCAGAGAGGTCCCTGAGCAGTGGCGAGTTGGAATGCATAAGAGATCTTATCGGAAAATAGGCCCATGCTTCGTCGCTGGTGATCTGCTGAGGCTTGTGAGGTGGTTTGTCGTGCCTCTTGGGTTTGAGGGCTTCGGGTTGTGGTGTCGAGGAGTCTGGAATATGGGGGGGAAAACATTGAATTGTTAGCCAGTGTCTTTGATGTCAGATGGGTATGTTCGATTTCGCACTCACAATTTATCACATGAGCTCGTAGATGTGGAGTCGACGAGGATGTTAGGGCCTATCCGTCTCGGGCCAAACTCGACAATTCTATTCACGACATCCTTCCACATATCCTTGTCGACTTTGGATTCATCGAAAGCGTTTTGCAGTTCTTTCTTGAACTCCTCAAGTGAAAGGATCCTCCTAGCTGCCGTGTCGCCGCTGTTGATATCACCTTGATCATCTATATCGTTATGCACATCGTTTTGTTCCAAAGTGGTATTGGTTACTGTCCTTCTTTCCGAGTAGAATCGTTTGATTGTAGCTGCATGTTTGGTTAAGAACTCAATGACCTCCGCAGGTAGTGGGAATATCCTCAACTGGATAGTCAGTTGCTTTGATGCCGAAACACTCAGAACTGTTCCTCGGGGTAGGTCGGGGTTCTTTGGCGGTGACATCTCGGGCGCATTTATCGTAGTTTCGCGATAAGGCACAATGGCTTCTCCAGCTTGGATTTCGCATTTGGCAAAACGTTCTCGTAAATCTTTAAGGCACCGTTCGAGATGGAGTTCCCCCGCAGTGAGAATGACGTGCTCCCCACTCGGAAGAACTTCATACACCGCACAAGGATCGCTTTTTTCTAGTAGCTTTAGACCATTGATCATCTTATTCAAATCGGAGGGATTGACAGGTTCGAGAGCAACTCGAACGATAGGAGGGCTGGACAATGTGACTCCTGCTAGATTCACGGCTCCCTCCAGTTGACTGCAAAGTGTTCCGGTTTTGAGGACATGGCCTTCCATACCAGCGATTCCAAAGACAACACCAGCCGGGACACTCTGCAGGTTTTCTAGATTTCGTCCCATAAACAAGTAAAGAGCTTTTACTTCCACTTTTTGTGGGACAGGTGATGCATGGGGGTGTGATGGTGAAAACTTGGGAGGGATAACGTAGATGGAATCTCCAACAGAAAGGGTGCCGGAATAGAGGCGTGCAAAGCCAATGAGGTGCTCTGGATCTTCCTTCTCTTTCACACTATCTTCCACGCTGGCATCTTGGAGAGCGGATGTTATTTGGGCGAAGCTATCCGCACCTTTTTCTCCGCCGTTCTGTGCCTCTAATTTCGCTATCTCCTCTCGTTTCTTTCGTGCCATTTCTCGTGCTTCCTCCGGGCTTAACATACCTCCAGATCGCCGCGTATTTTGAGGGAGTTCACTTTCAGGTATAGAAACCATTTTGCTGACGTAGGCCACAACAGGGTCATTCTTTCCTGCTTTAAAGTTTATCATTGCGTCCCGAACATGGGGGCTGATAGCCTCAGAACCAGGGGAGTCTTCAATCATGTCTGGAAGCCTTGCTGCCTGCGCAACTGGAGGGCTCGGAAGGTATTCTATTACAGACACTAAAACTGCTGTAGATAACGGAAGCCACGAGGAAAATACCGCGATAAGAATATTCCTTGGATCTCGTGAACGCAGCACATGGGCTGGGATAGCAATCCCTAGTGATTTAGTGATTTTTTCCAAAAGTGTGGAATCGCTGGCAAACATCTGTTAGTTCATATGCATTTACTGGAGACGGAGAACATCCCTTACCCTTTTCCTTGCCCTCCACCCGTCGTTGCATTGTAAACTGCCCATATAGTTTCCAGAACAAGTTGGACAAACAACGGCTTCAAATTCCTCCCCTTTAGATGTTTTTGCCCAATCACTCGTTTGGTTTTCGGATCGAGGTAGAAATTTCCCCATAGAAACTTTTCTAAAAGCGATCTTTTAAATCCAAGCTTTTTCTCATACAATCCAGCAAATTGCCGTATCGTAAATGCCCATCCGTCAGTTGCGCTGCAGAAAATGACGTTATTTTTTTCTGGAGAAAAATAAAGATCTTCATCATCCGGTTCTTCGAATTGACTTTCAGTTGACTCAGCCTGCGAGATTGCCTCATCCATGTTATCCGGCAGCTGCTTTGTCCGTCCATTCTCCTTGGTAGCCGCTACGTTTACTCGTTCTTCCATTTTCTCTCGCCACTGTAAATCCTCCTCCATACGCTCTCCTTGATAGAAGCTTCCAATGACAGCATTCACTTGCTCCAACACTTTGCTGAGATGTAAATATGCCTCTGCGGGAGTCATTTTCAACTCTGTAACCAGTCGATCTAGCTTATTGATAACAAGGATTGGCTTTAGATGCTCAACCCATGTGTGCCGCAACACAGTGACGGTTTGGCTGCAAACACCTTCGACGGCATCCACTAAAACAAGGGCGCCGTCGCATAGTCGAGAAGCTGTGGAAACTTCGCTGCTGAAATCGATATGGCCTGGCGAGTCAATTAAATTGATCAGGTATTCTTTTTGTTCAGGGTCTGCGTCTTTGGATGCCCTTCTAAGCATAGAAAAATAAAGCGATATGGCAGACGACTCCATGGTGATTCCGCGTAATTGCTCATCTGGGCGGGAGTCCAGGTAGCGGATTTTCCCAGCCATCTTCGGCGAAATGATGCCATTTGTAGCAATCAGACTGTCCGTTAAGGACGTTTTCCCGTGATCCTATAGGTAGAACTCATCTCAAAAATTGTTCCCCAAATAGCGTGGACATTCAAGTCACTTACGACATGTGCAAGGATACATATCTGCTAGAAATGTCAGCCCATGCCCAAATCTAATATATGGGTTGCGGATTATGACAGAGGGGCGCTTGACAGCGGGGAAGGGGAAGCATGCATTTCTAATATCCTCCGCCTTCTGCTGAAGGCGGACAAGATCACCCAAATTAACTACAGGCATTGGGAAATCTGGTCACCCCAAACATACATGGAGTACTTTTCAGAGGATAACGTTTTGCAGGAGGGGAGGAACTGCAAGCAAAGATGGGCAGTACCTACGACCCACTCGCTGCTCAGTCAGGGTAGCAGGTGTTCACAAATCCAAGCACTAATATTCACTTCTCTTAGTCTCCCAAATCATATCATATATGTCAAATCAAATAGAATATATTGGGATAGTTCTAACTTTGGTGCAGGCCAATTTTTATGCTGAGTGTTTTGCACTTTATATGGAGGATTAGTCAGTTGAACGACGACACTGTGCGCTGTGAGACCGTATGGTCCACCGTAGTAATCTATCGCGATGCATGAGAAATGAGCATTGAGTATCTACTTAATCAGTGAGCAAAATACCTATGCATAAGATCGCAAGAAAATAAAGGTAGATAATGAGATATTGGAGAAGAGTTTTGAAAGTTTTGATTGATTAGAAATGAATTGTTGCTATCTAAATGAAGAGGCAGCTCATTATCTACACGAAACTCCTTGCACCTGGCTGCGATTCACAAACGGTCGACTAAATCCACCACACCAAAAGATGTTGCTCGTTTAGTAAGCGAAATATTGTCGCACGGTCAGCTATTCCATGGAGATTAAATATCTTCAATTTTTACAGAATATCAATATTAGGCTTACTCTCATTCTGTTGACGAAGTCATCCGTCTTTGATGAAAGGTGAAGCATTGCATACTCTTCCCTATGCTATGTGCATTCGAATGTCTCATAACCGAAGGTGCTGTTGCAATCGACTATATTCCTCTCTTGACTTGCCTTCACGTTGAAGATAGGATAACGTGATGGAAGCAAAGTAAGAGAAGAACTGGTTTTATATATTCTCAGACACCACTCTCTGATTCATGCTAGTAGTATCTCTCTGAGACAGAGCCCAAAACTTGCCGTCCGCTCCCAGTCGCATCTTCACTGAGTAAAAACTAAGGTTTTCCTGCGGCTGAATATAGAATAGCTAGTCGTCATCGTCAAATGATAGCTTAATTTTCTTTTTCGCTTTCGGTTTCCGCGATGTTTGAGCGTTTCGAGAGGCTTCTTCAGTTGCATCTTCTCCAATTACTTTGGCTTGCTTTCGCTTTTTAGCGCCACCAATCCCGGCAAAATGCTGTTTTTGTTTGGCCTGGGAACTTTGCAATTCTCCTTGTGCACCGCCATTTCCATCATAGATTGACTTAGTTTCCTCATCCTCATTCTCAATAGTTCCAGAGTCTTCTGCGACTTTGGTATCGCCGTCGCCTCTCACCAACGCATCATATTCCTCTTTGGAAATTACCTCGTTACTTTCCTCGTCCACGTAGGTAGGGGCGTCGTCGTCATCAGCATCCTTCTTCTTAGTAGGACGTGGATTTGGTCTGCCGTTGCGAAAGCCACTGCCATCGCCGTATTCGCTTCTTAATTTTCGAAGAAATGTAGGCTCGTTTTTCTCTATATTGTTATTAGAAGAAGTAGATTGAAAGGGTTCTGAAATCAAGGCAAAGTGTACCATAACTCAAATGCTTCGCATTGAAACTCATGATATGTAGATGAACATGCGGACCAGATGACCCTTGGGGACTTAAATGTCAGGGTTGGAAAGGGCTGAGTGTTGGAATACTGATCATATCTTTAGATCCAAATTCATCCTAGTCGGCGACGTGGTTATCCGCGATCGGTTTGGGACTAGAATATAAGAATTGTATAGATAAACGTCATATAAGTCTTAGCAACGATAAAGCAAACTTCCCGGTCGAACAGTCAAGCGTTTCGTGGAGTTTTGCCAGGGCAACATGCTTATCTATCTCCGGAACGGAACCACTTGAGTTCCGGCCCCTGCAAATGCACATCAGCAACCACGAATTTACTTTGGCAGCTCCTTATAGGCCCTCCTCACGCCAATTCCCTGACTGAGCAAGTCCATCAACCATGCTGTGCGCAAGTGAGTCTACTTTTCGCTCTTGTTGGCCGTCTTGAAGTCGCTAACATCTCCACGCAGTCTCCGGAGAAGCTCCGCAGGTGCCTGTTGTTTCACGAAAGAGCGGTACGTAACTCTTCATCCCTAGGCTTCAAACTCCAGCTAATATACAAACATTGATGCAGGTAATGTTTTCGAGAAGCGTCTTATCGAGGCATACATCTCAGAGAATGGCAAAGACCCAGTTAGTGGAGAGGACCTTACTGTCGAGGACCTGGTAGAACTCAAAACCGCGCGCATAGTTCGACCACGTCCGCCTACCCTCACATCTATTCCGTCCCTCCTAGGCGTTTTCCAAGAAGAATGGGATGCGCTCGCACTCGAAACATATACTTTGAAACAAACTCTGGCTCAGACTCGACAAGAACTCAGCACAGCCCTTTACCAACACGATGCGGCCGTCAGGGTAATTGCAAGACTGACAAAGGAAAGAGATGAGGCTCGCGACGCCTTGTCGAAAGTATCTGTCGGTGCAGGTCGCGTTCCCAGCAATGGCGATGCTATGCAAGTAGATAGCACTGGGCTGCCACCTGCTGTTATTGCTAGGGTAGAAGCTACACAAGAGCAGTATGTTTACTTTTTCTTATTTAATCTGTCACTGGGATCGGCATTAATGTAGCATAGATTATCAAAAACACGTCGCAAACGGACTGTTCCAGATGAATGGGCCACAGGAGAAACGATACAAGAGTACAAACCGACGGATAGCTCTGATGCTCTCTACCCAGGCGGAAAGTCCTTATCCCTCGATCAATCTGGAAATCTCGTGTTGGTCGGAGGTGTTGATGGAGTAGCTGGGATATATTCACTGGCTGAGAAGCGGGTAGTATCGTCGCTGAAAGTTGACGGTGCTGTCACGGATGCAGTATGGATAGGGGACAAAGCGGCTGTTGCGACTTCGACTGGCGCAGTGAAGATATTTGAGAATGGCACGGAGGTTGCCAGCTTCAATTCACATGCTGGCGAAGCAACTTCACTGGTAACGCACGCTACGGGCGATATCATTGCGTCTGTGGGCGTGGATAAAAGCTATGTTCTCTACGACCTTGCTGCCAATTCTGTCATCACCCAAATTTACAGCGATGCTGGTACGTGTTATCCATGAAATATGTATTTTTGCGACGGCTAATCCCCTCCTGCAGCCTTAACTTGTGTTAAATTCCACCCTGATGGCCATCTTGTCGCTGCTGGTGGTACCGACGGCCAGATTAAAATTTTCGATGTCAAAAGCGGAACAAGGGCAGCTAATTTCACGGCCGGCGGCCCACTCAAGGCTCTGTTCTTCTCAGAGAACGGCACGTGGCTAGCATCTGTGACTGAAAACTCTTCAACAGTTTCAATATGGGATTTGCGCAAGTCGGCGGAGATCAAAGTGCTAGAAACGGGAAACCGCGTAGATTCCATCAGTTGGGACTATACTGGACAATTTTTATTGACTGGCGGGCCGAACGGAGTGACGGTGCAGCAATATTCCAAAGCATCCAAAAAATGGTCAGAGCCTCTGCGAAGCGCGGTACCCACGGTTGCAGTAGAGTGGAGAAAATCGGCTCAAGGGATTGTGTCGCTGAACGGCGACGGCGTCCTTACGGTGGTGGAAGCAAAGCCATGATCACAGGATTATCTTTCTTTAGTCATCTGTACTCTAACTTACTATTTCATACCTCGTTGTTCGTGAAATTGTTGGCGCCCGGGATTTTAGTCAATAAAAACATGTTGTTTTGTCAACATCATTAAAACCCATTCCCAACAGGGGTCCCTTTTAGAGATTTGATGGATATAAGCCGCGATTTTAACCGCAATAGACCCTTAAACCCTTTGAACCACTGTCAGCGCCTCCATTGTGGTGATTTTACTGCAGTCTGTTGATTGCCACTGGTTGGACGACCCGCTCGACACTAACCACCACATATGACCTTGACAACACTTCTCTCAACCCCTCGCCCATGCAACCACCTCACGACCAACCACTCCCTTTACTCCTCCCCTTCTAGTCTGATATTTATCATGAATGGAGACCCGAATATTCAGCTTTTGGCTGTCCGACAGGCGAGAAAAGTAAGCATCTTCCTCTCCTCGTCACTTCCGCCACCCTGGGTTGCCGCGACTGCCATCTTTAACCACAACTGCTGCGATATTTCATCGCCCGCTAATCTTTCTCTTTTGTAATCTATTCTAGAGACCTCACCATGAGATGATAGAGTCACATTCTCATAGTAGAAGTACATCCCCATGGGATTATGCAGAGCCATCTGGTTCGAATCATGGGACCCGTTCTTTCTCTACTCATCGACCAACACTGCCACCCCTCCCACAGATGAGATTCCCAGGCGACGGCTACGATTTCAGAAGACCGATTATGGCATCCGCATCAGCACCAACCTCCTCCCCTCCGCCCCCTCCGCATCAGGAAAATGTCATTGATTTGACAGATGAGCCGGATAACATTCTGTCAGACAGAGGCCCTCAAACGCCTCTAAGACAACCAGCAGGCCGTAGATCACGCCCACCCCGATTCGGAAGAAACATCATGGCAGATGTTGTTGATCTGGATGAAGAGTCATCAACTGCAAACGAGCCCCATCACTTTTCGAGCCCAGAAGTACAGTTCTTAGGCACTCAAATACGCCCAGCAGAAGAAACCCGCCAGAATGGGATTCGTCATCGAAATCAAGACGCGCCTCCCCACTTAAGAGGCTCGAGCCTTGTGGATATGATCAGGAGAATTCGCGGGAGCGGGCCCCCTTCGTCATACCTCCAGCGGCAGGAAACAATTCGAGAAGAAATGGGCCTCAGGAACCGTAACCTTGCGCGTGACCTTCCTACCAACATTACTCCGTTTTGGATCGGGGAACAGCCCATTCAGGGCGAATTAGAAGATGATTTCCCCATTGAGTTGGATTACAGGACTACTGGATTTGGTGCCGGCGAGACACGGCGAACGCCTGCATATGTGGCTCCAGCAGCTCCACCTCCAGGTTTTACAAGGACTGTCGGGGAGAATGAGGTTGTGGTTTGTCCAAACTGTGACCATGAGCTAGGGACCGGTGATGATGCAGTGAGGAGACAGATATGGGTGGCTAAGCCATGTGGACATGTACGATTTATTCCTCCTTTGTTTTTCTGTAGCGGCTTATCGTTTACGGCCCTTAACATAATACTAACAACATTCTTAGGTTTACTGTGGCCAATGTACGAAATACCGAGCCCGCTCAAGAAAGCGGACAGACAGTGCCAGCTCACCAAAAACAAAACCATTTGCAAAATGCGTGGTGGCCGACTGTGGCAAAACAATTAGCCAACCTCGTGCGATGTTTCAAATCTACCTCTAGCCCTCCCTCTCTATTTTCCCCCATTTTATTCCCTTTTTGGCATTTATTTTTCCTCTTCGGTTTCCTTGTATTGAAGCATAGCGACGGTATCTTTGGAATTGTATAACGACTTGTACATATATGCTTTATTATATGGAGCGGGGCACACCTAGGATTTTAAAGAAATAATTCAAACGTCTTTAGCTGCGGTGATAAATAATGACTTCCTATCATTTTGTTAGATCTGATGAATTTTTACTTGGTTGCAGGAGCATCTGATTGCTGCAATTCCGGAAACGGACTGCACAAGGCAGGTTAAAAAAACTGATAAACGACGAGTAACGATGCAATCCCTCGTCAAAAGGAGCCTATTGACATTTATTTTAAAGCTTCTATTATACATACATATAAGAAATTCGAGAGATGCCAAAAGTGTTTGTGGCCCACCGATCCAATCCATAACAGAGCAAATATATTCCCATATTAAACGATGAAATAAAATGTAATGTGATAAAATAAATAGCCATGCACAATGGTTCGGATGCTGACTGGCCATACCGGTCCACGAATCCTCCATAAAAACACCGGAGCCGCTCGTCCTCAAACAAGCATCCATTCGTAATCCCATCCTATCCGTCTCTGATCATATTGTCTTGACATCCCCATGATAGGGACTCCAAATACCCCTTACACTCTCATTCAAACTGGACACGGGCTTCCTAACTCTTTTCAGCTTCTCCCCACTGGCCTCCTTGAGTAGTAGAGCCTTCGCGAGGATCTGTTCTTTCTCAAGATTGCGGACGCATATTGCTTTTTCACGGCCGTTGATGTAGTGGCCTTTGATCACTGGGTGCTTCTTTGGCCGGGGAGATACGCGGATTTCTATCTGTGGGTTTGCGGCAGCGAAGGAGGGGAGGGTATATTTGAGGAATGCACTGAAAAGAGAGGGGTTTGTCAGCTTAGAACTTTCAAGAGACGGGAAATGACCGGAGTTCTGCCGCAATGGACTTTGTGCCGCTTTTCACTTTTCTTTCTTTCTCCGGAGGCTTTGGAAGCAACTCACTTCATCCCTTTTGAGCTACCGGCCCAGTCGCAATAATGAAAGTCGAGCCGCTTGCACTGGAGGATAAAAGCACCTACGCCATTCTGGGCAGTCACAGTTCAATTAGTCTCTTACCGTGGAAGGTAAAGCGAAGAAAACACATACTCGGTTAGCGGCGACTGTTCTGATTCCCTGGATAGGCATTTCAGCGGTTATTGTTTCGCTATTCCACCATGCAAGCAAAGCCGCGGGAACAGAGAGGTTTTGATGCGTAAAGGTGCTGATAAGCGCTGATTGGCTGTTACCAGACGTGCGGCTTAGTCATATAGAAATTTACCAACTAGCCCCGATATAGTAAGCAGACCTTTTCTGAAATAAACCCAAAGGATCCAACTGCAACCACGAAACGATATCTGTCTATTTTGACATCATCTCTCCCCACTTGCTAAGTTGCTATCTTTAAGGCGTGCCAAATCTCCCTAACAGATAAGGGGCGGGGAAGATACAGTCGTCCTAATATCTGAAGAGAGAGCGCCTCGAGTCCATGAGCCATGACGGACAAGCTTCCACCAAACCTCCTCGCGCTCTTCGCGCCTCGTCCTCCCCTACGTTATATCCCACCTTCGGACCGCGCCCCAGATGACATCAAACCAAGCAATATCGGTGGAGTGGCCCAGTTCCTCGATGAGCTACGTAAATATGATGAAGAAGTCCCTTACAATGCCACTGAGAGCTGGCTTCAGCGCAAGGCGAGGCTGAAAGAGGAGAAAAAATTAAATATAGAAAGACATCTTACTGAGGGTCTTAAAGAATGTATGTTTCCCGAATCCTTAAGGCTGAAATCTCTTTCGATACCAGCTACCAATCACGTCTTGCTAACGCGCTTTATATTTTCACACCTGACAGATAATCCTAATAATGACCCCCAAGTCCGGGGCGATGCTTTTAAGACGCTATTCGTGTCACGTCTTAGCTACGATGTTACAGAAGCTGATCTGGAACGGGAGTTTGGGCGTTTTGGACCGATTGAACGGGTTTGTACTCATTCCATAACTTATAGTGCTACTTGGAATAAAAAGGGAGAGTAAGAGCTGACACTTGTATATACATATCTACCAGATTCGCATTGTTGTAGATACTCACAATCCAAAGAAGAACGCTAAAAAGCCACATAGAGGCTATGCTTTTATCGTTTATGAGCGTGAGCAAGACATGAAGGGTACAGAATCCCCAGCGCTGCAAAACACGCTCCCCCTCCCCCTCCCCTTCCCTCTTCCCTATCCATCAACTTTCCTAGTGGTTTCTTTGGTTCTTTCTCCTTCGATGACCCCTCAATAATCCCTTGTAGAGTGATGTCGAAGGTAATGAGATCCATAACTAATGCTACCGGAAATTTAATCGGTACGTGTAGCGGCCTACAAAGAGACAGACGGTATCCGTATCAAAGACCGTCGCGTGTTGGTCGATGTTGAGCGAGGTCGTACAGTGAAAGGTTGGAAACCTCGTCGGTTTGGCGGCGGTCTCGGCGGGAGAGGATATACGAAATCCATGCCAGCGCGTCCGATGGGGCCTGGGGGTTTCGCTCCATCCGGACCCGGTGGATTCCGCGGTGGTGGCTTTGGTGGGAGAGGTGGATTCCGTGGTGGGTTCCGTGGTGGTGACCGTGGATTCGGTGGACGAGGTGGTATTGGATACCAAGGCGGCCCCGGCGGTCGCAGCGGATTTGGCGCCTCTAATGGAGTGGGTGGTCAGCCACCACCGAATGCGCCTTCAGGCCCAGGCGGGGGACGTAGTGGAGGTTATGGAGGCGGTGCGAATGGGCACGATAGTATGGGTGGGTATGGTGATGCTAAACGAGGCAACGCCTTCGATGATAGAGCAGGACATCGCGGAGGTAGCAGGCATGAACGGGAGTCTCGTGGAATAACGGGAAGCAATCGTGAGCCGGTAAGACCTCGTGATGGATTTGGGGACCGCGACCGTGACCGTGATCGGGAAAGGGACCGGGACAGGGACCGTGGTGGAGATCGTGGTAGGGGAGGGGAACGGGATAGGGATCGCGATTACCGAGACAGAGACCGTGATCGTGATAGAGACAGAGATAGGTATGGACGACGGGATGATGAGTATTCTCGAAAACGATATCATGAAGGCGACGAATACGATGACCCCCGCAGCAAAAGGAGATACTGAACACCCTATATTCTCATTTTACAACAACGGTTTGTTGGTGGGTATCTTCAGTTCCTCGATTTTCTCTTTGACCCATTTCGTCCTTCCAGGGTAAGGTCGAGGTATTCGTGAACAGTTATTATCCGTTGGTCTGGTATTGTTATAAATTCTTCTTCTCGCCGGCATAACAACCATGCCAATTACCGTCCCCGCACGCAGCAACACTTTTCATAATTTTTCTTTCGCCAACAATCGATCTGTAGCCATGCTTCGAGCGTGACTTACCCTTAGGTCACACCGGTCCCGTCGATTTGGATGGCTTTGTATAATTTCCTTATTTTCTCCATTCTTCCTAGTACCTGAGGGGCTCCGAAATTTCCGCTGTCACTATGTCCTTGTTCGTTTCGCCCTTGGTTGTATCGGTGGGTAAGTATGTATTTTAGGGCGGCTGGAACGATTGTGGAAGAAAAAGAGAAAGAAGGGGGAAAAGAGCAAGAATAAGTGCATCTGAAGGAAGGCTGAGGTAAGATCGGGTAAGGCTATTTGGCCAGTCCAAATATTCCTCGCATTAAGCTTTCGCATGATGTGCGAATAGCTCTGTTTGCTCATGGTTGCTTTTATATTCTTTTGTCTGTCTTGATATCTATGATTATTCTACTTTGCGTTGACTTTTACTCACATTGAGCATATCTCATGATAGGTAATTTGGAACTTAGTAGAGGGAGAGAGTAGCGATCATCGTTTATTTGATATAGGGAATTTTTTCGATTCTATAATTTTCGCACTTCATTAAGCCCCAAAGTGGAATTTGCAAAAGTAAGGAATCCCATGAAGACAGCAGATCAAATGAAAAGATTGCAGAGTTAAATAAAAAATGAATGAATGAATGAATGAAAAAAGAAAAAAATGCCTTTACTCCAACTCCATAATCATGCCATGGCAAGATAGCCCGTTCTATCTTTCCATTCATTTCATCAATGAAACAAATCCTCTATCCGCAAACAAACCAACCAACCCGTAAAAGGTCAACCCTCCATGTCGTGATCCTTCCTGTCCAAAATGACAATAGACCCATCCTCCCTGTTCCACTGTGCTTTCATTTCAACTCTAAACTCCGCAACCGCAACCCCAAAAATCTTCAACAGCGTCGTCTGCCTTGAATCCAAGGTCTCACCAGCTTTACACACCTGGTACCCGTCCCCATCCATCTCCAACACAACTTTGCCCCCGATCAGTCGCGTTGGCACACCGAGCTTCCTCAACGTCGGCTCAATAGTGTGGCTGAGCGGCGCGTCCAGGCTGCTGGACACCTCGCCGGCCTGCGAATACACGATGCCGCTGGGGATTGTGAAGGAGCGGGGAGCGACGGCTCCCGCGCGCGCGAAGTCGGTGGGGTGGAATGAGTCGAAGAAATCGAGGACGGATTGTGGGGATCGGGAAGTGAAGAGGAGGCCGACGGCGCCGGTCAGGTAAGGGGCTAATTTTTCGAGATTTGGGGCACAGGCTGTCTCCGGGGTGTTACCGAGGGCAACGGCCATTACTTTTGTTTTTCCGAAGAAGAGGCTGGTGGCCTGTTAGAAGGCTTCTCCCACATGCGTGTATTATATTTTTGACAAAGAGGGGACAAGGTTATAGTAATGAAAATAATCCTTTGGGGTGGGAGGAAAGATATACATACCGGGAATCAGCAAACTCGCTGCGGACATCCTTTAAATATGTATTTCTCATATTATCCACTGAGAACAAAAATAAATGGTCATATTGAGTGACAGCCGTTTGAATATTAGCGAACAGCCGTCTGGTCTGTTCCTTGTGGGACTTTTTGGTGACTTTGGACTCATGGACCACCCGCGCCCTCTTGGAGACAGGCATCTTGGGCAATAATGTGCGTGTGTGTGTGTGTGTCTGTGTCTGTGGAAATGGCGCGCTTTGGAGTGTGAGAGATCGAGTTCATGAAAGGAAATATGAACAATATATATTATTTTCCTCTCCGACTTTTCATTAACTTCCTGCTCGTCTCCGATTGATTTTGCAGAATTTCCTATTTTCTGCTGATATCAAAAATTAAATGCGGCGGGGATGGAACAATGTTGATACGGGCGGGATCACGCTAGTCCAGGATGGGAAAACAGCTAGGATTAGATAAGCATATTTCTGACGTTGAACGTCTTTTGGCGCTGAGATCGAACGATATCCAACTGATAACCAACAGAGTCGACGGAGGCGATTGTGAACAAGACGGATAAAGAGATGCAATAGGCACTCTGTATATTTGCCGTTGCTTATATACATATATACATGGCGGCCCCAGCCCGGACGAATGACCCACAGAGATCGCTGGTAACAGTCTCTTTATTCCCGAAATGCTTGGCTTTCTGGACTACATCCAGCTTGCCTTCTCTGATGCCTCGAAATGGAACCGCGACAATTCCTACTCACAGTTGACGACGACGGCGAATGGTATGTTGTCGCAAAGATTTCTGCTGCAATTTTTCTGTGTAGCATGATGTACAGAACGTGCAGTTCGCTTATATCATTTTCACAGCCCTCCTCGATTTCTCCACGCCGGAACGGCTGAAAGTTAATCTGTCATCCCTTTCAACCCCCCACTTTGCAACGACATATACCCTCGGTACGGTTGGCTTGATCGATGGCTCTATATCCTATCTATTCACAACAGTTCCGCTTCGTGATACCCCTAGTCGGAGTACTTTGATTCCTCTCCGTAAACTTGTTCCAGGGTATCGGCAAATCAGCGCTCCTTCTCTTCCCCCCGAGCTCCCCACAGTAGACGGCCGAGATGGGGATCTTGCAATCGGCGAAACCCAGGGGATCCTAAAGAAAAAACCCACGTTATTACATGCGACATTACATCTCCCGCCTCCAACTACGCTCACAGGGTTATTTCTCCGTCGTTTATCTCCTACCACCCAACTCTCTCTTGCATTTTGTTCGAGCCGCGCGTCCACGCCAAAGTCCGCACCTCAAGCGGCGTTGGTAACACAGATACTCCACGACACCGGAAAATACAGCTCGGAATTTCTGTTTAGTACGGACAATGCATTATTTGGGTTCAAGGGACTCTGGAATTTCGGACCCGATCCCAGGAAGCAAAATCAACAGGGAGATCTCGCACGGGACTCACGCCGGTCCCTACTCTCTCTCCTTTCAGCGGGTGCAGAGGCGTATTACTCTCCTGTTTCGTCTGTCGTAGGTCTATCCACCGGCCTGCGATTCACAACTTTACCTGCCGCAACCGAAAGTCCACATTTCACCTTTCCTTACACCCTGACATTGACACTAACACCCCTAACCGGTTCCATGTCAACCACATATTCACTCCTCGCCTCCCCAAACGTCTCCTTCAGTTCCCGTTTCGGCTTCAACGTTTACAGCTGGGAGAGTGAGATGGTAGCCGGCTGCGAATTATGGCGACGCAGCAGCAACAATAGACTCCACGACGACAAATCACAGAGAGATTCCGCTCTGTTTGGCGTTGATGATTTGACCTGGGCGAGACGCAAAATGGGCTTGCCCGACACTGCACCCTCCCGGAATCGCGAGTGTGATGATCTCCCCCCTCCCCGGTATGACAATTACTATCACCAACGGAGCCCCCACGCATCCGATTCGGTAATTAAGGTCCGGGTTGACCAGTCTTGGAATATCCGTGCGCTCTGGGAGGGCCGGGTTAAAGAACTGCTTGTGAGTGCTGGTGTTGCGCTGGGGCCAACGCCGCGCTCGTCGCTGTCATATGCGTCCTCATCTGCTGTGGGCGGCGTCGGCGCTGCTGGCGGATTAAGCTCGTATGGATGGAAGAGTGTCGGCGTGTCAGTATTATACTCGTCTTAAACTATGGGGAGACATGTCTATAGCACTGTCAACCACGATTTTGTGACGGCCTAATGCGTATGCTTCTTTTGACCCGAGGCTTGGACGTGTCAGGATGTTTATCCGGATCTCTCAGCGCTTGGGAGTTTTCTGTGTCCTTTTTTTCTCTGTATATAATTATTGATATACCCACCCACCTAATGTGTCCTTGTAAATGTTATTATTATTCCTCCATTTTCGTCCTCTTAGAAAGATATTCCCAAGATATGTGCCTCTAATGCGCATTATCGATAGAAACTCTCTTTATGATTATGATTCTTATGATTCTTATTACTCAATTATATAAATATGTATCTGATCAGAGAGTATAACACCTATTTAAGAATTTCTCGGCATTCTCTAGTCAGTGACTAATGGTTATTATTATTAGTATTTTACAATAACTGACAGTTACATGTGTTGAAGCCATGGCCAGAAGAAAATGCAGCAAATTCAAAATACCCAGGAATAACCCCTCAGAATTTACCAGAAATTGGCTGAGAAGTGCTTGCGCTCAGCAGATGATCTGATGCCTCCCCCTCGCAGCAACAAACACTTTATATCCATCGGAAGCTAACTTTGATTGATCCTGCAGAAAGAGTGTGTGGACAGAAAGGCAAAACTACAGCCATCTGCAAATTTATGAACAGATTTGCCGTGAAATTTGAATGAGAGTATAACACGTATGATATCCCTCTAAGGGGCATTACAGGAGTGAGTGGGCCTGTTTATTCACCCTGGAGAAATCCATGCTTCAATTTTAGTCCTGGTTGTTGGCTTTTACGCTTAACAAAAAGAACTATAGAGACAATGATGGATTTACAATGTCACACCGACTGGTATGTGGCTTTGAAATTTTGATCTAACTATCCAAAAATGAATATATAATCGGGGAGACCTCCGATTACTGCGAACAAGACGTTCTGAGGCTGCGGGAAATGGGGTGGCCGGCGACTTGATCCTATCAATGGCTGAAGGAGGTGTCCTTCATCCACTGTAATCTACTGTTGCATATTTGGCCAAAACTTTTTATCAAGGGAGGATACGAGAAAATCCTAATACCAAAATTACCAAGAACTTGGTAGCACGCTTTATCAAGCGCAATGACGAGCTTCAGTCTCGCTATAATTAAAGATATGACTAGGCAGCAAAGGACTGAAAGTGACAATCCAAGGATCATCAAGCCATGGCTTCAGCTTGTATGCAATATAATTGCTAAACAAGGCAAAATGCGGCATTGTAGAGCAAGGCAACTACAATTTTGAGATCAAACAGGCTTCAAGTGGGCGTGATAGACACGTCCCAGGTGGGAACTTGGACAGTTCTAAGTGCCGATGGTCGATTATGCGCAGGTAGGCACCACATTGCGCACACTGGCGGGTAAGAAGCTAATCAAGTGCAGCTCGATTTACCCCAACATGATCCGCGAGGATTCATATATGCGGTAAGCGAAGGTTCAAAAAACAGAAACAGCTTCAGAGAGGCAAGCTTCAGCTATATGCTTTGTTTAACCACGACTCCTCAAGCAACAAATGAGCGGGCTTTCGCTCTTCCGGTGCAAGAGCAAGCATAGATTGGAGGAACTGGACAAAATCTTCCTTCTCCTGAATGGAGTAAAAGCTCTTGTTTTCAATGAACCCACCCAATGAGTATCCGGACATTCTAGGGATGCCCTTAAGGTTACCTATCACAATTTTTATCAGGTAAATTCTGCTGAAACAGTGATTGTGCAGCTATTGCCTTCCGAGTCAAAGTATTTGCCGGATGCTTGGCCTCTATTGAGTAGGTCTCTGGTAATCATTTGGGACAAATGATATCCAGGGACATAAGATCCCGCTGCACTTGGACGGCTATCAAACAGATACTTTCCTGCGAAAACCTCATAGAGTAGAGCCTGTTATAACTAAAATGTGTTTAGTGGATTGGATTCTTAAATATCCACAACACATCCCGCATTCCATATGTCGGTACCCGCATCCCATTTTGCCTCCAGTGAAACCTCGGGTGCTCGTAGGCATCGAGGCTGGATAAACTCCGTCAGGTGCCTACCAACCAGCTAGCATTACCACTGTCGGATACCTAAAATAGCACATATATAGAGATCTTGCAGAGCTCGCTTACCGGTACCAAAATCGGCTAACTAAACATCAATGCTTGAAAAATCGCTATTCATATAGGGAGATGCTCAGAAGCCATGTAAAACTCCGACGGTTTGAATACATCCGACGGTAGGACAGGCAGGGTAATCAGCTTGTTTTCATGCATCTCAATAAGAATGTTCCCTGGTTCAATATCTGTTCAAATCTTAGCCTTATACTTTGAGTTAATCAAAGGTTACAAACCTGACACTCAGAGGATGACCTGAGGGTGGTTTGCTGTGGTGGCACTCCAGATTATGCTTGTGGCGTGTTGGGTGGTGGTGGTGAAGGCAACCACAGGCGGGCTTTTAGGCCAGCAGTGGTGTGTCTGCAGCATAGTTTTTCTCCTTCTTTGTGTATACTGAGCTGCCGCATACTTTTTCTAGGTCCGGCGGTGTAGGAATAATAATAATAATAATAATAATAATAATAATAAAGGGTTACCGATCGGTATGGACTATGCCGCAAGAACTATGGAGATAACCAAGCGCAAGTAAGAGCTACTTCGCAATCCGCCTGGCCATCGGCACAGGTATCTGAGTCGGTTGCCTCCTGCACTAGGCAGATTTAAATATATGATGTCCGTGCGGCCCGAAAATCACCAGCAAGGCTGAGAATATGCCCTTTCCCGCGGTGCGTAGAGCCATCATTTGTCATGAACCCGTAGTATGTCGAGTTCATAATTTCTCATCCCGTCATCGCTCAAATTTATATCTCCCTCTACGTGGTTTGATAGTTTGCCTCCAAGAATAGGTGAGAGTTTATTGGATCTGCTCCCAGTTAGTTCTTTGGCGTTGTTTCCAACATTGTTGGCGAAGTTTTGGACAGTCTATCTACACATACATGTAGAAATTTCTCCCTAGTTCCACACTCACATTGATCACGGATCTGTGCTGAGATTCTCAGGAGTGATGCATACTAGCAAGTGGCGAGAATGAGTGGCAGGCAGTGTCGAGTCGATGTTGCGAAGGCGGTATCTCTTTTAGTCGATGTCTATTCCTTCATCCACTCTTGTGTCAGTTTGCTGCGGCTATCTTTCTGGCTGGGATAAAACCAGTCTCTTGAAATGGTGGGATTGGTCGTGGTTGGACTGATAGTTTCGCGAGTTCATCTGCCACGTCTTGTCCAAAAATCCCGCTGGGGCTGGGTATCCATTGGAATTTGACGTCGACTTTAAGGATCCTCTGGGCTTTTTTTTCTTCACTGTGGTCAGAACGCCTTGCACCATTTGTTGTCCTGATCCTTTTGTGAGACTCCGGATAGCATTCAGCGAGGCTCGTTGACTGTTGTGTACGTGCCTAGTTGTGGGGGGTATAAAGGGGTTTAAAGGGGTTTCTTGGCTGCTCACGGTCCTTGGCGCTAAATGTCATGCAAGAAGAGCAGCATTGGTATACAAACTGTCGGTGTTTTGATCAGAAGGATGCCAAGTCTGGCCTTTATATCCATAAAACAACCCGCGCAATTAAGTCATTAGCTCTGTCATCCCCGTGTTCCTCGGTCACTGATAGTACTGCCGTGTTCTATCGAACTGCGCTTTGTCAAAATCATGTTTCTGTAAATAGTTAACAGTGAGCATAACTGTGCAGGAAGGGAAGGAAACAAACCATGAAATCAGCCATCTCGGCCACGAGGCTCTTTATCAAATGCAATCAATTCCTTCTGCCTCTCTGAAAGATGTCCATTAAACGTCCGCGCCCTGTCAAAATCTAGCCAGATTACCCTTTCTGGATTCCCGTCCACAACCATCATATCCCTAGGATGAAGGTCCTCATGAAAGACTAGCGCGTCATGGATCGCAACCAGTCCACCAACAAAATTTCGCATCCTTCTTTCATTATACTCAGTCCATTTTAGCTCCTTCATGTTAGGAATGTATTGCAAGAGAATGGCTGTGGGTGGGTATTCGTCGTTGACAAACTGCCTTAAGGTGGGGCAGACATTCTCTGGGATCAATATTTTCATTTATTCCATAGAGCTGATGAGTTATACGCTGGGCACAGATTTTGGCTTGCGTCAAGCGTCGGTAAGAGGCGGATTCACAGATGAAGATATTTGTTTCACGGTGCTTTGGGTCCCAACGGCTGTTTGGGGCCTTGATCATGGTGCTGTAGAAAGTGTCAGAGAATACATCTACAGGAGGTTCAAGCCACCGACCAACCACCTTCACAATGCAGTCCTTTCCTCTGATGACCACCAAGAATACAACAGCAAGAGTCCCTGTTTGCTAGACGCAGATGATCTCAGCCACATGAACGTCTATAAGCTCCATTGCGAGGTTTCAATATTGGCGAAGAAGCAAGCCTAAATGAATCAGGGTAGAGTGACAGCGTTGTTATAAACTTGATAAAAGAGAAACATGCTAAAGTATACCCTCGAATGTGACAAAAAGCGCCAAGAATCGCCCACGAGGCAGATATTTGATAAAAGATGGTTAAGGTGTTGTTCATGAGATGAGTCTCTTATCTTTTTATGAGAATTGACTTGTCAATTCTTATCCAATCCTCAGATCGCTCTGGCTGCTGACCTCTACAAATCCACTACGAGTGCTTTCTATTGTTAAAGCTAAAGTTAGTTCACTAGTTAGTTGACTAGTTGTATTTCGCTGGCAAGCTCAGCAAACATTCAAGTTCTCAAGAATGCGACGTGAACCATGCTTGCAAAAAAGAGAACAAAAAGGTGGAATGATTCTCCCCGATACCAGCGATACTGACTCTCCGCGCAATCCCTCCGCAATATGAACAAAGTTGGAATCAGTGTTCCATCCATTGGCCGGGGATGTCTCAGGCTAAGAGTGACGGATCCAGGATGTGCACAGTTGTACCGGTCAGTTGATGGACTTGATACCCGGATGACAGCATTGACAGCCCAGGGAGAGCCAGCGACAGGCGGAGACAGGCCCGTCGCGGGCAGCTGGCAGGCTAGTAGCGGCCGGTTTGTTTAGCAGCTCTGCAGCGGGTTGGCAACTGCATGCATTTCTCTTCTCTCAGGCGATGCACTGTATATTTTTGCTGCCAATTCTCGGCCCACTGGCGGGGGCCAGACAGGAATGAGAATGAATAACCGGGAATCAGGGTGTATCTCTGCTTGTTTTTTTTTTTTTTTCCGCACAGGCTTTTCGGTTAACTTGACTGGTTCAATCAATCACTGGAAGCGCGGAACGTTCCCAGCGGTGCGCATCGTTGCTTGGTTGGTTGGGCCCTTTGTTCCAGGGAGGAAGAAGGCCTTTATATTCTCGCTCAACGATCATCAATGTATCTATCCAACAAGGTAAAAGAATTTAGCCATCGAGGTCAAAGAACGGCGCAGTCCTTTTTCCATGCCCTTGATCTGTCTATCCATTGTACGGACCAGAGGCAGCTGCAGCCGCCGGTAATTATTCGATACTATGAAAATAATACCTTGCAGACGATCACATCGCCAACCAGACCGGATGTATAGACGCTGTTCAACGTCAAACGGCCCGCGAAGACAATGAAAGAGAAACAGCAATAATAATTGATAAAAACGAACGGCTGTAAATATAAATCCACCGCTGCTGTAGCTGCTATTGAGCGCGTTGCCTCGAGATCCATTTAAGTTTTGCCCGCCCGGTCCCTTGGCTGCAGACCGAATCCCATTCCATCCAGAGACATCGATCATAATTAAATACTCGCAACTCTTCATAAAGAGATCGCACTCCCCTCCAGCCTCGTCCTCCTCGCCCTCACGCTCTCCGGCGGGACTGTCACCTTCTGACTGCCGGCTTCCTGTGTGTCTTTACTCTGGTCTTCTCTCCCTTTTTGTGCTGTCTTCTTCCTAAATCCCAAATTGTGCCCAGCCACCGATTTTGGTTGATCCATCAAACACCCATCGACACAGTCGGCCTCGCACGAGGATTTATCCCGCGCTTTGTACAGGGTACAGTACGTGGAAGTTACCACCTTACCCCACCGGAACAGCTACATCTACAAAGACGACAACGACAGCAACCGAAACAGCAGCAGCGGCAGCAGCAGCAAGAATCGTTTAGCGCCAGCCCACTCTCGAGTGCAAGTTCATGTCTATGTCCTCTCCCGCCACTGCTGCCAGAGTTTCCTCCCCTGAGCCCTCGTCCTCGTGCTCGCGCCCCAGTCGTCTGCGCCGCTTGAGCAACCTCCGGGCGTACACTCACTCCCACCTGTCTGGCAACTCAGCTAGTAGTGGCCACCGCTCGTATCGAAACAGCCTGACGCGGGCTGTTGGCCTGTCATTGCATTCCGCTTCTCCTCCAGCCTTGTCTGCCACAGACACTGCACCTCCTATAGATACTGCGGCTGCTGATGCAACTGCTACTAGTGCTGCTACAACTACTCCGACGGCGACGACGGCGACGACTGCGACTGCTGCAGCTACTTCTACCACTGCTACCACTACTACAGCAGATGTCCCGAGCCTGACCCTTCAAGACTATCTCCCACCCTCTACAGCGCAGAGTGAGAGCTCTCCAGCTCAGACCACTCGCGCCCTCCCCTCGTCATCTGCTTCTTCACATTCTATCCCGTCTAACGACCTGGAGCCATCGGAGCCCGCAACCAGCATCCGGCATGGCACGACATCGGAACATAGTACGCATGGATGTATCCGGAGTCAACCAGGACCAGTCGCAACACCCGTCGCCATCGCCGTCAGCTTCCCGGAATCGCAGTGAAACCACTCCCGAACACTCGACTGGTACGACCCGAAACACGACGCTAGGGAATATGGAGTCTCCCAGCAGACGAGCAGGCGCTACTCCTCTGCGGTCCTCTCCAGATCTCTGTTTGAAATCCGACCCCCCAAAGCCCGCCATACGTTTCTATGCATATCAAGACCCTCATCAGAACTCACGACCCTCGCTACCTTTCACAACCACTTCACGAACCCTGCCGAACGAGTCTTCTGTAATTCGAGTGGGGCGGTATTCCGAGCGTGACGGGATTGCTGTCCACAATCCAACCGAACCATCCGATGCCCCAATTGGCTTTAAATCCAAAGTCGTGAGCAGGAGACACTGCGAGTTTTCCTTTGTTAATGGCCAATGGCATATTCGGGATGTGGGGAGCTCCTCGGGAACTTTCTTGAACCACATGCGCCTAAGCCAACCCAACATGGCTTCGCGGCTCTATGCCGTGAGAGATGGCGATATTCTGCAACTAGGAATTGATTTCAGGGGCGGCGAGGAGATGATTTTCAGATGTGTACGGATGCGAATCGAATGCAATCGGACGTGGCAGCAACAAGCAAATGAATTTAAGTATGTTGTGTTCATTCTCCATTGTATTTTTTTGTTTCCTACACCGGTATTTTTCGGAGTGGGAAAGAGTTTACACTGACAGATGCAATACCAACAGCAAAAATACAGCGGCTCTAATCAATAACCTGGGGAAGGGCAAGAACGCGGCAGATTATGCGGGTAGCAGGGAATGTTCCATATGTCTTGGTTCAGTTTTGGTGCGGCCCCCTTCCCGTATCGGACTTGCAGCCGTCACTTCAGACTAATGTGATTTCGCAGCGTCCCTATCAATGCCTTTTTATGGCGGCTTGTGCTCATGTCTGGCATTACAAGTGCATACATCGCCTCATCCACACGCCAGAATACCCCATGTTCCAATGCCCAAACTGCCGTGCATATACAGATCTCAGTGCAGAGGTAGACGATTCGAACGACCCCTTTGAGGACGAGACACATCCGGAGCCTCTCAAGTCCCAAGACCAGCCTGCACAGGATTTTCCCGACAACACAACCGCCGCAACCACAAACCCCGCCGCCGCCAAATCTACAGGCGAGAGATCCGCTTCGTCACCGAATGGCCATAACCATCATAGGCAGACAAGTGAAGACCATGACAACCTAGCCGCTGCAGTCGACATGATGAACCTTGATGAGACCCCTTTAGCAACCCCACGAGCCGGAAACGGAGTTCCGAGGCGAACGAGCTCGACCGCGAATGCGGACCTTAATACTCCGGATGTAGGTATGGCAAATGGAATAAGAAACGAGGCGGCGGGCCATGGATTCGGCGAGACGATCATGCGCAGTTCCAACATCGACATACCCCAATGCTTGCGGCCTCCCGATGGTCGTCGATCACAGCAACCCCGGCATGGTGATAATGTCGGTGGCGGTGCAGGTGCAGGTGGTAATGATATGTTCGAAGATACCCCATTAACGCCACGGAACGATCTTGGTCCTTTAGCATTTGACGGTCGTGCTGGCCGGTTGTAGTTTTTTCCGTTATCTATTTTTTTTTTTTTCCTATTTGCTCATGGCGTTCCTTTTATGCTTTGCTTCTTCCTGCACTTGCATCATAATTTTTCTTTTACTTCGTTTACGTCACTTTTATGCCAATCACTTGGGTTCAAGTAGTTTGACTTACTTTTTTCTCCTGTCTCCCCCCCTTCCTTTTAAGCTATCTTTTCTTTTTCCATCCACTCTTTTTAAAAACCCTCACTGCATCAACTTTTACGAATTGATTGATTGCATTCACAGCATTTTCCATTCGTCATCTCCAAATAGCATTTATCTGCTTCGGTTACATGGTGCTCCTTCCTCTCAATCCAAAAACCCAGCCAGCCAAATAGCGACGCGCAACTAAACAGATATTCTACTCCAATGGGGCTTGACTGGGCCGGGCAATGTGATGTGGCTCTCTCTATCCTCCTCCCTTCTAGCAAACCTCGTTTCGACTTTGCTTTGTTTTCCTCTTTTCTCACCTCTACATCTAAACAAATAAAAATAGTATAGACAGATATCTGTATGGAAGAGAATATAGAAGCACGACATATATATAGGAGTATATTTATAGAAATTATTTTAAGCTCTATATAAATATCTGTATGTATATATACATCTTCACCTCCACATTTTTGTACGGTAGTTATCCTCCCCCCCCCCTCCCCGCGGGTACTGATTCCTTGGAATTGGGATTGGAATTTGGATTGTATTGGAGAAAGGTTTGTTTGTGTTTGTTTTGCATCATGATCATTTATTTCCGCTTTTAATTTATTTCGCTGCTCTCTTTTACTTAAGTTGACTTGTCAATCCCCGCTTTTTTTTCTGTTATCTCTCTATCATCCATGTTAATCAGAGCGTGCGTTTAAGCGAGTGTGAGCAGAGCAGGCGGAGAGGCAAATTCGGTGCCATGTAAATATCTAGTGGTTAGATGAAGGTGGATTTGCTGGTTGGTGTTCGAACCCAAAATATCAAACACGCAAAGGAAACATATTGCAGTTGCTAAATCAAACTTCGTTTCGCTCCCCATTCTCCTTCTTCCTACGGAGGTGTCCTTTTTTTATTGGATCGAGAGGTAATCTTGCGACTTCTTACGCGTCGATATCATGACGACTGCTATCAACCGCCAATCCCTGCGACTCCCCGCATCCCATTAGCAACCAGCTAGCTACTCGTTAGTATTTGCCAGGCGATGGAAGACGAGACACGCCATTCGAACCTTCCCCGCTTTTGCTTCCTGTATCAAATCCATCCCTCATGCTCTACGCAGCATGTGCATGCATATTTTAGTTTGCAGGATCCCATTCGCCCATCTTGCTTTCTCTCCCGTTCCCCCGCGCCATTGTTTCCACGTTGGCGGTCAGGGTTTGGGGGACCTCGCCGATTCTCAAACAGCGGCGCTGTTTGCTGAAATGTAAACCTCATTTTTTTACTGCTGATTTCTTTTTTCTCAATTTTTCTTCTCTTTTCGTATCCTCATTTATTCCTTCCATTCATACACTCGTCACTATTCGTGAAAGGACTTGGAAGCGACACACCAGCCAAGCGCCGATAAGCCGATAAGGCCTAACCCACCCTAGGTCCAGGTTAAGCTTAAATATTTTATCCGCAACTCTAAACCCAACCTCCTGAAATCTTCAACAACAACGCAGCATAAAGGAAGCGGGAATAAGAAGGCCGCGATCCTCTCCAAGTCCACATCCATCTCGGCTATGCGTTTCAGTGAGCCGTCATCGCCACAGAGCCGGTTGAAAAATGGAAGTGTTGTGAGCGTACGGCACCACCAGCGAAGACAAACGTTTCCGTTTCGCAAGTCGCGTCGTTCAAAGCCACGGAGGTATGTATGGTATTGAGCTCAGTATGTCTGCGATACGTTATTGTATGAATGGTACACAAGCCATGTACTTGAAGGGATTTGAGTCCTAATTATACACCCCAAAATATGATGTTATATAAAAAATAAGCAAAACAAAACAAAGCCAAAAAAAAACATCTCCAATTGCAAGAAGTCGAACACATTTTTTCCCAAGATTTTGATTGCGAGTTTCAAAAACTGATAGTCAAACTGGTTTTTTAAAAAAACAGATGGCCCCTCGTCCTCCGCTTTATAAAAGGCGCTATACATACTAAAATCCTCATTCCCGTCATCCTGCACGGCCTCTTCACCGCTCTAGTCGTCTATCTGGATAGAAACGTTTACGATAGCCTGGGCCTGCCTCCAACAATCGTACGTTTAACTCTACCCACAAACCTCCTTTTTATAAAACGAGACAACACTAATAGAAGCGGGGAAATAAACCCAATCCCCCCCCCCCAAAAACAGATTCCCTCCCTCTCCATAGTCGTTGGCCTCATCCTTGTCTTCCGCAACCAAACCTCCTACAACCGCTTCTGGGATGGTCGCAATAACCTATCCGTCATCAACACTTCCGTGCGCAACCTGACCCGCACGATTCTCACGCACGCCTATAACAGAACATCGGGGCCTCTCACCCTCGCTGAGAAAAACGATGTGGAGCGCACCATACGTGTCCTCATGGCGATCCCTTACGCCGTGAAGAATTATCTGCGTGCCGAATGGGGCGCGGCCTGGACGCTGAATCGGAACGCTGCTGATGGCATTGATGGTGGCGGTGGGCGTACTAGTCTCAGCAATGGGGTGGAGAATACTACGATCCTACGCCACCCGGACAGGAATGGCAATATAAATGTCAACGGTGCAGGTATTCATGGCGACGGCGGCGACGACGACAACGACGATGACGACTTGGATAGCGAGCAAGTGGTGAACCCAGAATACGATAGCCTGTTGCCCGCAGGTCTGCAGGCGTACGAGCACGAAGGCCTGGGCCTGCCTCTCCAGCTAACTTTCTTCGTCGACGGCTTCATAAAGCGCGGCCAGGAGCGTGGCTGGTTCACGGCGCCGGGCGCCAGCAACCTGCAAACCCAGCTTAACGCGCTGACTGACGCGTACGGGCGCATGGAGACCATCAAGCTCACGCCGATCCCCATTGCGCACCTCATCCATCAGAAACAGGTGTTGGCGCTCTTCGGCGCCGTGCTGCCGTTTGCCATGGTTGATGAGATGGGCTGGTGGGCTGTGCCCATTGTCTCGCTGGTTACTTTCACGCTGTACGGTATTGAGGGGATTGGATCGCAGTTGGAAGATCCGTTTGGATACGATCGGAATGATATTAAGATGGATGCTATTGTGGAGGATGAGAGGGTGGAGATTGAGGCGATTCTGAATGAGTGGAAAAAGGTTACAGTTGTGAGGGGGGAGGACGGGCTGGTAGGTGTTGGTGGTGGTGGCGATGCTGGAGGGTATGAACCGATGGAAATGTTTATACGGATGAGGGCGACGAATCGCAGCGGTGAAGAAAGGTTGAGGAATGGGGTGTGATGTTTACCTTTGTTGCCGATGGAATGATGTATATGCGGTGACGTCACATGTATGAAGTGAGCGTTTAGACTATGATTTACCATCACATTCTTGCAGTATGTTGTTTAAAGTGAAATTTGCAAAGGCATTCTATTGCTCTGAGTCAGGAACAAAACAGTAATGGCGCGCATGTTCGAAAAGGGTACAAGTGGAATTAGTTCCATCAACTAGTGAAAGTCGAAGAAATGAAGTGGAAAGAAGATAATCATAAAGGGTTCCAATAACACAACTTCTCCACTAGCCTCGCTCTTTCTTTTTCGATGAAAGGGAAGCAAGTTTAAAACTTAAAACAGCCCTCACTAGGATACACTAACTCCCCATTGTCAAAAGAGGATGGCTCTGCAAAATCGCCTCAACCTCGTCTGTCGCCTCTCCAGTTTTCCAGTTCCGAGTCCGATCCAGAATCAACCTCATATTCGGATACCCGAATCTCCATGTCCATCGAGAGTGCAGAATCAGCCGTTTCGCCTTTGGGCAAGGAACTCGTAAGAGGGTTATGTATCAAATGGGAATGAAAGTCGACAGTCAAGCTCTTCTGTTCCTTGTGCCCTTTCGGCTCAGATTCCTGCCGAAAATGTGACAGGCTGTCGGCCTTTTTGGTCGTCTCCGAAGCATCGGCGTCAGGATGGTAAGGACGCGTGACGGGTTGTGTTCGTGCCCGCGGTGGCTTATGTGTAGGAGACTCATCGCCAGCATCGCCAGCATCGCTCTCGGGACAGCCAAGTCTTGCCTTTGACCGGTTTGCCATCGTCCGTTTTCCACGCTCCTTTAACGCGCCCAATCTTGCCCTTCTCGCCTCGTTTCTTTCCCTGTTCGTATCACTATCCTTCAAAAGTTTCTTGATCATCACCTCCTCATCTCCCGCGCAATCCCCATCCCCTACCTCTTCCCTCGCCAGCTCTACAGCCAGTTTCACTTCCTCCTCACTCACCTGTGCTTCATCTTCCACCTGTATGCCCACACTCTCTAGAACCTGCCTTGCCTGCACTCGCATCCGGGCCCTTTTCAACATGACCCTTTTCGCCGTCCGCTGCAACCTCTCCAGGTCTATCTTCAGTGAATCAAGTGCATCAATAATCCAGGTCGGTGACCAGCCATAATGTCTACCATCAAATGTAGGTGGACCACACTTGCGCCAGAAATCATGAAGAGCTTGTATGTTCCAGTGATGCCGTACTTGATTTTGGCCCAACTGAACATGCCAAAGGTGGCTGAGGAGTTTGTATTCCCGGTCCTTGTGGCGGAATTCCGGAATTAGAGGGTCAGGCAGGTTGATGAGGTCAGGGGCTGGGGTTATGGTGGGGAGCTAAGGGGAAAGGAGTGAGCATATTTGTATGTGCAATACGCCCTCCTCACCCTCCTGTCTGTAAGGGTTGAAGGCTCAGTGATCGAAGGGTGACTTACATAGAATTCAGGATATTTGTAAGGATCGTAGTCATCGTCTGGCTCTGAGGGATGCATTTGGGGGAGAATCTGGATGGCTGAGTTTCTCTGTTTTGTAACCGGATTAGCCTGTTGTATGGGTGATGTGTTCCCGCTGTCCTTTTCCCCCAAGGCTATTTTGAAGATATATCGTCGACTTGGGATAATGATAGAGATGTAGTAGTTTGATTGTGCGTTAGGGTGAGATGTTGGCAATTAAGTAGGGGTAGGCGGGAATAGGAAGCACCTGCTTTTTTGTATGCTTGTACGCCTAACAACCCGTGTCTGTCCTGGAAGCAGCGAGAACTGACCACGTAGAAAGACACGCATCATCTATTAGTTCTTTTTTTTGCTCCTTTCGAAAGAGAAGTGATCCCACTCAAAGAGTCTGGGAATTTGAATCCTTATGGCCCGGATGACAAAGGATTCAGCCATAACCAGATGCCCCATCATGACTACTTAAAATGAAAAAAGTTGACAAATTATTACTCCGAGAGCTTCCTTCTAACTCAGTGAAATTAAATTCAACGTCTAGGTTAAATAAATACCCAACACACTAGTTGTGTATTCATTCTTACACTAATGCCCTCCGCAACCTTAAAGGACGGCTTTCTTTTGGAGAGTCACGAATAGAGTAATTCGTAGAAGGATAGAAGAAACCCAAGCACTTAGAGACCTTAGCATGCGGACTCCTTTGTCGCTTGGGCATTGGAAAGGGGTATCAAATAATAAAGTGCCCAGATATCATATAAAATGCATGTAGGCGATGTTGAGACGTTCCTCGAAAGTCTCCTCTTCAATACATTGACGAGTGTGGTTTCAAGGTATCAAACAATTCGAACGATACCCATCACGCCACAAAGGCAATGATATCTAAAATATAAGAACTTCGCTTGGGGTGGCATGATGGAGCTAGAAAAGCCAAACGTATCAATAAATGAACCTAGCGTTAGAACTCCAAACCCAAGAATTTTACCCTGACTTAACCTAATGGAATAAATTTCGGGTGAACTGAGTGAAGGATCCTGAAAGGAAGTAACGAACTCACATACCGAATCTGTTGTTATGACTGCTGAATTAATTTTGAGTTGCTAGAAGGGATAAGGGGAATGCCGGAAATACTGTATTCATAACCACCCATCACACATCTATTGCGACCCCTGACTTAGCTTCCCTCTCGTCTCTATAACTGGATATAACCTGTTCTGACGGGATTAGGGAATTGCCATAAAGGCTAACCGGCGGCGATTCATAAAGGTGCTTCGACACCCTCCAAGACCTGCTCGATGATCGATTCCGGGGAAGCATCCGCCAATATTAAATCAACAGCTTTCAGCGTACTTCCATACATCAGACTTCGATCATTCGCTGGGTCGGTTATGGAAATGCGATGGCGATAAACTCTCCTAGCAGCAAGCGCTACTAAGGACGGGAAAACATAATCCACTCGTTGTAAGGGTGCGAGACATCTGGTAGGCGAATGAGTGGTTGTATTTGAAATAGCTGAATAGCGGCTGAACTAACCGGGCAAGAAGTTGGAAATGGCGAGTGGAGATAGGAGTCAGGCCACCAGCCACTCCCCGATTCATCCGGAGAGCAATGATAATATCTTGAAGGTAGCTGCTTATCTCCGCAGAAAACGTCACATTATCGCTAAGTTCCCGTAGCGCATTGATATGCTGGAGATATTTTTTAGCGCAATGCAAATATGAGGAGCCTGAATGAAAAAGGCAACATGAGGCGCCATACCTCTTCGCGAATTAAATAGGGCTCATTAGGCTCTTTGGATAGCACTAGACTGGGCTTTCGAATGACAGAGGATATCGACCCTTGATCATCAGACAACCACCCACTACTTTCTTCAAGATTCATCAACCCATTCTGGGGATCATGGTAATACGACATGAAAATGTGGTCATTCTAGGTCCTTGATTTAGCACCTGTTATATTAAAAAAAAAGGTTCAGATCAAAATAAAATAGACTTACCAAATGGAGATTCAACGAGGAGGAGAGTCCTTGCGGCTTGGATTCAATAAGTGGAATAAAAAGAAAGGTCATCGGCACGCTGTGGAAAGACGTCCGCGTATAGATCCGTTTGGTTCGAATGAGCTAGGTTTGTGCTTCATTTAGTGGCCCGTATCCTTTTCTGAGGAAGACTAAAATATCAACTTACATCGAGTGTTAGTAGTTGAATGTGATCCGGAGCCTGGTCAAAATTTTTGGCAATGACGACATTGACCACCTTGCGGTCATCAAGCACGCTTGCTCGCACCCGCGAGCTAGATCTTCCACCTCCAAATGACAGTCGATCAACGCTCTACAATAACGTTAGTCATGTAATTCATCAGCATAGCGATGAAAACCCGTTTCCATAACGATCCCTGAACAGGCACGAATGCTCAAAAATGAAAAAGAAAGAAAGACCTTACCCTTCCCCCTTCGCCACTAGCGGCAAATGGCGAGAGTCTGTCATAGCCTTGTCTCTCAGCATCAGGAGCCAGGACAGCATTACTGAACCCCTCCACGGTCATGCTGGGGGAGCAATCCAAGGTGGCGTGGGAAAGGCCAAAGATATTTTCAGCAATCTACCAGGGTGTCAGTTCAGCTTATGGCATACATATTTAATTTTAGAGGACTCTTAGAATACCAAAATCAGTTCATTTTCTAAATCATCCAAGACCTCCCTTTCAGTGTCAATGATGCAATGCTGGCGGGCCACGAGACAGAGAAGCACGACCGCTTCAATATCGGACAGGTCTTCTATTCTATCATGAAGGCTAGAATATTCCATTGCATAAAAGGACTAATCCCTAAGGCGTTAATTTCAAACAAACAACATGCTGTCAACATCGGACGAGAGCATCCATCTCGCTTGGTTGGTTGGTTGGTTGCAGGTGGCATCGTGGGCAGTCACATGTCACCTGTATTAGTAGTATCGTAACTTACATCCTCTGGTAGGGCGGATTACTTTACGGGGGTATTCTGCCGTATCATCAGTTATGTAATGCGTACCAAAATGGGAAAGCTCGATAATCTCCATGTCCGGGTGCCTTGTACTACTTATATGCAACCAGATATACGACATGCTATGTTATAATTAAACATTAAACCCCAATCTTAATATTCGGATATAAGAGACATTCTTTGAAATGACAAAACTGTTCATCATTTGACGCCAGCGTTGGAATTCATATGGCTCCAACAAACCCTCTGGCTGACTGGGAGCGAGTGGGAGACCAATTCTATCGAAAGGTCCGAATATACGATGCTGTCTTTGACGAGGAGCTCGAGTTGGAAAATTTCATTGTTGCTGGAGCTCCGTATGGAGGTGCTATAGGTAAATTTACTTCCACAAATTTCATAGCTTGATTATATTTCTTGTTCTAATTCTAATAACGCCCGCAGCTCTTTACCGCGATGAAAGCAAACTCCAAAGATATAGGGATGCAGAGACAGCAAAGTCATCTATTGATATTTATTCCTGCTCTGGCAAACGAATCAGTCAAATTAATGTTTGCTATAACATGCTACTTATCTATCCGGTTTGAGCTATCTATACTAATATCTGGTGTTAGTGGGAACATGGGTCAATCCGAGGCTTGGGCTGGTCGGACGATGAGAAGCTACTTGTAGTAACCCAAGATGGCACCGTGCGATGTTACTATGGTCTACATGCGGACTTTGTGCCGTTTTCTCTAGGAACTGTATGGCATGTGTCAAGCCAGCCCTATCTGTGACTTTTGCTAATTTTTAACTTAGGTGGCAGAAGAACACGGAGTGAAATCCTGCCGTTTTTGGTCGGACGGCTTCGTTGCTCTCTTGAATAACAATCAGTTCATTGCTGTCTCTCGCTATGATGAGCCACGGCCTAAATTGCTCGCATCAACCCCTGAAGGGGAAATTTCCTCATGGTCATTGATTCCTCCCAATTACACGCTCTCGCGTTCAGTCGAGGTTCTCCTTGCGGTGGATCAGACGATCTGCGTTGTAGACGCAACAGATGCTGAGGACCGTATGTTGCAAAACGGCCCCTTTAAACATGTCAGTGTATCCCCCAATGGGCGATTTGTTGCCTTGTATACTTGCGATGGCAAAGTCTGGGTTATAAGTAGCGACTTCCAAAACAAGCTCAGTGAATATCACTCTGGGGCGAGAACGCCCCCAAACAACGTGGTGTGGTGTGGCAATGATTCTGTTGTGCTCTCTTGGGAGGATGAAGTCCACATGGTCGGCCCTAACGGCGCTGCAGTGAGGTTGGCGTTCCGTTTCTTTCTTTCCTTTTTTTAACGCGACTTATACAGCTGACATCTGTTGAGGTATTTCTACGATGGCCGTGTCCATGTAATTCCAGATTTTGACGGCGTGAGATTGCTCACTAATGATGCCTGTGAATTTCTTCACAAGGTTCCGGGTATGTTCCTATGGTACATTACAGAAGGCGATTAGCTGCTAATTTTATCCATAGATGTTACGGAAGAAGTGTTCAAGTTAGGTTCAACGTCTCCTGCCTCAATTCTCCTCGATTCAGTTGGCCTACTTGAAAGGAAATCCCCGAAGGCCGACGAGAACATCCAGCACATCCGCACTAAGCTTCTCGAAGCAGTCGATACCTGTGTAAAGGCAGCGGGCCACGAATTTAATACCCATTGGCAAAAGCAACTTCTTAAAGCGGCATCGTTCGGAAAGTCAGTAATTGATCTTTATAATAGTGATGACTTTGTCGATATGTGCGAGCGTCTACGTGTGCTCAATGCCGTCCGTGACTACCGGATCGGTATCCCTATCTCATATGAACAATATCTCCGCCTGACCCCGGACAAGTTGATTGATCGACTGATCCATCGCCACGAATATCTTCTTGCAATCCGCGTTTCCGAATATCTCCGCCTCCCGACAGATAAAATATATGTCCACTGGGCCAGTCAAAAGGTCAAGACTTCCGCGGAAGATGATGATACTATTTGCCATTTGGTGGCAGAGAAACTTCAGGGGAAGCGAGGAATATCATTTGAATCAATAGCACAATCAGCCTATGACGAAGGTCGAGGACATTTGGCCACCCAGCTACTTAATTTCGAGCCACGTGCGGGAAGGCAGGTGCCTCTGCTCTTGAAGATGGAAGAAGATAATCTCGCTTTGGACAAGGCCCTAGAAAGTGGCGATACGGATCTAATATATTTCGTCCTGTTACAGCTTAAACGGAAACTTCCACTCGCAAGCTTTTTCCGGACCATCAATTCTCGCCCAGTTGCCTCCGCGCTCGTGGAGACATCTGCAAGATCTCAAGATGTGGAATTACTCAAAGACTTGTATTACCAGGATGATCGCCCGGTTGATGGGTCTAATCTACTTTTGAGAGATGCAATCGCTCAATCTGACCCACAAGCTATGGCAGATAAGCTACGATTAGCGTCTAAATTATTGGTCGATTCCAAGGATGCGAGCGCGCAATCCCATCAGAAGTCATTGACGGAAGCTGCGCAACTGTTGAAAATCCAAGATGGACTGGACAAGGATATTGGGGATGGCAGCAGTGAATTTGTTGGCCTGAGTATAAATGAAACCATGTACAGGCTAATAAAATCTGGGTATGGGAAACGCGCCAACAAAATCCAGAGTGAATTCAAAGTACCAGAGAAGACGTTCTGGTGGGTGAGATTGAGGGCTTTGGTAGCCAAACGAGATTGGGGTGAGCTTGAGGAACTTGCCAAGCCCAAAAAGTCTCCAATTGGATGGGAGGTAAATTTTGCATGCCTTGTTCCCCTGTTTTCATGTTCTTGTTCATGGTTCTATATTCATTCATTCGTTAATATCTATATGTCGGAGTCAATGCTAACGCAGGTCACCCTAGCCATTTTACAATGAAATTCTAAGCGCCGGAAATACCAAGATCGCCTCAATATTTATCCCCAAATGCACCAGTTTGTCGATAGCAGAGAGAATCGAAATGTGGGTGAAGTGCGGAATGGTTGTCAAGGCTGGTGAAGAAGCCCTCAAGGCCAATGACGTCAACAGCCTGGAATTGCTCAGAAAGAAAGCATCCGGTTCAGCGGTGGGTGAGATCGACCGAATGATCAACCAGTTGAGGCCAAAGAAATAGAAATGGGCCCGCTCGGTCGGATGCCGTACTCTTCTTTCATTTTTCCACGTCTTTTAATTCTCTTTATTCGATATGCTAGATACCATAGTATGTAGATTCCTGTTCAAGTGATTTCTCCATCTTCCTCAAATTCAAACTTTTGGAGAGGTGTTGCCTGTTGTGATTGCACCGAAGACTGAGAAATCGTCGTTACTGGTGGTGTACGCGCCTCATTCGGTTCAGCGTCTTCGTCCATAGCCTCAGCACCGTCCACATCCCCTCCTGAGACCACTTTGCCAGGTACAGCAAGAGCTTTACGATTCATGTCATCCCACGTGGACTGGATGTCCATTAGTTTTATTGACCACCAAATAATAGAATAGGACAGGAAAGGGAAGAAATATCCTCACTCTTCGCTCTTTGACAACCTTTGCCTTGCCCATGCTTTTGGCCATTTTCTTTTCTGTTCTATCCATAATCAATTCCGCACGTTCCAGGCCTTTTTCTTGCCGCTTCCGCTGGGCACGGGTGATCTGCTTGGATTTGGACTTTTTCGTAATACCGGCATTATGCTTTGCAGATAGGATATGTGGCTTGACTGTCGGGATCGGCTCTGTCCTGGGAACGAACTTCAATAATGATTCATTTGTCGGAGACACGGCTCGCTTTGCCGCTCTTGAATGCATGGATTTCGCTTCAAAAATTGGATTTCATCGGTGAGAATGTGTGGTTGCAAATATAGATTGCGTAGGGTAATAATACGTACAGGAAACTTTTGCCTTCACTTTCGCGGTCTTTGCCATGACTGCGCGGATGTGGGGGGTATGATTTGTTACATTGAATCACACAACTATCACTAGGAGGAAATTTCTTTGCTGTCCAGGACTCTTGGAGTTGGACATTTTGAAAATTCCTAGCGGGGAAAGCGACAAGGTGGGCAGATTCCACTAGTCCAAAATAGAGCTAGCGGGATCTTGCCCATCTGTGGCCAGAATCCCTCGACCATCCTGGATACCTTTAACATCAATATCAAGCTCCTGAGTTCTCGATACTCCGCACACACCAGAGATTCACAAGACCGTTGCTATCCATTTACAGTACAACCCTGAACATGCGGATAGCTAGGGACTTCTCTGATCGATCACCCTGACAAGCCCCGATGCCTCCGAGAGCTAGCCTCTTGTGCCTGCTTCTTGACTTGCTCACGAAATATGCCCGGCACCTCGGATTTCTCCTCTCACAATCATCACCATCACCTTTACACTAGCCCGTTGCAGGATAACTATCGCGATGACCGCTTCGGCGAATGGATACCTGCCCAAACGAAGATAGTGTGCTTTGGAGTGTCCTTGCTTTTGGGCTACTATATTTTCAAGTACCTTGACCTCATTGTTTCCACCCTCCTCCAAACTGTTTGGAACATCATCGTCTTCATTACTCCATCACGCATTATTTTTGCTTTAGATAAGGGAGCAGCTTTTGACGAGGATACTGAGTTGGCCGCAACCTCGTTGACACGTGAAGCTCTACACTCCGCAAAAAGCGTTGCAATGCAGAGGATCCTGGGTTTGGATGCGAATTCGTTGCTCACAACACTTCCGCGGGGAAGGAGCCTCTCGGGAATCGGGCAAGCCTTTTTGGGCCTCAAGGAAGCTTGCCCTCCAGGACTTGGCAATTGGGATAACTCGTGCTATCAAAATAGCATAATCCAGGGATTCGCTTCGCTTCGTGCATTGGATAAGTTTTTGGAAGAAAATCTTCGCGAGTTAGGGGACCGTGATCCCTTTTATACTCATCTTGCGCTAAAAGAAATCATCGACAAACTGAATAGCCCCTCATATGGGGGTCGAAAGCTATGGACGCCTCCGGAACTGAAGTCAATGAGCAGTTGGCAACAACAAGATGCGCAAGAATACTTTTCGAAAGTGATTGACCAGGTAGACAAAGAAATTCGCCGTGCTTCTAAAGGTTTAACAAGTGATGTGGGACTTAGATTTGTTGATGCGGAGCGCAATAACCACAGGGGTGGTCCCGTTCCAGCATATGAAACAAGACAGATCAACGATGAACACAAGCCCCCTAGGGATGGAGAGTACAAACGCAGTACTCTCCTCAACCCGCTTGAGGGTCTCCTTGCTCAACGCGTTGGATGTATGAGATGTGGATGGACAGAAGGACTTTCCGTTATTCCCTTTAACTGTCTGACAGTGTCCCTGGGCTCTAACTGGGAGTACGATATTCGAGAATGCTTGGACGAATATACCACTTTGGAGGCTATTGAGGGTGTTGAATGCGCTAAATGTACACTTCTACGAACTGAAGGTCAGCTGGGGCAGCTGTTGCAACAGATTGATTCGGATGCGGAGCTCGAAGAGGGAGCCAGCACACCTCGGTTGACGGAAGCTTTACGAAGTTCCGCGGAAACAAGATTAAAGGTTGTCCAGAAAGCTCTTGAGAATGATGACTTCTCTGAAAAGACATTATCTGAGAAGTGCCATATTCCCGCGCGGAATCGTGTTTCGTCCACCAAATCAAGACAAGCAGTCATTGCAAGAGCACCAAAGTCCCTTGTTATCCACGTGAACCGGAGTGTATTCGACGAAATAACGGGCATACTCAGAAAGAACTATGCTGATGTAAGGTTCCCGAGGATTTTAGATCTTGATGAATGGTGTTTGGGGTCTAAATCGGCGGGGAAAAACGATGAGACAGAATCTTGGTGCATGGATCCTTCAAAATCCATGCTTTCTCGCCCTGGAACCAACACAAATATTCCCCACAGACGCTACGAGCTGCGGGCTGTGATAACTCATTACGGGCGACATGAGAATGGACACTACATTTGTTATAGAAAGTATTCAGTCAAGTCATTCCCGGCTACTGTTCCACAAGCTGTCATAGATGCGGACGGGGAGAAGGAGGTCGCAGAGCGCTGGTTCAGGCTCAGTGATGAAGATGTCAGTCTAGTTAGTGAGAAAAATGTTCTTTCTCAGGGCGGTGTATTCATGTTGTTTTACGAGTGTGTCGAGCAACCGCGTTATGCACCAACTGGATCTGTGGATGAGAAACAACCTGGGCAAGAAGACATCTCCCTCAAGGAAATTTCGTTCAATTCTCAAGGAGAAGCAGGTGGAATCCTACGCACGGGTGACGTTGAACTTGATAAGACGGATAAAACGGAAATTCGACCGGAGTCTTCTGGAACATCAACTGGCTCTGTGACTGGCCATTATTCGCAGGATTCTGACCTCTCTGATACATCGACCTCCTCGTCATTTTCCAATGAAAACCACTCTGTTGTGGCTGATAAAATTCAGCCTGCCCCAACTATGAAGACGGCCGCGACACCATTTGAAGGTAACCAGGTGACCCATTCCAACGTGGACACTGGCCCTTCAATGGTCAAGGCATTGTAATGAATCATGAACAAGCAAACCCCATTTTGGTGTTCTATTTTATTACTCGGCGTTGTATGTATGTCTTGATAACTGGCAAGGGGCCTTCGGTTCCGATGGTTAAATGGAGCTTTGATTATTATGGTTTGTACTGTATTGGGGGAGACGGGAATGGTGCTGGTGTATCCCGCTAGACTTTCCAATGTACATTTCCCTCCTTTTTTTTTTCATTCATTCATTCTTTCTCTGCCCCGCCCGCTTCTTTTTGTTTTTTTTGCATACGTTTCAAATACCATGGGATGGAATAGAAGTCGGACTCGTCATGTTCATTTGCTTACGGCCATTGATTCGGCGTCTTGATTCTTGTTTCTCGTCTGTTTTTCTTTGTCTTCTTTTCCTACTTTTTGGGAGGATTTCTAGCTGGATGGAGGTGAAATGGATGGTCCCAGCTAGATATGTGCCAGTTGAGTTCTTACTTTACATTGCATGAACCACGACGGTTATGTTGGTTTTGCAGAGGGTGGGTAGAGTTGTCCTGTACAATGTCCTTGTATGCCCTACCTACCAGCTAATTCATATATTGCTAATTACCCTATTTATGGCCGTTTTCTGTGCAATCCAAATATCATTGATATCATCCTGAACGCCTTTGCTGGGGAACATCTTAAGAACACACGGTTCAAATGGAAGAAACCACCAAGGAAAAGAATCCCAACGCCAACCCCCTTCCCGATCCCTATCACGTCCTCAAAACACCCCCGCCCTCACCATGACCTCCCTAAACTGCTCCAACGAGACACCGGCATGCAATCCATCCCCACCGTTGGCCTCTCTCACCATGTCCCTCAACAGCTCCTCACTAACATCCTCCTTCAAATCCCTCGCCACCCTCCTTAAATGTGCCACAGATATGGGCCCCGCGGTCCCGCGCGTGAACAGTTTATACGCATGCTCGACTTCAGCAAAGATGGCGTCTTCGTCGCGAGAGTGCAGCTTCAATGCGCAGACGGAGAGGAATGGTTCGTACGGGACAAAGCCGGTGGCGGTGGGGTCGACCGCAGAGAGGATGGAGGCTAGTTCTTTTTGGTCTGTGGGTGAGATGCCGAGGGCTCTGGGTGTATTTTGATTTTTATGAGTTAGGAAGGCTTATTGCACTGCATAAGTAATGGTGGGCTGAATGGGAGAAGTGTGGGGCAGTGTCCGTGAATATATGCATACATCATCGCGTGCCGAACATCTTGGGTTTTAATTACGCCTTCCTTCTCTGAAGGATAGTCGTCGCTTTTTGTAGAGAAGAGATGGAACGCTTCTTTGATTTCCGCTTCTTCATCGCCGGTTATACCGTTCTCTTTGGCGAGTTTAGACTGGCGTGTTCGCTTCTCTTTAGGACCCGTGGAGGATCGTTTTGGTGGCTGTGGTGGTTGGTTGTTTTTGGTTAGTTAGTTAGTTAGGGGTTAACATAACACAGGATATCAATATACTGATTGTTGATAACTTACCATATTCAATATATCAAAATCGCAACGGGAAATATGGCGTTAAGGAGACGACGGAGCTGGCTATATTTCCTGCAAGCTCCGGAGCTTTTTGCGGCTGGTGGTGACGTCGGGCTTGGCGCAGGACGCATTGATAATTGTAATCCCTCATCGTTCCCTGAGCTTGCACGTTGACGCATGCAAGATGGTAGCCTGGGATATTCAAATATTGCATATATGCAAAGAAGACATATCCATTCTTTGCTCTTGAAATGCTATTGAGCTCTTTCACGCCGGATATAATTAAAACATCATCGTCCCAAACCCGGACTGCTCCACTACTATTCACCTGAAACCACTTCTCCTGCTGGCACTGCGGGATACAATCGCATTGCCCTACCTCGAGAGAAGATGGACGTTGTGCTGTGCATTTATGATATCTCCAAGGTGGGTTATACCCCCAACCATTGGTTTGTTATAGCATCATCTGACGAGAAATGAACCAGGGCCTCGCTCGACAAGTCCGTATACCCGAGCACCATCTCTAGTTCTCATATCCAGCAACTAATGACCCGCGATAGCTTTCATTTGCTATAACTGGTACCCAGATAGATGCGATTTATCACACTTCACTAGTATTCGGGGGGGTGGAATACTTCTTCGGTAGAGGGATTCAACAAGCGGCCCCTGGAACAACCCATCATGGGGAGCCCATTGAGCGGATCCACATGGGCACCTCTCAGCTTCCGATTGAAGTGATAGTTGAGTACATGGAATCTTTGGCGGCAGTTTACACGGAGGACGTATGTGCGCTCCCCACTTTGCCCCTCCATACTATCTGAATTGAATTACATGCATCACGAATCAATCTGAGGCACGGCGAACGCTTATATCGAAATGCACACTAGTCATACGATCTTTTCCTCCGCAACTGTAATAATTTTACGCATGATCTCGCCACATTTCTAGTTGGAAAGGGTATCCCTGACCATATCAGAAATCTCCCTGAGACCTTTCTTAGCACACCATTTGGCCAAATGATGAGACCATATATTGATGGTATGCTTCGCGGAGCAACTCAAGGCCCAGAGAGACCTCACCCTGTTGCCGCAATCCAGCCTCCCACCGCTGGAGCAAATGGGGTTACAAGGCCGATTGCTGGGTATCCCAAACCTTCGCACCCTGTCCAGGAAGGATATGTTCGTAACGTGACAACCAGTCGAGAAGTAGAGGAGCTCCTAGCCTCTGCAAACTCCTCGTGCGCAGTGATCTTTTTCACATCTGCAACATGTCCGCCTTGCAAAGTAATGTATCCAGTGTACGACGAACTTGCCGAAGAAGCCGGTAATAAAGCTATTCTTATCAAGGTGGATATATCTCGTGCTTTCGATGTCTCCGCAAAATACGGTATCAGGGCGACTCCAACTTTCATGACCTTTCTAAAAGGGAAGAAGGAAAACGAATGGAGTGGAGCAAACGAAGGCGAACTACGTGGAAATGTCCGACTTCTTATTGACATGGCTTGGCCGCCTCATCCGCATAGACGACTGAGGCTACCAAATCTAGAACGCCCCGTTGGCTCCTACGTGCTTTACAAGAAGACTCCCCCACTAGATAAATTGACCCAAAAACTCGGCTCAGCAGGTGACGAACCCTCCCTTCAGGACTTGGTCAAGTTCATCAAGTCAAGAGATAGCGGTGGACCAGCAGTCCCTGCGCTCCCAAACCTCTCATTACTGCAAGACTTCATCAAATCGAAATTCCTTTCCCTCCCGCAAGGCGTTCATTTTGCGGTAATCGATTTAGTTCGCGCTGCATTTTCTGACCCCCGCGTCAGTGGTTTCTTCGCAGAGGAAGACGCGCACCACTCTCTGTTGACTTTGCTTGGAGGAACCAGCGATCTGTCCAGTTACCCTTACAGCCAACAACTCGTGATGACGCAGCTGGCTTGCAACCTCTTCACATCGCCCCTATATCTAGATCAAATAGTATCCCACAGCATCCTTCGCGAGACATGCATAAAAATTGCCACGTTCTCCCTCCTTGCCCAACACGTTAGTCTGCGCGCAGCTGGCGCATCCTTTATGTATAATCTTGCGGCGTTTAACCACAACGAGAGACTGGGCAATGCGCCAGATCGGCTGTCGGAGGCAGACCAGGTGGAACTGGTCGCGTCGGTTCTTGAAGCTATCAGGATGGAGATTGAGAGTGTTGAGAGTCTCCATGGCCATCTATTATCGCTGGGCCTATTTGTATATCTTGCTCCTATTGATGGAGAAGTCCTGGATTTGTGTAGAGTGATGGAAGCTCAGGGGATTGTCAAAGAGAAAGAGAAAGTGAGTGCTCTTGCGGAAGAGCCCCTTCTTAAGGAAATAGGAGAACTCCTTGGGAACGGGTTGATCACAGGTTAAACAAATCTGGGAGAGCAATTCTTGAGGATTTTCACTCACTATTTCTGTTTTATTTTGAGTTTGTCATATTCCCCCTTTATATCCATTGAATGATATGTTTTCCCATTTACATCATCCCCAATGCGTTTGGTAGAATTTAGATGCCGTTTCTTCCCACTTTCTTAACAATTCCACTCTACAATCACCGCTGCTACCCCTGAGATTCTTAATAAAGGCCGGTGAAGAGATTACCTATTAAGAACCAATCATAGCATTTTTTAGATATACTATTAAGCGATTCTGGTGAACGATTTGTTAAATTGGATGTTAGGCAAGTTGACGAGTTTCCGCAGGTTTCTTGCTTGGCCTTTAGCGGATCATCCGATGAATGAGTTTGAACAGCCGGAATTGGTCCTGGGTAAAATGCATTGATTTATTATCCCAATGTGAGCGATATTGCTTTGCCCAGAATATCCACGGATATCTAACTTTGGATTCGAGTGGTGATCGCTCCCAGTTCACAATTCGTGATGCTCTCAATTCGTCCTGGCCTGATAATTATAGTCCTATATAGAGTGGCCTACTATTCCAACCGGCTGAAGGTTTGATAGAGTTCTTCTTTTCAATATCACTCCATTGAACCCCCTTTCCTGGAATATATAAACCAGACATTCCTGTTAAACGCCTAGATTCCCATCCTCCAAAGAATTCCATCATATAGCTTTCCTCTGCGAAAAATTGTACGCCGCTGTGATGTTGGTGTAAACAAAGTACAAAAGGGAATAATCCATTTCAAGACAAATAAAAAGTGCCGGCCCGGCCGTCCCATCATGGTCTGGAACGTATAGAATAAAAAATGGCGAACGAAATTTGCCTCACCAACTATCGAAATTACCGAACCCACCGCCTCCATTCGCAGCTTTGAATTTCTTTCTCGCATGTTCAAGATCGGGCTCCTCGTCGATAAGTTCTGCAATTTCGTCTTCACTCGCCTTTTCTTGAGCGGCGGCGGCGGCAGTAGCTGCTTTAAGATATCTCCCCACACCCATATTTCCACCAGCGGATGCAGCGCTATTTGCCACGCCTCCAGTTCGTACCCGCTTGCCTGTCCAGGTTAGTTGGTCATCGCTTTGGCCGTCTCTTGAACGGGAACCGTTCGAAGGATCAGGGCCAGCGCCTGTTTGCGCTTCCTCTTCTGCGCGTTTCTGGCTTAGGAATTCCTCAAAAGGGTCGACAAAGATTGTAACGTTGATGATACGGATAGGCGTGGTGGGCTTGTTGGTGGAATCCACTGGGGAAATTTCGAGGGCGTTTAGGGTTGTAGATGATGGTGAAGGGTCGTCGATTAGACGAGCGAATATGGTGTGCTTGAGATTTAGATGGGGGAGGGCACGGTAGGCAATGAAACTGGTTTTTATGAGTTAACACTGGTTTATAGCTTTTTTACATTCTTCAAACATATGTTCATGCATAGAGATCGACAGCTGGGAAATTGGATGAAGGGAATATATTGTACTCACAATTGACTACTATTCGTATTTTTGCCTTTATTAGCCATGCTCACCGTCCCTCTGGCATCATGTTTGAACGGTCCCTCGATCTCATCCTCAAAGTTCTTCCCCCAGATACTTTCACCACCTCTGCCAGTACCAGTGGGATCACCACCTTGAATCATGAAGCCTTTAATGTTTCGGTGAAAGGTGACATCATTATAATATCCCTTCTTAGCTAGCTGAATGAAGTTCCAAACAGCCTTGGGTGCATGTTCTGTATGGAGTTCAAGGTTGAGATCCCCCATCGTCGTGCTAATGCGCGCGTATCCCTTGATGTTAACGCGGCCCCGACGCAGCATGTATTGTTCATCGGTGAGCAGAGCAAGGTCAGCAGATGTGTGGGGGGTGATACCAGTGCTGGTAAAGGAAGCAGCTGCAAGTCCTGTTGTATGTTTTGCGGCGTTGTATGGCGTTGGTTTCCTGTTTTGATTCATTGAGGCTTTCGTGGAACTATTTTTGCCCAAAACTGTGGTATCCTTTCCTTTCGATTTTTCAAGAGCGGTGGCGTGTGCTTTTTGTTCGCGTTCCGCGCGTGCTTTCGATACAGCCTCTTTTGCCTTCAAAATCCTCGCCGAGCTCCCCATAGCATTCATGTTCACGGTACTTCTTTGTTCCCGCAACTGCTCATCTGATAAACCGCTTTCCCCGTCTATTAGAAATTTAAAAGAACTAAGATCTCGAGACTGGATATTCTGCGGATCCTGTAGCGTGATGATATCCTTCCGTTCAAACTCTTCATCCGTCACCAAATCCCTCCACATTTTTGCCTTGACATTTAGTTTGTCCAACGTATCCCACGCAAAAACGTTTCCTGACGGTTTCAAAGCCACAATATGCGTATTGTCCGTAAATGCTTTATAAGTGACGGGGTCAACATATTCGCCTTCGTCATTTTTCGCAAAATTCAGTTTAATTAGGTCAGAGCTTCTGAGAGGGGTGCCGTCGACGGGGTTTGTGCCATGTTTCTTAATCCAAGGAATTATATTCGTGAGGTCGAATAGAGTACCGGAGAGTGTGCAAACGGGATGTGAGAACGGCTGTAGGGAGAGAGAGCAGAAGTTGAACGGGAGGCGTTTAAAGGAAGAATGTACGGTTCCCGCTTTCGATCGAACCCCGGAACCGGCGCTGGCGGAGTATGCATCTTCGGATGCCCATTCTGAATGGGTAATCTATTTATATTCAATATCTGTTAGTGTTGAAGCAATCCTGCGTTTCTGCTGACAGCCTGGGTTCAATCATACGTAGAGCTTATCAGTTCCTGCAAGATAACAAGTTAGTATCACGGAATGTATTTTGAGAAATAAAGGCCTGCTACGTACCTTTTCCCATGCTTAATGATCGACCTATGCCGACAACTATCGCATGTCTTGCTGTCGCAGAAACTGTCGGCGCTTGACTTGCAGGCTGAAATAGAATTACATCAGCGGGCGTTTAAGCTTTCGGACGCTAATCCTCTTCGGGAAACTTTTCTAAAATCAAAGCAACGCTGTATGTAAAGTGTTTCCTAGTTATAAATGAGGGCGAGGAGGGCAGATATTGAGTATATCTAAGTAGTCGGCGTTGCTTATGGAGCATAGCAGTGGCTGGGAAACGTTAATTTAATAATTACACACGACTGAAAAGTAAGCCTTTCCCTAAACCTTTCTCAACCCAATACCCAAGGGATACAAAGATGGTATCAATAAATGGACGCTGTAGGAAAAGAATTGCTTTTTCTTCGGATAGTACACAGCGACAAAGAAGAAAGCCTTATCGCGACTCCATTGGTCGCAATTGGCATAAGAAAATAATACACATGAAACAGCCGATTTTTAAGGTTGCTTTTCTTTGGAAAGGGAGAATATTCAGGGCGTTGGCGTTTGGAATCGGAGGGGGACGATCCATTGATTCCCAAAGTCAACACCATGTCGCCGTCGACTACCATATTTCTTCCACACAACTTGGCTGATACCAATATCTGCAACTGTGATGTTCCAGGCTAGTCCTTCGCCGGACCCAAGCGCATGAACAAGTCCGGTTTTGGGTGCTCCTAGGCAAACGATGAATTTTGAATTGACACTCAATCGAGAACCTTGAACGAGCGTTGCTTCACCTGAAGCAAAGGAAAGGGTTAGTGTGTCAGATTAGAGAGCCGTTAAGATATAACAGCTATAAAATATCTTACCTGATACAGCAGAGAGCCCCGATGGGACATCCACGGACAAAATTTCAACATTGTTGCGATTAGCCCACGAGATCATTTCAAAGGCAGTCGCTTGGTCGTCAGTTCGTAGGTCATCAAAAGCAATATGAACACCAAATAAGGCATCTATTACAAGGTCGGGAACGTAATCACCAGAGGTCAGTCGTGTTGATATTTCTTCCCATCTCATGACTCTTCCGGTAACCTTTTTGAAGATGTCGATCTGTTTCCGTACACCATCCATGAACTCATCTTCACGATCCAGGCCGAGGACACAAAGCGTTACCCGATATCCCCGATTACGGAAATGTCGAGCGGCACATATAGCACGACTGCCAGTTCGGTGATTCCCAGCTAAAACTAATATGGTGGATGAAATCGCAAGTTTGGAGACTTGAAACACTGCAGCCTCAGCAATGCCTCGTCCAGCGTTTTCCGTAATTATGTCTTCTCCCAAACCAAGCTCCGTAATGGCCAACTGCTCTATCTCAATCATTTGAAGTGGACCGACACAGGGGCATGGCCGCTTTGTTGCTGCCAGCAGCAAAGAACCAGTTGATGATGAGCCCGATCCTATTAAAGGCGAACTCTTGTGTGGTTGCGGACTTTCGGTACGAGAACCTGTCATTTGGCCACGAGATAAGGAGCTGATCTGAGAAGATACAAGAGTCGATCCGAGAATCGTACTCCCTTTTCGAGATTGTGCACGGGCAGATACGGATACTCTCGACCTAGCTCTCGCGGAATTTCTTCCGCTACTGAAACGCTCTTCGCTGGCTTCATCGTCGTCCGTTTCCCCTGCTTCACTATTCCATTTATCGTTCGATGGATTGTCATCAAGGACGTTCTCCGTGTAGTGTAAATTTCTGCCATCGTTCGTCCCTGGTCTTTGAACTCTCCTGTTGAAACTGACCAATCGTTCTTCGCCAGTGGTAGTATCATCATTGCGAATCTCGTCGAAAACACGACGCTTATCGAACTTTGATAGATTACTGGCGAAATCGAAATCTCCCATCTCCTGAATGTCCGTTGCGTCCTCCGTTGCCCATCCACTCGGGTCCTCAGCATATGATTTCTTGCTCCTTACTTTAGACCGCCTGGCTCGCCCATTATTAAGCTTTTGTGGAGACGGATCGCGGGCTGGTTCAACAAACGCAGTCTTACGCCAACCCTTCCCTGGAACAGGGGGTCTCGACGAACCTGTCGTGGCAGTAGGGTTTTCCGTTATTGCGTCAACGCCGGAAGATTGCACAGCTGCGTCTTTATTCATCTTGTTCCTTCCGCCCCTTCGACTACGTTTTCCGGTATACTTGAGCGGCGCTTCCAGAGGCCCTGCACCCCTACGGCCTTCTGGAATACTCGACTCCGCCTGTTCCACTTGTGTACCCTGATCCTCCGTCGATCCTTCGTTGAAACTCAGGTTGTTAAATGGCTCGCTGAGTGTTGCTGTTGCATCATCTACCGCCGCTTGTTTTGGGCCAGTTGGAGTTATGGCAGTGGGAACCATAGACTTTGCGCCAGAGCGGGCGGAAGACTCCGAATCGGCAATCATAACTGGAGAAGTGGCGTCTCGTTTGCCAGTATTTAAATGTATGTTCGTAGTCGAAATTGACGAATTTTTAGAGGGTTTTTGGAAACTTAGTATCGCGGGATCAACAAACGCTTGAGGCCGGGATTCTATCGACACGGTCTCAACCGCATTTTCCTGCCTGCGTTGCGGAAGTTGCGACGGGCGTTGTGAAGGAGGCAGCGTGCCACCATTATGGAAGGACGGTTGGGCTGTGGTTCCGTAGTTGGCGGCGGCGGGAGGGTTCGGTATTTGGTGGGAAGACAATTCTAGATCTGCGATGCCTGGAGCGTCAATATGGTACAGCGGAATATGCTGCCCACTCCATAGTAGCGTTGCTATATCTGCGTCAGCACAGGCACTGATCACATAATGTGAGAGAATGCAGCTAACCATGCTGAAGCGTTAGTCGCTGTCCCGCAACATCAGCGACTACCCCTTGAACCTGTGAGTCTGGTGGTGACTTGAGCGTAACCAGAACGGTATATCCCACAAAGTCCGCCGCCATAATGAAATTAGCGCGGCAAAAGAAGAATCGAAAGTCAGAATTGGGATTTTCGCATAGTGCCACACAGATCACGTATGAGAACAATAAGTATTTGTTGCAGAGATCCTGTAGCTATGCTTTGGCGTGTGGTTTAAGGTTGAAAGATTGTGTTGGAGGGATTGGATTGGGTGGTTCGTCCCCTCTAGTTGCTTCAAAGATGGCGTCGCGCTGGTGCAGAGAGAGCTCCCGTTTTGCCTAAAACTGAAGCCTCACACGTGACCCGCTATCGATAAGGGGACAAAAGTAATTTTGATGGGTGAATAGTTAAGTGTTGGAAATTGGTGGTTTTGAATAACCATGAATTCACTTTGCTATCATTGTAACCTCTTCAGAATATTTTCAGAAAAGTTACACATGAATCATTATTAAGTTTTTCAGAATACATCACTATTTTATACTATGAGCAGCCTGCCCCTATCAGGCCCCGTCAAGAGGTGGGCAAACGAACCTCTAAATCCCAGGGGATGAAGGCATCTTTAATTTCTTCAAAGGGTTGAAAAGCTCGGGCGCAACACTCTATAGCAAGAGATTCATGAAACATGCAGCTGGGCAGGGTGGAGCGAAAGTGCGAAGTCGTATTATTCATTATGTTGCTATTGAACAATATCATCACAGATATCATCAGTGGATATCATTCATTCAAGCAGGTCAGTAGAGAGATAGGCAGGCAGGCAAGCAGATAGCAGCTAGTAAGCTAGCATTGATAGGTAGGTGGGTAGCTAGATGGTGATGCTTATTCTCATAGGGATTGATTAGATATCGAGCGGTAGGTTTGTAGGAGGGCAGGTAATTTAGGGCTCAGAATATGGGGGTATCCAAGTCAATTGTGAAATAGTGTTAAAATCAAGTCTCCACTGTGTCAATTAAAGTGGGAATTTTCAGGATTTAGATCAATCAGAGATGCAAAAATCTCCTCTACATCAATAAAATCATTGAGATTTAAAGTCATATTTTGGAATACATTGACATCCAATCATTTCAGACAAAATGAAGCAACTTCCCTCAAAGCTTTGTATGATTTCTTAGAGACTTCGCTTCGCTCCGTCTAATAAAAGTCTTCTTACATGCAACAAAGCTGTTTCTGACTTCATGTGTGTGTTACAGAGGCTTTACAGAAGCTATCAAAGTGAAGAATGTCAGTGAGGTTTAAAATATGAGGTTGTTGTGTGCATCTTACCAAAATAGGGAATTTTTTGTTGCGTGCAATGGTTGTCTAGTACCACTCGTGGTCCACAACATAATCTCCCAATTTGGACACAGGCATTCCAGGTTCGGGTTAAAGGTAGCCCATACCCCAGTCTACAATTTTAGAGCTTGGCTAATGCGACAGAGGAAAAATCTTGGTTGGGCACAATGCGTTGGGCAGTCCGTACAGTCTTCAGCACAACCAAAGGTCAGAAAACTGGGATCAGTTAGGACCAGGGTGGTGGACTGATTTCGTGCGAGCGCGAGCCCCCATGCCGCGTTTGCCACGTACGACGCTGCATGATGCCCCTTATTGACAAACCGCCGGCTAACATGGCAAGTCTCGCGTCGAGCCCAGTTCACCACCCTACCCCGCCTTGCAGTAGTAAACGCGTTGTTCATCGTCAGCATCGATATAATTTCACAAGAGCAAGACACAATCGTGTTATATGCAAGTGTGCCTTAAATAAAACTAGAGGTATGGACAATATGTGCTAAGCTTACACGTCTAAGCAAATATCAGCTAACTGCAAGGTAGTAAACCATCATGTCAACCTCCACCCGAGCCGATACGGCCCGCACGTCCGATAACTCCCAAGCCAACGCTCAGCAAAGCGCGGCCTCGCGCCAGAGGACCGCCAACCAGTCTGGGCTTGGTCAGCAGCAGGAAATAAGTCGATGGAGCCCAAATACCTCAAGCCGAGCAACGAGCACTGTTGGAGACACCGCGCAGGGCCCATCCCGCATGCAACACTCTGCTGGTAGCACTACTGCCACCCGCGGTTCTCCTACGAGCAATACGACCAGCAATATTTCAAACAAAGGCAATGTTGAGGCGGCAAGGGAAAGAACACTATCTGCCTTGGAACATGGTGCACAATTTGCACCGGACTCAGAAAGGAATGCTGAGACACTGATTTCTGCTGTAACCCAAAACCCTCAAGCAGCTCAACAGTTGAGCAGCAGTGGTCGTCACGCACAAGATAGAAGGAGATAATGCGACAAGGAAATCCATGCTAAAGCAAATGGGTATCTTGTCTAATAATATGGTCGTCCACTCTTTCCACTATTGAAGATATCACGGACCTCTTGGCGGTATTGAGTAAACTCTTTCAGCTTCAAATTCACAAATGAAGTCATTCCAGGTGTCCAAAATGGCGATACAGCCGCGCACAGGGACTCTTTAGGCACCTTATCATAAAACGGCTCAAGATGCGTCCTGAAAAGATTGAACAAACCCTTTGGGGTCTGCAACGCATTCAAGTACCAGTATCGACCATCCTCTAGAGCACTCCTCATGGCCATGGCCCGAGAGTAGAGATTTCCGTTGTGAGGTAGCGGTATGCCCGTCTCCTCTTGTTCGAATATTTCCGTAAATTTCTCGTAGCTCGCCCTAAACCGCTCATACTCTGGGCCTTTGATTTGATCCACACCCATTCCTGTTAGCCAAAATGGAGGCAATAGGTCCCCCAGAGGCAGAGAGCACGCCCATTCAAGATCAATGATGTGTTTGATGTTCCAGTCCTTGTCAATGAAGATATTGCTGGCATGCATATCTGTCAACTGCATGATGAATGGACCATTGTGGAGATACCGATCAGTAAATTTATGGAGTGATGCTCTCATTAGCACTAGATCCTTAGCTTGTGCACGTGCATCTTCTTCGCTATAGGCAGCATTTCTTTGATATTGGAGACGATTATCATGACTTGCGAGTAAATCAAGATAGAAGCTATCAGAACTTGTGTAGGTCATATTCCGCGCGATACCGGATGGGATAGCCCAGTTCTCCAGTTGGTGGAGATGACAGAGCATGGGGCGATTGGATAGGCTGATTCGGCCGTCATTATCAATCGTCCAAGAGCCGATTCGAGGCTGTGGAACCTTAGTGAGAGAGATCATAACTCTTGCCATACTTCGATAAAGATTCTGGGTCTGTGTTTCTGTATGTGGCAGGGTAAATGCGCTTGAAAGCATTTGTGCGTTCTCACTTTCAACCCAATCAATCAGAATATAGCCGTGATTCAAAAAGGTGGTTCTCTTCTGTGGAATGTATTCGCAGAATCCTGGACTCCCAAACAGACGACAGAAGAAGCGCCAGACAAAGGACTTGATCCTTTGACAGAGTGGAATAAATTTGGGATCAAAGAACTGCTCGCTCACTAGGTATTAGCAAACTATTAAATAGCTGGAGAATTGCATGTACTCACACTGAGACCACCAGGTACTCCAAACCCTCGTAGCTTTGGAATTGGTAAATCCGGACAATTCTCATTGATCCAGATGTATGTTGCAGCCTCGGATCGTATCTTCTCCTCCGCATTGCCAGGGAATTCTTCTTCACCAATCTTATATGGCAAAGGCACCCTGAATGCCATTTTTGCAGGGAGTGATTGTCCAGAGTTATTGATATGTACAGGGATACACACGTTGAAGCTTCCATGTAGCCACACAAGCTTGTTGTTGACTTGCTCGACCATTTTTGGAACTTGTACCAGGTCGGGGCATGCCAATCCACAATGAGAAGCTACAAGCCTCTGGATTTCCTTCTTTTGACTATCTAACTCAGTATATAAGATTCCCCTTTTTTGGGCATATTGCAATTCTGCCCTCATATCCTCCTCTTCATCTTCCGCATTCGATAGGGTGATGAAACGGTTTAGAAGGGCTTTGCGCGGTTTGACAGTGCTAGCAATGCTAGGTGTTATCGGCTGGCCGGATTCAACATGATGATTTGGGGGAGCATCTCGAGCAGTGTGGGTCTCCGTCATATGTATTGTGCTTGCTTGATACTGATAATGCTCTGCTGTAAGGAGATGTGTTGTGTGGAACCCTGGTGGACCTTGCAACGGTAACTGGAATGGTTTGTCTTTGGTCAATGGACTCTCCTGTTCTGCTAGAGATGATATATATGCCATGAGCGCAAGCCGGAACAACATTTTCCCGCGACATTGGGGCCAATCATTTTGACTGTCCCTGCGAAAGGGAGACTGACCGAGAGATAGTTGCCTTCTCAGTCTCGCATGGCCATACAGCAGTGAGGTCACTATGAAGTTCTTGAAGGAGAGAAGACGAGTTTCTGCCTCCACAAGTTCGATTTTAACGCTCTGGATGGCAAAGAGAAAGATTTTCCTATCACATAGTACTTTTGAGTTTTTACGCCTAAGAAGAGAATATCTACAGAGCAAGCGTGGAAAGATCCAGATGACAATTGCCGCAGGTCATACGGCCTACTCGCTTCTGAATTGGCCCAAATTCCTCCAACCGGAAACAACTCATGCATGCTCCACGGTGGTGGCGTAAAGTGCTAGTAAAATGGCCCTTCATGGCCGTGAGTTGAGCTTCGGGGGACGCGTAAAAGGACATAGTGATTGGCTTTGGGGGGGAAATGGCTTGAGAACAACAAATATTTAACTATCAGAAAGTTGCAGGTTTACATACAATTTGATTCATGCCCTGAGAGACACAAGCATTGATGTCTATAGTCATGCTTAATAGAAGTTCACAGCTCCTACAGATATAAAACAGGCATTCAGATAGATTCAGAAACACTAACATTATGTTGGAGGGATTGGATTGGATTGGGTGATTCGTACCCTCAATACCACCACGGCGCTGGTGGTGATTGAGCTCTTTTGCCCCAGTGGCCTAACATATTATTTTTGTTGCTATCTAGCTACTTTGGGTGAATTATATGTCTATGGAGGTTATAATAAAGGTGCCAACAGAGGTGCAAACATAACTAAGAAGAAAAATGGACTGACTATTTTACATATATATTGACTTCCTCCTAGGAGCAATCAGGAAGAACACATCTGCCATCTAAAACTCATCATGTACCCCCCACATGGACGAGATATTTGCTTCGTCAGACAGGAAATATGGTGAAAGCTCGTCTTGAGGAATTAATATATCTATAAGCGATTAACAATGCTCTGATGTGGCCAAACTTTGCCCCATAAAAGACTGTAAAAAATGTGTATCATGCATATACGCGCTCGAGCACATCGTCGTCGAAATCATCCGAGAAGTTCGTAGAAGGCCGCTTGGCAATCTTAGCTTGGTCCCTGCTTGGTTTGGCATTGGTGTCGATATCTGCGCTGGTACTGGTGCTAGTGTCGACATTGGCGCTGTTATTTCCATCCACAAGGATATTCGCTTTGGAATTGGCCGCGTCCTTGATGTTATGTACGGTGGATAAATTCGAATAAAATTCTAAGACTTTTGGGTGAACCATAACTCGACGTGGGTCAAAGCGCGAAACCTGCAAGCCAGCCTGAGACGTCGCACGACTAAGAGCAACATAAGCTTGTCCCTTCTCGAAAACCCGTCCAAGGTCAACTTTAACTCGCTGTAAAGTCTGACCTTGTGCCTTATGAATGGAGAGCGCCCATGCAAGTATGAGCGGAACCTGCGTTCGTTGCGCTCTCACTTCACCATTGGGCAGTTCAATTTTCCATGTCTCTGGCTGGCAAAGGAGGTGTCTCTCCGTTCCATCTGGTTGGACAAAGCAAACAACCGGCCATTTGCCATTGGTGCTGACAGTCCCGATTTTATTCTCATAAGATCTCACCTTGTTGATTGCCTGAGATTTGCGGTCATCATGGCTCGGATCACCCGCAAAATCTTCATCGTTTTTAGTGTAATAATCAAACCTAGCTTCATCCATGAAGGCAACCACTTTCCCCAATGACCCGTTGACAAGGGATTCATCCATGTTCTTTATAAGCATTACCTGAGCTCCCTTTTTGAGCTGAATTGTGGGTGCGACACAGTCGGCAAGGAGTTGTGAACGCTGCGCTTCGTTTTGCATCGTTCCACCGTCGACGGCAGTGAACACCATTGTCTCACCAGAGAGTCTGGCCATTCTCGCAGAGTTCGCGTTTTCGACCTCTGATCGGGTGGGAAATCTAAGCCGCAATAATTAGCTAAATAATTTACAACATGTGATATTGGGATAAAACATACAGTTCCGTTGCTTCAAGTGAATCGTGGAAATTCAGGGGGCGAGATAACTGTTTGAAGGCCGCAATTGTCTCCGGGCTCAATTTCCCCAATCTCATCTCATTCAGCATACCAGCGAATTTAGGATCTTTTTGCCGAAAAACGTGGGTCAAAAGAATCGTGTGCTGGATGGTGGTGTTCCAAGTGGAAGCTGAAAAAGCAAACTTCGCAACTTTGGTTGAATCTGGTACGGGGGGTAATTGAAAGAAGTCACCCGTAACGACCAACTGAATGCCTCCGAATGGGCGGCCGTTATTCCTGATCTTGCGAGCGATCTCTTCAAGTTTGTCAAACAAATCACCGTCAACCATCGAAATTTCATCAATGACGAGAACCTTAGTCCTCAACCATCGGGTCCTATTTTTCTGGTTTTGCTTGACCTAGGAGGGCAATCAATGATGAGTCTGAAAAAGGGACGGGCCTAACTTCCAACTAACCTTTTTAACCAGGTCCGCTACGGGTCCCTTTCCTAATCCTATCCCAGCAAAACTATGAAGTGTAACGCCTTCAATGTTACACGCAGCAAGCCCAGTTGAAGCGGTGACAGCAATACGGTCAGGTTCTTTTCTATATTTTTCTCGCAATTTTTTAATGATTTCTCTCATGAGAACGGATTTGCCAGTACCAGCCGAACCTGTAAAAAATATACTCTTGCCATCCTTAACGATAGCTTCCACTACTCTTTTCTGTTCTTCACTAAGAAAAATAGATGCGACTTTTGGTGCCCTTGTGCCAACATGAGTTGGGTTTTTTTCAGAGCTAATACGTGTCTTTTGTTGTTTTCGTAACTCCTTCTGCTGCTCCTTCACTGCGCTCATAGTCTTATCCCACGGTAGGGATGATGTTTTATTAGAAGCTGGAGTACGGGGAACAGTTTTTGGTTCCTGTTTGATTCGGGGTCTGCGCTCGGTTTCAGACTTTGTTGCATCTGCCTGCCATGGTAAAGCACGCCGCTTTGCTGGAGGAAGTAGATTCGCAGGAGGCGAAGACGACCATGGAAGCGGAATGGTACTTGGAGGAGCAACATTATCACTTGGCGGTGCTGGCTGCTCGAGGGGAGGAGGGAGTTCTGGGGGTTGAATCCGTGAAGAAGCGAACGACTGTGATTGAACAAGGTTTGACGAAAAGCTGGTAGGCTCGTCTAAGTCTATATCGTCGTCGAAATCGTTCTCATCGAAGTACACGTTGCTATGGAGTATCGCTAACGGAGTCTCCGATGGAGTGGACTGGACAGCATCCAACTTTCGTTTGAACCCAGCCTGCTGACTGGAAGAAACCGGGGTAGCTCTGTTCAGAGGAGCAGCCTTTGGCAAAAGAGGTCTTGCGGGAGCTGTGTGATTGCGAACTGCTTGATTAAACATCGTAAACTTTCGCACTCGGTGGGACGGAAGGGAGTACGGCCACCGTGAAGCCAGTCGGATGAAGGACGGAGTAACGATTGCAGTCGAACCTCTGGCTAACAGAGCGTAACGGGACATAAACAGCTGTTAGCAACATCCAGATAAACCAATTTATCCCGAGAATAACTGCAAAATATTGTATATAACGTTGGTGGCTGTCAGTGTCAGCAACATCTCCATATTCTGTAGGTGCTATTATTTACTCTTTCGGTCATCGCGGGTCGAAGACGCGAAGAACGTCAATTGATGTTCCACGTGACAATGCACGAGACTTGAAGCGCTTTAGGGCAGGAAATGTCATATGACCGGGTGCTCTTCAGCTTGGTTCGCGTTTTGTTATCGGGTTTAGTGATAGCAATCGTGGACAACAACGTAGGGAATAGCTACATTGAGACGAGCCATTAATGCGCCAGCGCGGTATTATTATCTGGAAAGCCCAACCTATAAGTTACGAATTTAGCCGGTGTTATGGGCAAGTGGGATCGGAGTCAATTATGAAGCATGGAGGGGAATGTCGTACCAGGTAAGTGATCCATTTCCTCCACTACTACCCATACAGAAGCTCATGCATATTAGACAAGGAACACCCTCTCGCGGGGGTGATTCTTTGCTGTACGTCGATATTGCCAGAGTACCGGGTAGTATCCTGATCTCCAACCTCGTGCGTCGATTCACTTCAGTTGTTGATATTTCGTCTCTATCTAGGAAGAGATAGCGGCGGTGGCCACCCAAATGGGAGCTGTCCATAAATTCGACCTCACCTCAGATGTCACGCACTTGATCGTCGGAGAGCTTAATACACCGAAATATAGATATGTGGCCAAGGAGCGGACTGATATAAAGGTCTTAAAAGCAGAATGGGTAGAAGCTGTTCGGTCATCCTGGGTGCTCGGGGGCGATACCAACCTTCAGCAGCTGGAAGAGCAATATCGATTTCCCACATTTGCTGGCTTATCCATATGCCTTACCGGATTTGACGACAGTAAGCGATGCTATGGTTTGGCCTTTTACGTGCATACTGAACAGTCTGACCACAAAAAGTGAATCACAGAAACTCCCTACAAAAGTTGATCACCGAGAATGGAGCGGAATTTCGGAGGGATCTTACAAAGAGTGTTACACATCTGATTGCGCGATCCGGATACGGCCAAAAATATAAATATGCAACCCTATGGAAAATAACAGTTGTGAGCCTGAAATGGCTTCAAGACAGCCTTGAGCGGGGGATGGCTCTTGATGAGAGCCTCTACGACCCTTTGCTCCCGGACGAGGAGCAGGGCATTGGCGCATGGAATAGATCCGCTCCAGTGGTTACAGTGAAACCCAAGGCGGTCACAACCAATCCTCAACGGACTCGGAAAATTCGGAGGGTTGCAAGCATGAAATTAGGAGGCCAGAATGAAGATATCTGGACAGATATTGTAGGAGATGCTACAAAAGCGTCAGGATCGACCATTAACTTAAAAACCGAACCGAGTGCCCAAATGGCTGATACTCCAGCTGCGATCCAAGAACCAAAGTCTTTCGCTAGTGAGACGACCATAACTGAGAGAACTCACCCTGCCACGACCGAGATACCCATGCAAAAGTCGCAGGAGCTTGATATAACTCGCCGTGGATTCTGGTTTGGTGCTAGATTTTTTATAAAAGGGTTCTCTTCAAGTCAAGTAAGCAATGCAGGTAGTCACAGGCTTCTCTAGAACTAACATTCAAGTAGACTCGAATTTTAGAGACTCACCTGCTCTCTCGCGATGCACAAATCGTTTCGTCCTTGAGTGCTCTTTCAAGTGTGGTCCCAATGAATGGTCACGCAACGTACATACTCGTGCCGCATAATTTACCACGCTCCGAAATTCCGTCCATTGATGACTTAGTCATAGAACCGGAAATTGTAACGGACTTATGGATCGAGAAGTGTTTGCACAATAATGCCCTCGTTCCTCCTGAGGCACATATTACAAGTACTCCTTTTCCCAAATTCCCAATACCAGGTTCGTAAGCATTGATGGAAGAAGCATTGGACCCACTTTTCTAACTGTAAATAGCGTTCCAGGGACTGAGAGTTTGCTCGACTGGGTTTTCAGGCATTGACCTTTTACATCTTTCAAAGCTTGTCAAAGTGATGGGTAACGTTAAACGTCTAAGTCAATTGGCGACTGTTTGAGACTAACTTGTTATTAGGGGCCACTTACGATGAGTTTCTTACACCTAAAGCATCAGTTCTCATTTGCAACAACGGGAACCCGAACCAAGAAAAACTACGACACATCGCAGAATGGAATATCCCAGCTGTCATTGCGGATTGGCTATGGATTTCAGTTCAGACTGGGGAGAGAAAACCTTTCACCCCATATATAATAGAGCATAGACCACCTCAGAACACTAGAGCTTCAGCCCAACTTATTCAACTTGACACAGTAAAGCGAGACGAACTCAAGAAGCGCAAGGCTCCATTAGAAAATGAGTTACCAGCAGACCCTAACCCAGGCATCTCAGAACAACTTACTATTTCCACCCGCCTAAAAGAAGAAGGGAAAAAATCCCCAGTATCGCAAGAACCAAGTGTCCCACCCGGCGCCCTGCAAGAGCTCTCATCAGATTCGCCACGTAAAGCAGCTAGCCGCTCTCCCTCCCCTTCGAAGCGCAACGAAACACCTGTCCCCACCGTCCCCATCTCATCCGCCCGATCAAAGCACCCATCAGCAGAAGTATCTAATATTAAGGATGGTAAAGTTAATAATAGCAATAACAACCTTGATCCCAAAACAACCCTTGACATCGCCCTCAACGAATTCCTAAGACAAAAGCGTCGGGCAGCTTCTTCCAAACCATCCAGCCTAGAGGATAGAGATGGTGGTGGTGGCACTGTACAACGCCAGCAGCGCAAGCGCAGAAAGCAGCTACTCGGCCGCGCCAATTCACACTCTTCAATTTCTCTAGGCGCGGCCGTGCCAGGCGACACCCGCATTTCCCGAGCTAGCTCCATCGACACCATGAACGAAGATGGCCACGGCAGCGTCGTTGAGGGGCTCGGCTTCGACAGCCCAGCGACTCCGAAGGCCGACAGAAACGCTCCCAGTTTCTCCTCTTCTCTCTTCGCGAACAAGGCGGATAAAACAGAAGCACTGCAGTTGTTAGAATCTCGGTTGGAAATGTTCCGTACGACTGCAGATTTCCCGCATGGCGGTATTGGTGACCAAGATGGCTCGGGATTCCCGGACGATGACGGCACGCCTGCCATGACTCAGTTGGGTTATGAAATTCCCGACGCAGCGGCTATGAGGGCTAAGATTGACAGTGGGGCGGCTGGGATGACTGATGTGAAAAATGGGACTCCAGCGGATACCGCAGCCGCTACAGCCACGGCGAAGCACCGTGAGCTAATCGCGAAGAGTTTGGTGCCTAAGAACGAGGCGCTGGATGGGTGGGGAGCTAGAAGGAGCACTAGAAAGTCGGGGAAAGGGGTGACATATGAAGGATTATGATACCGAGTTTCGATTTTATTTTATTTTCGCTGTTCCCTCCCCTTCCTTCCTTTCCGCCCCCTTCCCCTCGGTTACCTTTTATTTCATCTATGTATATACCAATATACTTCACAAATTCTGTGGCAAGATGTCACGAGTTTGATGGGCTCTATGTGTTAGTAGACGCTAAGACAAGGCATGAGGCGTCGTATTATCAGTGAGTGGGAATTACCCATTCTCAATTTTATTTTTGGGGAAAGGGGTGCAGGGGCGCCAGCACGGTGTTCCTTACTGGTAATTCTCGGTTTTGGCGTTTGCAGCGGGGAGCGAAAAGTGCTGAAACATATGTGTGGGCAACTCAATCAACACACCTTCCTCTAGGCTCTGAACGTCCTTCTTGGATAAATGTATATATTGGCGTATCCACACTCCTCTGAGGGGTGATAAGTAATTGGTGGCTCATATCACATCGTTCAAGGCTTGAGTAAATTGGGAGAAAGGGACTAATAAGCATAAGCATAGCACGGTCAAAGTCAGCTCAACAGATAGGATAGGCATCTCTGGTAACTAATTACAAGTAACTATATAATAACGTGCATCAAGTGTTGAGAGTTTCCATCAAAGCAAAAATTCATTTTGGAGGGAGGGGGAAAATGTTTTTGCCGCGAAATGGGAGAAAAAAAAATGGGGACGGGTAGAGAATGGATACAAAGGAAAAAATAAAAATAAAAATAAAAATTAAGAAATAAGAAAAACAAAGAGCTATATCCCTGCCATGAACTAGACAAAAATATGGAGATGACCAGTTTTATTCCGATGCGATGTGGGTGTGTGGTTTGGAGATGGGGAATTGTAAAAAAAAATAAAAGAAAGGCGCCAGAAGGGGGTATTTACAAACAGAAGAGAGGGGGAAAAAATAGGCGTTAGAACATACATACATATATATGGAGATCACAAACATTAGAGACACAAAGGCGCCATGTATGCATGACTGCCTAGGACTTCATGTAATGCTGACCGCCAAGAAAATAGAATAAAAACAGACCAACAAAAGGAAATGAATGGGGTACGTGATATCAGGCAGCTAGGACATCAAAAGCACCTGTGTCCTTCCCTCGCTATTTCTCTAATTCGTCTCCGGGCTGGGAAAGAGGTAAGAAAAGGGGGAACTCAAGAACCCAAACCTCGTACTGTTTATCCCTGATATTGCGCCATGCTACCTGGCAGCGGCGATTCCAAATCAACCTGCTCAACCGCCCTGCAAGTCTCCCTGCTCTCACGGAATAGATTCGAGAAGTACTTGTTGGCAATTTCGCTCTCTTGCTTGGTCTTGCCGACTTCGTCTTTCCGCTTTGACAGTTCCTCGGTGGCTGTCTGGAGGGTCGATTGTAGCCTTGAGGCGGGCATGCGGAGGACACGACGCACCTCAGATGAGATGCGGCTGGCATTGGCGTGAATATAATCGATCTCCGCGAGGGTTTCGGAGAGTTTGCGGGAAATGTTGGCAGGGAGGGCAGTGGGGATTTGGGTGAGGAGGTATGACGCGGTTAATAGTGCTTAGATGTTATAGTTAGCTCATGAATGGGGTAAAAAGAGAACCGTGGAAATGAATGGATCCAGAGAAGAAAATAAACTCACCTGCTGCGATCATGCCAGGCACAATCATGCGCCGTATATTGTTAGTTCCTAGGATCCTAGCAGCACCAAGAACACCGTCGATCCAACCTGCTCCACCCAAGGCCCTTCCGCCAAGGACGGTGATAAAAGTCATCGCCATGCCCGTTCCGGCAACCTTCTCCTGCCGATGCCAGATGCCAGCGACGTCGAAAAAGTCCCACAGATCGACTTCAGTATCGAGCTGCCTGGCAGTGACATGTCGCTTTTGCTTGAACATAAGATCCGCGCGGAAATTAAGATTAGGGAATTTATCTTCTCCAACATGGAGAATGCCGATGCTCTGGATCATGTTGACTCCCTGGATGGATTTTCCCCGAGCGTAATCCTCGCAGGCAGAAACGGAGGCGGTAAGCTCGTCGAGCATAGCTGCCTTCAGATCTTCTGCATACTGGAACGCAGAAAATAAGCCAGGATACTCAATTCCAAGAGTGGCTTCAGCAAGCGTTGCTACTCGTGTGGACAAAGTTGACCGAGAATGGTTATAAACATCCTCGCACGATTCATCAATAGAATTCGAAAGCTGTTCAGTAACTTCCGTCTGACTCTTTTTGCTCCCCTCGTAGGCAGGCACAAGTTCATCGAGTTCCTTTGTCATGCGATCGAGCTCGGATGAAGCGACATCCCGGTTGGCAGAGGCAAGAACATGTAGATCAGAAAGGATGTTCAAGAGATAGGTCTTTGCTGGTGCGAGCTTCGAACGTGAGCGTTTGTCAAGGACGAATCGGCGCAATGCACCCTCCAAATTTTCAAAGTCATGGATTTTCTCTTTGTCCTTCCCTTTCCCCTTCTCATCCGCTGCAGTAGGGGCTTTTCCTTTGCCTTTTGAGCCATCCTCACCATCCAATTCTGCGGCCCCATCATTTCCATCATTTCCATCATTTCCATCGTCTCCATCGCCTCCATCGCCTCCACCACCTCCACTATTTGTGATAGCAGGCATAACAGGGATCGCATTACTCGATACAAAGTGGACAAGTTCAGCAGACTCCTTGAAAGTTCGTGGGCTCAGTTTAGCAATTTGCTTCAAAACCATTTGCTTGCATCGTTGCTTATCCCGAATATTGTCAAATCCATTCACAACAATAAATATATAAGCTTTTTCGTGGGCGGCATTCATGATAAATTCCTGCGCTGATAAGGTAAAGTGGTTCGCAGCGGACACGACAAAAACGACCACGTCGATTTCCTCTTGGCGTGCGAAGACAGCAGTGGTCTTGACGGAATCGGAGTTCAAACCGGGGGCATCGATGATGGATATATCGACCACACCATTGTTCAGCAACGACTCGTCAATTGTCCTCGCATCCTTCAAATAAATCTTGCACTGCATATACTTGCTGTTGTCCACAACTAGAGACTCCAGGTCTTGTATCGAGTATACGTCGTACGTGCTCTCGTCGTTGCGGTTATATGGCCTTTCCTTGTGAAGGGCATGGACCTCTTCAATACCGCCATTTTCTCTGGCATCCAGCACCTCACAGAAAATACTCGTACAGGGTTGCTGGTCTTCTGGCAAAACTTTGCGCCGCAACAACGCATTGCAGAACGTCGATTTGCCAGCATTGAGATCGCCAGTAATCAACACTTTGCTAGACAAATCCTCTATCCTATCCCTCAGAGAAAGTAAATGTCTGATACTCTGGCTCACCCTGCCATCCAGCAACGAGGCAATGGAGCTTTTTTCCAACGAATGAACCAACTCTGACTGCGACAATGAGCCGAGTTTAAGGTCCAGTTTTAATATAGAGAATTCTTGGGCGATCTGCGGCGTCACCAGTCGTGGTCCGGGAGGGGGTCTATTTTCTGCGGTTTCGCTGTGGTCGGGAATCACACTCCCATCCACCCCTGTAGTCGCACGCCGCAGCAAAGGGTCCGGCCGTTCGTGGGAACCTGAATTCATTGCATCGAGCTGGAATGACTGTACGCGCGGCGAACTAGATACGGAAGCGGATGTGGATTGAGTGGATTGGACGGGTGGGTAGTGAGCAGGCCACTGGCGGTTCATCTGCTGAAGCTCCTTGAGAAGTTCAACGGTACGAGTAATCGATCGACTAAGTTGGGTTCGGTTCGAATTGCTAGAGAGGAGAATAAAGCCGTTAACAAAATGGCCAGACGGAACTTGTTATCGGTTTCGAGGAGAGTTACGCACTACAGCAACTGATGGACATGGCTTGCGACAACCTGTCTTTCGTGCTCGGCTATATAGAATGAATGACTGTCAGTTTAACAGAAAAGAAAAGAAAAACAAAACAAAAAGGAGAAGCCCTATAAGTAGAATTAATGAAAACTAACCCGCTTCATTGAACTGTCCTGGAAGAACTGGAGTATGTGAAGGCGTAGGGCGGTCTTCCATCAATCCATCCGCACTCTCGCCCATTATGCTACCCCCATAGCCAGAATCGGAATTCAACGACGCCATCAGCGACGTTGCGTTGTGCGAAATTGATCCGGACCCAACGACCATATATTCAGGCCCTTCGCTGTATGGACGAGGACTGTTTGAGGATGCTCCAGCGGCGTGTCTGGAGGAGCCCTCACTGGCCGAAGAGGAGCCCTCTCTGGGGAAATATTGTTGACTCATGGCAAGCGCGGTGTAATGCGCCGATCAGAGGAGAGGAGTAAGAACCCGCATGAAATGGAGAGTGGTTATTTTGGAGCGTTCTAAAAAGGGGCCTTGTAAAGATTTCATCAATGACGTTGGGTGAAAAAAGAATTGTTGGTGGTGTTTATTTGATGGCGGTCCGTCCGGTCTCCCGGGCTTGGCGTGGTGGCGCCAGGCAGAGCATCGTCACTGCGACGTTCATCGGCAGGTCAAGTAAATAAATATTACCTTATGAATCCACTCCCCAGCTGTTTTTTTATTCCAGTGTAATGGTTCCCGAGTGCTTGGATTTCCAGCGACTTACATTTCACTCCCTCTTCCGCTTCTGCTCTTACAATACGCAATGAATGTAACTATCAACAACCCCCACCCCACCACTCTCCTACCACTTTGCTTACCCGGACCCAGATCGTAGAATGGGCGTTCGGAAAGCGCATGACGCCCGCAGAGCGCTTGCGAAAACACCAACGGGCTTTGGAGAAGACGCAGCGCGAACTGGATAGAGAGCGTGTCAAGCTGGAAAACCAAGAAAAAAAGCTGGTGCAGGATATCAAGAAGAGCGCGAAGAATGGGCAGATAGGCGCCTGCAAGATTCAGGCGAAGGATCTGGTTCGGACGAGACGGTATGCTGAAAATACCTGTGCATTTGTATATATTCCCATTTGTGTGCTATCTTGGAAACTCGCTGCTAATTTTGTTTTCTTCTTCGTTCCCCGTCTACCATAGATATATCCAAAAGTTCTACTCGATGCGAACACAGCTACAAGCCATCTCCCTCCGGATCCAGGTACGGTAAAAGTTTACAGCTTGAGACTCCGGATCAAGAGACCCCTATCTACCTATTGCCCATATTTTGCTAACAAACCCGATGCGTTTTCTTCATGCTTTTTGTAAATAGACCGTTCGGAGTAACGAGCAGATGATGCAATCCATGAAAGGCGCAACCATGCTCTTAGGCAGCATGAACAGACAAATGAACCTCCCCGCGCTGCAACGAATAGCCATGGAATTCGAACGGGAGAACGAGATCATGGACCAGCGGCAGGAGTTGATGGACGATGCTATTGACGAAGCCACGGGGCTGGAGGATGAGGAGGAAGGCGAGGAGATAGTGAAAGAGGTTCTGGATGAGATCGGTGTTGACCTGGGACAGGCTGTATGTTTTCTTGCCTTTTTTTATTTCTTTCTTGTTTTCTATACTTATACCGTCCCCCCCCACCCAACTCCCCTTTTTTTTCCACCTCTCCCCTATTTCACCAACCAACTTTATTTTTTTCTTTTTTCTTCGGAGATGTTCGTATCCGTCCTGCAAAATATATCTTTTTGCTGACAGTTAAGAATCGCAGATGGGAGAAACACCTTCGGAATTACAAAAAGCATCTGTGCCCGAGGGACGGGTCGCCCAGGCGGTTGGTGGGGGCGGTGGTGGTGCAAATACGGATGACGACGATTTACAGGCGAGATTAGACAGTCTCCGTCGGTGACGGATCGTCATGCTATAATATGAATAAAGTCAGTTTAACTTACGATATTATTTTTTCGGCCTTTTCTTTTTCTTTTTTTCTTTTCGTTTTTTGGCGGCAGGCAGCGGTGTTTGGCGTATGGGCTGCTTACGTTTCTTTTTTATAGCTGAGATTTTAATTCAAATTGTTTTACGACTACCCAATGACCAGGGATATGATAGCACAGTCATCAAATGCGAATTTCTGACAACAGCTATTTTTTCGACAAATTGGAAGCACTTACTTAGGGTGGCCTCGGTACCATTCCCCCTGGGAACGGCACGTTCCTAGCCTCAGGAATGTACTGTACAAGGCTCCGGGTCATCCCTGGCCTTTCTGTTTTCTGGTAAGATAGATATATATATATATTAGCTACAGAGATCAAGCCGGTCTTTTCACTGATATTTCTTGTTTGAGAAAGGCTTGTTTGCAGGGGGTGTGTTCATTAGTTTTGTCAATGGTTTCTTTATGTTGTGACTGATGCATTGGAACATCAATATTGATCAGAATTTCCCCGTAGGAAGAACTTTGAATATGTGGGCAATTGCGGATAGAAGGGATTCAATCTGTAATTCGGGGGGATCTCTATCGCATTCAAATCTTGAATTGGTGGCGTTATTTGATATAACTAGGGGATGAGCAGCCCTTCTCAACAATGTCTCAACAGTGTCTCAATCATCTTTCACCAAGCATCCTCTCCAAAGCCTCTTCAATCCGTACCAAATCTGGAATGATCAATAGGAGTGGCTGCCGGAATCGATCGCGGGGGACATGTAAACACTTTGTTGCAGATGGCCTTGAGATTGAATTTGAAAGTAGTTGGCAAGAGTGAGTTAGTAGGATATTAGTAGTACACGATAGTGATTGCACAAATATACAGTGATGGATGAATAAACTTAGACCTCTTGAAAACAGCTTTGATTGTGATGCTTAATCGATTCCTTGATGATTGAACAGTTTATCAGTGGAAAGTGAAGTCATCAAGCACGATCCAGTCCTGTGGCCGTGGGCTGGTGGTGGCTATTAATAACTCAACCCCGCTAAGCTCAACTCCCAGCCCAAGCCCGCGATCATAGTCCACAACTGACTGCTCCTGCGCAGAGTCGTCGACCACCGCTGCACCTCTCCTCGCTTCTGCCTCTCCTCCTCTTCTCACGGTCTGTCTGTGCCCTCCCGTTGCTGCACGGAAACCCCGTCGTCGCAGTTGACTCGGGCCATTTCCAATCGTTGGCGTTGGCCGGATCCCTTTCCCGTCCTGCTCTAAGATTGTGCAACTAGCGAGAAGTAAGCCCTTCCTCTTCACTTCTCTCTGCGTGTCAAATTGTTTGCATTTGCCCTGTTCCCTAATTGCGATCCATCGTTGTGGCGGGGGGTCTGTCTGCCTGCCTGTTTGTTCGGTCTATGTTGCCCCCGGCTTCTTGGTCTCGATTCTGTCCCTATAACCATCAACCCACGGATCAGATTGAGAGCCTGCCGCCAACTTTGTGCTTTCTTTTTTATGTTGATTGCCCTGTGAATTCACTTTCAATGCTTGCGCTGCCATAATTTCCTCCCTCTTGCTACGTGCTAGTTCGTAAAATGTTCAGAAACTAATTCATGGCGCCCTGCCTTGTGTTCACTACCCAGACAACAAACAGCAACCACCACCAACACAAACAATCCAATCCTGCTTCACCTCTTTGACAACAAACAATCCCCCGCGCCGCATATCCTCCGTCCCCATTTAACCCAGGTTGATCCCCATACTAGGATTACTAGGTGAAAACCTGCTGGTGAGATATTTCCGCGATATCCGCGAGAAGTCTAGTGTTTGGTCATCATTGCCTTCGAGGTAACTTTCATTCCAAGTTCCTGTTATGCCGCTTGTCATTATCACTTCGGGTATCCCACGAACACTTGAACAGGGTTGAACTTTCTGGAAACGGAATCTGACGGTTCAATTTCCTTCGTTTAAAGGATGATCGCTATATAATACTACTTACTACACTAAATATGCACTATTGAGTTGCAACTGACACTTAATCCTTTTTTTCACACCAGGCCCAACGGCCACGCTTCACGACCCGGCAGAAGCGTTTAATAAACAATAATATCGGTAGAAAAGGGGGGGCAGGAAATAAAAGAAAAGGAAATCAGCCAAAATAAACTTTTTTCCACCATCTACCTCTTTTATCGAATCAGCACTGCAGCTCGCCATTTGGTTGGACTATCAAGCTGGCAGGAAGCAAGCGGAGGACCTTCTCCTCTAACCAGGGTGGGTTGCTGAACAGAATGTTCGGTGGCTCCACGAGCCCTACCAAAGAGAAAGACGATTCCTCCCCTCTCTCCGGCAGTGGTTCGACCACCCTATCCATCAACACGGAAAATACCACGGCTGGCCGAGAAAACAAAGCCACCCCGCTTAGTGGTTCTCTGTCGCCCCGCAACGGGGACCGAAGCCCAGCAGCGGAACAGCCAAAGCGCCGAAATAGCTCAATGACCAAGGCTGCCAACTTCTTCTCCAACGCTAAATATTCCCTACATCTTTCAAGTGCGCGGGAGTCGCAGAAGGAACAGCAAGCCTTAACACCCATGCAAAAGTTGGGGAAGATGGATCCAGCCTTGATTGTTCCGCAAGGGTCGTTGAATAACTCGGCCGGTGAATCAGCGCCGACTGCGCACTCGTCGTTTCGGGTTGGAGTCACTGAAGACAGGAACAGAAAATGCCGAAGAACTATGGAAGACACCCATGCTTATCTGTATAATTTTCTTGGAACTGCAGCCCCAACTCCTGCCAAAGCCGATTCGTCCATCCGCAGCAAAAATAATTCCGAGGATTCAATACCTACATCTGCAGAGTCTGACGACTCACCACCGATGGTTGAAACGGACAATGGATATTTTGCCATTTTCGATGGACATGCCGGGACGTTTGCGGCGGAGTGGTGCGGGAAAAAGCTGCATCTCATTTTGGAGGATATCATGAGAAAGCACCCGAATACTCCGGTACCAGAACTGCTAGACCAGGCATTCACTAGCGTGGATCAGCAATTAGAAAAGCTCCCGTTGAAAAACAGCGGTTGTACTGCTGTTACTGCAGTCTTGCGATGGGAGGATCGTCCTACCGGGACCTCTCCTCCTAATGCGACTCCATCTTCCTCCCTTGCGACACCCAACAAGCAAGGTCCGGAAAAAGATAATAAGAGCACAGACCCGTCGTCCACAGCGCAGACATCTTCATCCCTAGACCCGTCAGGATTATCAGTGTCAGGATCCGCAAACCAAAAGCAACCCCAGGAAACAACTGCCGTCTTTCGACAACGTGTACTGTATACCGCGAACGTGGGTGATGCACGCGTTGTTCTGTGCCGGAATGGCAAGGCGCTGCGATTGTCGTACGACCACAAGGGCAGTGATGAAAACGAGGGGAAACGAATATCCAATGCTGGAGGCCTAATCTTGAATAACCGCGTAAACGGCGTGCTTGCTGTCACTCGGGCGTTGGGGGATTCGTACATGAAAGACTTAGTCACTGGCCACCCGTACACGACGGAGACGGTCATCCAGCCTGAAACAGATGAGTTTCTGATCCTGGCTTGCGATGGCGTGAGTGCTTATCTTTATCAAACTTTAATTAGACCCTTATTCCTCCCCTTTGCTTGAATTAACCTATTTCCTTTTTTTTTGCAGTTATGGGACGTCTGCTCGGATCAAGAAGCCGTCGATCTCATCCGTGGCACAGAGGACCCACAACTCGCCTCAAAAATCCTCGTCGACCACGCTCTCTCGCGCTTCAGCACCGACAACCTCTCCTGTATGATTGTCCGCTTCGACACAAAGGCCATTCAGCAAGCAATAGAACAACAGCAAAGACGCACATCACTCGTGCCGCCAACAACGACAGATAGCAGCGGCGGCTCCATCAATATCAATAATACCAACAATACTACAAACAACAACAATGGCCCGGTCCCATCGCCAGTGCAACTTGTAGGCATCAGCGAAGCCGACAAGATCGTCGAGGAGACGCGGAAGAAGGCGCGCGCGGGCAAGCTAGGCGCTGAACTTGCCACCGTCGATGCTGCTGAAGACACGGGGAATGGCGACGACAGCGAGAACGCGACGCCCGTGGAGACCTATTCTGCTGTAGGGGATAAGTTGGGGCCGGAAGTTTCGTCTGGGCAACTAAAGGGAGTAATTGATATTGCGAATTTGGATTTGGCGGAAGGTCAGGATAGGAAAGGAAAGAAAGAGGGAGGAGAATAACTTTGTTGCTTTCGGTGGGTCGGTGGGTTGATTAATTGAATGGCTGGTTTGTTTCCGGTTTGGCGGGCGAAAGTCCGTTTTCTTTCACCTCCTTCCCCTTTGCTGTTACCTTTTTCTTTTTCTTTTTCTTTTTCTTTTCTGACACGAGTTCGACGGCCATGATGAGATCAAGATTCGAAAGGGAAAGACAAGAAACTGAATTTGCTGGATGCTGGAGGCGACAAGCCCCTTGTTTCTATGTCTTTCATGTTTTCACTTATTCACGTTTTCATGCTTCTATGCGTTAATGCTTTCATCATTATATCATGTCGTTTAATCGCGCGAAACGCGTGGGAATTGGCTTTTTCTTTCTACTTCGTTTTCTTTGCTTCTCCTTTCTTCTTGTTGACTTTATATCAGACTCCGACCGTCGGTACGATGTTCTCCCTGTGCTCCCTCCCCTGATCTGTCATCTACCCTCTACCATTTTCCCTGAGCGCTAAATGGAATGTTGTATATCATCACGGTGATGAGCGACATGCATGGCGGAGGTAGATTGGGGTGGTGGGGGTTTAGGGGAATCATAGGCAATCGGGGACAGATGGGGACATGGCCATGAATGAAACTTTATCTTGGGCCCGGGCCTACCTCTGCATCAGTGGTTATTTATTTATACATAATGTTTTTGTGTCCGTCCGTCATCGCTGAGCAGAATCATCAGACCTCAGCAGCTATACAACGTCTATTTTCGTGTCCTTTTCCCCCGCCCTTTTTCTCCGCCTCCTTTTTTGTTTGGGGTGGGGGTGGGAAAAGGTTTGTGCTTGTTTCATTTGTGATGTATGTACTGTACATACGTACGACATATCCCTGTGGGACTGTGGTTAAGCCAGCAGTTGTATATATCTTATAGTTATGTTGTACATGTGTACGGAAACATTGATCTCCTTGAACTTTTTTCTGGTAACTATGTCCATATAACTATCTTTTGCATAGCAAGAGAAACAGACATGCATTTCGGGAATTGTCTAATTTCCCGTAATTATATTTATCTACGTTTTTTGGTTTTATTAACTGTCGTATTCGCTTGTTGTCACTTCAGGGAAAGTATTCGTTTTTCCATTCCGTGAGCTTTTTTCTTTTTAAAGTGAGGGTTGTACAGAAGTTTGTGGTTTCTAGAAAAAATATAAATACACAAAAATGGGTGGAGAAAAAAAAATTCTAAAAGTCTTAAATAAACGACCAAAAAAAGAAGAAAAAAGAAAAGAGATAACCCCGAGGATATAGAAACGGTGCAGTACAATTGGTTGGAAAATATGAGAGTGGGAAGAAGGAAAAATAAAGGGAAGCATGGGGCAAAAAAATAAATGACAATCCATTTTATCAACATAACCATTTATTTATCACCATAGAAAGAATGAAACATGCCCATGCCCATGCCCGTTTTTCCCCAACGGTTCACTTTCTACCAGAACTTCAACTTCCCGAGACCCGACCTCGACTTCTCTTCCTTAGGGGCATCCGCCTTCTCTTGCTCTCCCTCAGCCTGAGCGTCAGCTTCAGCCAAAGCACCGGAACCAGCGCCAGCCTGTTCCGCACCCTCGCCATCTTCCCCCTTCGCGGCGGGAGCACCGCCAAGGGCCAGCAACTCACCAGCCGCAAGGTCAAGCTCGGTGCCCATAATATGGCCACGAACAGGCTTCAGCTGACCATGGATGACATTTTTTGGCCATGACTCGGCATACTGCAAATTATGCAGATCCACCCAGAACATCTTGACCTCGCCTTCATTGACGATGTGATGCTCCGACGGCGGCAGCGAAGGGTCGATTTTCACCTGCAGCATGCGTTCCAATTCGGCGATCTTGTCCATGGTGTCCTTCTCCAGCGCCTGCTGTGCTCTGATAGCCGCCTGGATCCGTTTCCGTCTCTTTCGGCTGATTTTCTTGCCCGACTTATCCTTATCGCCAACCTTCCCGCTCTCATTTTTCACCTTCTCGCCATCTCCCCCTTCTACTTCTTCTTCTTCTGCTTCTGCTTCTCCTTCATTCTCATCTTCCAGTTCATTTTCTCTCGCTTCCCGCTCCTGCTCCTCCTTCATCTTCTGCTGCTGCAGCGCCAGTACCGCCGCCACATCCGCAACGCTTGTAGCCTTTTGGTCCATGAGGATACGCGCGCGCAATTTTTTGTTAAGGAACTGATGCTGCTCCATGCGAGTCTTCCATTCCTCATCCCATTTCTCGGCTTCGGCGGGGTCCCGCGGGCGCTGCCGGGTGAGCACCTCGTTGTCTTGCGAGGCAGTGATCATATCTGCGGGCGGGGCAAGTTGCCGCTGCATGGAGAACTCGCGGAGAAGGCGGTAGGCTTCAAGGCCAAGGGAGGTGGAGGGGAAATGCAGGGAGAAATAAGGGGTCCACATATCCTTGCGCAGTGTAGCGGGTACGGTCTTCTTGCCGTGGTAGACTAGTTGGGAGAGAACGTTGTTTTTCTATAGCATTTATAGAGTTAGATTATGTGTTTCGTTGAGGTGTTCTGAGTATTCGTCTGCACTGTGCTCTTAGATAGTTGGAGAAGAAGAAGAAGAAGAAGAATCCACTCACCTCAAGCTCTCTCGTAAACGAATATACAACCTGATTCGTTCGGATATTGTTGTAGGCAAATATATTTTTCCCATGCGTTAGGCGGTGTAATGCCTTGCGTAGCCTTGCTCTCTCCTGTGTCCGCCATTGTAGGGCAGCACGGGACCCAGTTTCTCTGACCTTGCCCTGGATGGGTTTTGTCGCTCTTGGGAACCGAAGGGCCTCCCAGGAGCTGACAACGACAGGGCTGACCGTCTCCTGTATTTTTGGATTTGACAAGTTCTTTCCAGGTTTCTTCGCAATGGCCGTCTTCGCACCGGAGCTGGTACCCGCTTCAGCACTGGCTGCCGCTCCCCTCGCTGCTCTAGTAGCTGTTCTGGCAGCCGCTCTGGCGGCCATGCTCGCGGCAACCATTGATGCCGGTGCGTTGTATCAATTTTCCTGCAGAGCCAATTGATCGTTTTCTAGAGCATTGTGGCGCCTGCTGCAGTGGGATGTAGTCGGAACCTCCCTGAGATCGAGGGGCGGGACGAGCGTCGTGGTGGTGGATGTGGTTATGGTGGTTATCGTTGTTTCGTTGTTCATGGATCTGAAGTTTTTTCCTGGTTCTGGGGCCGGACCAATCGGGAGCACCCAAACAACCATCGACAAGACAAAGCTCAGCTTCAAGCCAACAACGACAACCACCATAACCACAACCACAGGTCAACCACATCGGCGTCAACGAACTAGTTACCGTAGACGGTGCTTACTCACTGCGTCGAGGTTGACATGGCCTAGACAGCGTTGTCTGGCTGGTCTACTCCTTCGTGCTCTTCTCATCCCGGTTATTTACGTTGATGAGAATGACAGCTCCGCCGAGTGCACGACGACATCTATGCCTCACATATCGCATGCTTCCTAGCAATGGCTCTCTCCAGATCAGCAGACGACCTTGTCCAGCGTTTAGAACAGCTCAGTGCCTCAGATAGCCAGCGTCAGAAACCATGGTTCTCGGTATGAAACCCCATTTGGGGGAGCTTGGAGATGCCCTTCTCTATCCAGATTGGTTTATTTTATATATGACAAATAATAGTAGTACTCATAAACAGTATATTTTTTTTCTAGAACCGCAAACTTCGCCATCTCCAGGGCATCTCTTTGCGCAATCTCACCGTCAATCCTAACACGCCGTCCAGCCGAAAGACTATAGACGACGACAGTGTTCCGAATGCCCTCCAGTCCCCCACTAAATTACTGGCGATGCGTGAATTGCCGTCACCCATCCCCCAGTCGCGCTCGTTTACTGACCTCAAGCGTCGTGATCAGTTTTCCTCCGCAGACGTTACCGCCGCTGCAGCTGCAGCCTCACCTTTAGGGACACCTGGGAGTGAAAATCAAAAAGAGCGAAAAAACAAGGCTCAGATTCTTCGCCGGAGGAGCACTTTACGCTGGGCTGGTGCCAGTCCATTCATTCGACAACATCGACTGGAGGACATTGCGGGCAACCGGATGGCAAACTCGTGGTTCTCGCTACATTGTGCTGGCATGGATCAGCCGGTCTACGTGAGCGAAGTGGTGGGAAGGGCGATGAATCCAGATTTCAAGCACTTCGATCTGAACGTCTGTGGGCCGCTGGTGTCGCGTCTGGATCAGGTGACGTGTAATGTGTGGGCGAGGACGGAGGATATGACGGAGTATATCCTGCTACTGAGGCTGGAAGTGAATCTGCGCTCGTTGCAGTATGTCGGAAAAACGTTGGAGAGTTTCTATCACCCGTTGCCGACGAACTGCGTTGTGTTTCGCTTCCAGGATGGTGTTTATACGAGTTTGATGGATATGCCCCCTGTAAAGCAGCTGCCAGCACCCGTAACTACTGCCTCTGCTGCTGATGCTAGGGTCCATGACGATAGTCGCCTACAGTCTACGTCAACTTACGATGCGCTCATGCGCCTTGCCAATCTCGACGATTGTATTCAAGATGCCCTCGCGACGCGGGAGAAACTCGAAACTCAAATAAATGCGATACTCGAGAGAAACCATAGGGCGTTGAATACCCTATGTTCCCGATCTCAAGCTGTCGACAAACTCTCGTCCGTAAAACGCACCATTACGTCCGCAAAAAAGCAACTACGGCAGAGCAAACAACGAAAAGAAGAGATCCAACACAGTCTCGAAGCACGACGTACCGCCATGGCCCGCGGACGCTCGTCTCAAGAAAAGACCAAGTCCTTCCTTTCCGAAGCACAATCGAGCATGTCCTCTAGCGAAAACCTCCTGCGGCGAACAGCTGAGGACTCCATGGGCCAGATACGGCGGATCTGTGAGGAGCTGCAGGCGATATACCCGATCGAGCCGATCCCAGAGAAGCCACTGGCGTTCACCATCTGCAGCCGCGCGCTGCCCAACTCGACCTTCGAAGACATGGACAAAGAATGCATCGCGGCTGCGCTGGGCTATACGGCGCACCTCGTCTACCTGCTCTCCTTCTACCTCTCCGTTCCCCTCCCGTATCCAGTGCGGCCTTATCTATCCCATTCGTTGATCGACGACCCGATCTCCGCAGGCCTACCGCAGCGCACGTTCCCGCTGTACCCGGTCAATGGGCACTATCGGTTCGAGTACGGTGTGTTTTTGCTAAATAAGAATATCGAGTATATGATGAACCGGATGGGGCTGAGGGTTATTGATGTGAGGCATACGTTACCGAATTTGAAATATTTACTGTACGTGTTGACGGCGGGTACGGGGGAGTTACCTGCAAGGCAAGCGGGCGGGGTTGTGCGCGGGCTTCTGCTGGGGGTTCGGGGGAGGGCAGGGAGTCATATCATTAGGAGCGGGTTGACGAGCCCGAGTGTGTCGCGACGGGGCAGTGAGGACAGTGTTGTTTCCGGGGCTGGGCCGGGAGCCGGAGGGGCGGGGAGTATTATGGGTGATGGTGGGCCCGGATCTGGAGCAAGAAAGATATTGCAAGAGAATATTCTGGCCAAGGCGAATGGGCAGTTGGCTGTGGACCGGCGACTTGCAGGGGGTGGAAAAGCATAATAATCATAATAGGGGAGGCGGAAAGAGTTAATTCATACCTTGGTGGCCGAGGGGGAAGCCTTCGAGCGAGCCGGAGAGCGGCCGCAGGGACCACAGAAACTGAAAAGCTAGATGCTGGATGGGAGTTGAGACTCCAAAACGACGGGGTTTTCTTTTTTTTTGACCCCATCCATGGCTGGATTGGTTTGAGCCATGATATGCGAGCACATTATTGACATGTTGTTCTGAGTTTCGCGTTTGAAGTTAACCTTGGTCGATTTAAATGGTTCCTGACCGTTCCTGTGGCAGGTATAAGGTGTGATACCTACCATCAAAAGCAGAATACTACGCAGTAAAAATTCTGATAAAATAATAATAAACAATAATAACGGCAATAGGGATAAAGGAATTTTTTAAAACCTCCCCGTGTCTACGGCAGTATGTGATGCATCTATGTTTTTTTGGAGTAGCCAACGCTAGTTAGTGTAATTCGCCTCCCTCTCTCGGAACAAACACACTCTCCTTTTCGAACTCTAACCCCAGTTTCTCCGCATTTTGGGTTGGAGGCGAGGAGGAGAAGAAAAAAGAGAGCAACAAGAACCGGCTGTCACTGCCAGCACGGGAATTTCCGAGGCTTGCGTCTTAGACTGTATGAACAAAATCCATTAGGAATTTTCACCTCGACTTTTTTTTTTTTTTTTTTTTTTTTTTTTTTTCATTGTCACTGGACGGTTAAGAATAGTTAAGTTAATAGACGAGAATAATCAGTAATATTATTTCTGCCCGCCCTGCTGACCTCCGACCTGGTCCCTGGGTGTTTATGCAGTAGAACGCTTTGGAACCGTTTTAGTTCCTGCTTCTCCTCCTTCCCCCTGGGTCCCCAGTTCCCCCAAGGATCCCGGATACAGGCAGCATACAGGCAGGAGGGAGGATAATCCCCAGTTCCCCAAGAATCCCCCAAGGGATGGCGAGGTTCCACTCCCGCCAATTGGCCCAACCGGAGCGTGCAACCCGGCCAGGGTTCGAGGAGATGAGGGCAGGGGGGTGGTTTTGCGTGCCCTTGTCTGGTTATTGCGCGTACACACTGGTGGGTTTCCGGCACTTGGTTCTGTATCTGTCCTATGTGGTAGAGGCACTCTGTATGTGTAAGTTATTTATACGCGAAGATGCGGTGTGGGTGAGAGTGTTGGGTACACGAAGGAACTAGATAGAAACTTTGAGCTCAATAGTGCCAACGGCTTCCCACGAAGGGAGACGTAATAAACACCACAAAATTAGAACCCTCATCATTATCGTTTGTCGGGTGCCGCGGCTGACATGCTCTTCTTCCTGGCCGCGAGGAGAGGACAGGGGCTGGCTGCTGGCGGGTGGGGATAGCTTCATGAATGCTGAGATGAGACGAGGACAACCAGCGACGGCGACCCGCTCGCCGGCTAAGGTTAGCGGGGTAGCACAGTTAGCCCGTGGATTAGCACCGAGTCGAGGACGAAGAGAAGACGCGGAAGCAGAAGAAAAGGAAGCAGAGGTGGTGCTAGCTGTGTGTGGGAGAGCAGAAATCAGCAGGCGGTGTCGCCTCGCTCCCTGTCCTGTCGGTGTGTGTGTGTGTCCTCTTCGGTCCATATCGACGCCTCAACATCCTCGATCTTCCTATCTCAACTCAACTCCACTCCACTCCACCAACACCGCTGCCATCCACCCTCTTGCCTCCCACACACACTCTCTCTCTCTTCTCTTCTCTTCAGCTCTGCCCGGCCTAACTCTCCACTCTCTCGTTCTATTCTGTCCTTACATCCTTATTACCCACTTCTCTCCCACAATTGTCTCACACGAGGCCGCTTTGCTTCGGCCGCCCGAATATCCGCCACCCCCCGCCGACGCATCTCCCACCGCCAACGGGGAACGGGGAACGGGATCGCGATACCTGCTGCACCTGTTCCTGCTGCTACTGGCCACGGCCGCAGACCGACACAGGTTTCCCCCCCGACACAAGCACAGGAACACCTCCGATCCGCCCCCGCCCCTTGTGTATCCTGTGTGTCGTGTTTCATATATCCATACATATATATACCTTTCTATAAATATCGCGTCTCTCTCTGCCGACGATATGGCCACAAGGGTTGCTCCATCCTCCTCACCGCAGACCCTCCACCACTCCTCCTCCGCTGCCCACGCCCACTCCCAAGCCCAAGCTCACCACCAACCCGTCCAGCCCGTCCAGCCCGTCCAGCCCAACGATGCTGCTGCAAACCCCAACAAGCGCGCAAACCCCGGCGCCAACCCCGGATTCCCCTCCCCCCACAGATCACCCTCGCCCGCTCCCCAGCACCGCCGCGGCTACCAGGCCTGCGATCCGTGTCGCAAGAGAAAGGTTCGCTGCGACCTGGGAAGTATGTCCTCTTTTTATATATCTATATCTATATTACTACTGTCTCTCTACTTAATCATAGTATTATTGCTATTGCCATGATCAATGAAATTGACACTTTCTAGGCGTCGACAACCCACGCCCCCCGCCCTGCGTCCGCTGTCGCCGGGAAAGCAAACGCTGCGAGTTCTCTGCCACCCGCCGCAAGCGCAAAGTCTCAGAAGCAACAGGCCTTGCCAATGGCGATCTCGAGGAGGATACCACGTTGCGCAGAGACAAGCGCATGATGTCTGCAGATGCCTCGCGTCTCGATTCCGCGGAGAGCGTCAACAGCGGTTCCAATAATATCAGCAGTGTAAATGATAATGATAATGACGATGATACGAATAGCAACGACATCTCATCCTTTCCCCCTGCCCCCCTCTCTGGTGTCGATACCGATATCAGCATGTCGTCCTCCTCCCACCGTCGATGGACTGAGCCCGGACACCCGCCCCAGAACCGCTTCGCCATCGCCCCCGCAAACCCTATCTCGCCCAACCAATATCACAGTAATACCGCGAGTGCCAGTGGCAATACAAGCGCCGGCGGTCATCGGTTACCGACGCGAGGGGTAGGCCCCCCCGGTGCAGGTACAGGTAAAGGTGGTTATGCGGAAAACCTGGCCTCAGCCAGCGGCCAGCAAGTCATGAACCGCACCGCGGCTGAGCTACTATCCCCCGCCATCAGCAACACACACGATGCGCTCCATCTCCTATCCGAAGCAGCGGGGAGGACTGAGGATTTAAATCGCCAGCAGCAGCTGGACTATCGCTATTCCGCGTCCACGTCGAGCTTTGCCTCGCCAACTGACGCCCTGGCGAGGGGAAACGTCTCAGAGAAATCTGGGAGGTCCATGTCCAACGGCCAGCAGTCTCTCCATCGCTACCAGCCGCAGACCGCCGGTTCGACTTCAGTTGGCGTTGTCGAACATCGTGCTGGTGAAGCGGGAGTTGTTGGGACCAGCGATGCCGGTAGGGAAGGGTCCAGGTTGATGAATGCGCCTCCTTCGCTGAAAGGCGGATTTGTAGAGGATATGGATTATGTGAATGCTGTGAGGGTGTGGTCGAGGTTTCGCTTTATTAGGGCCGGTTGGTTCAGTGTTGATGAGGCCATGGGATATATCGCATAGTAAGGGGAAATATATCCATATTCATTGCGATCCCTTGTTTTTTATATCTACTGTTTATTGACTCTTTGCCTCCCTCCCACCTCCCAATTTCCTTTGCAGCTACTACGAGCATCTCGCCCCTTTGAGTCCCATCGTTATACCAAACTATAGTTCTCCAGCAACCCATCTAACCCTCCTTACCGAAGAGCCCGTCCTGACCGTCACCATGCTTACCATCGCATCCCGCCACATGCCCCTAACAGGCAACGGCGCAAATTCCCGCGCCTACTCCATCCACGAGAAACTGTGGTCCTATCTACGCGGTATGATCGAACGCTTAATCTGGGGCCAAGAGAAGTTCGACGGGGGCACCTTACCCTCCCAAATACCCAAATTCTCCTTCGCCCCTGGCCAATCGAATGCGAGTAGTGGAAATCTACGATCACTGGGCACTATCGAGGCCCTTCTGCTCCTGACGGACTGGCACCCGCGCGCCTTGCATTTCCCGCCTGGTGATGATGAGAATACACTCTTGGATATTGACCCACAGCTCCTGACGCAGATCCAGACGCAGTCTCTGGATAATCGGGGGAATATCGATCATGATCACGATCCCATAACGACGGGCAAGGCACAGAGTATTAGTAGCGGCGGCGGCGGCGGCGGCGGAGGAGGAGGAGGAGGTGGAGGAGGAGGAGGAGGAGGTGGTGGTGGTGGTAGTAGCTCGGAGGGTCGTCTTGCGTTCTACAAATGGCTCGAACCTGTCTGGCGCTCCGATCGCATGTCCTGGATGCTCCTCAGCACCGCACAAGCGCTCGCCTTTGAGCTCGGTGTCTTCGACCCCAAAAACGACCAGATGTCCAACAACGCGAACACGGAGTCCTCGACCGAGCGCATCCGGAAACGCCGCGTGCGCAAGCTGATTCTCGTATATGTCTCGCAGAGTAGCGGGCGGTTGGGGATCCCCTCCATGCTCCCGCTCCCACAATGGGGGATAAACATGGATCCAGTATCGTCAGAGGACTGCCGCTTCCTAGACCCCCACGAGGACCGATCGATTGATTTGATGCAGGATTGCTGGATGGATATTTCGAAGATCATGTATACGAGCAACCAGGTGTTGTTCCAGAGTAAAGAGCAGACGTCGAACTTGATTAAGAGTGGAAGATACCGGGAACAGATTGATAAGTTTATACCGTCATTGAGGGAGTTTAGGACGAAGTTTGATCGGGTTTCTAGTGAGCTTTTATATTTATATCATTTTTTTTAAAGATTATGCAGTGTGTTACTAACGATCTGATAGTGCCTGCCCATATGCGACATATCCTGGCTATTGAATACGAGTATACCCGTGAGTGTTAAATTCCCGCAAATTAGCGTCAATGATGTGCACCCAATTCTAATTCGGGAAAAATGCAAGGTTTATATGTCAACTGCCTCGCCCTCCAAGCCGTTGTAGATAGATGGACCACAATGAGCAATGAGGTTCAACATCCATCTACGGCGGGTTCAACGCGGCCCAACTCAACAGCCCAGACAAATTCTTCCACTGCCGCCAATGCGACCGCTTCGTGGCGGGTCCTCATGGAACAGTACCAGGTCAACGAACCGTATATTCAAGAGGTCGTCGACGCCTCGCGACGGATTTTGAAAACCGTCCTTGACGGTCTTCTCCCTGGCAATTCCCTGAAACATGCACCAGTTCGCACTTTTTTCCGAATTTTATCTGGAATGATATTCATTCTCAAGGTGCGATGCGATATCCCGAACAAGTGTGCCTTTTATTGCGCGCTTTTGTTATCACGCTTTCATGACTGCTAACAAAATCTTCCATAACAGACCTTCACCCTAGGTGCCAAAGAAGATGACGTCCGCATCTCCCTCGACCTGCAAGACCGTACTATCGAGTCTCTACGCACCTGCGTAGTCGACGATGTCCATCTAAGCGTCACAATCGCTGATCTCCTCCAGCTCCTAACCTCCAACATCCGGAACAGGTTCCTCCGCTTTGCGCCCCCAGACCGCGTCACTGGCGAATGCAGCAGTCGCGAACGAACACCGCAGCCGCAGGCGCAACCACCCGGACTCATGTCCTCACCGCTGTCGACACGACAGTCACCCCATCCGCCGGACCATCTCGGCCACGCTTCATCCCAGCAACTCGATCAAAGCCAAAATGACTTCCAAAACCCCGCACGCTGGCAGCAACAACAGCAACAGCAACATCAGCTCTCTCCCAACACACCCTTCCACTTTGATACAAACAGCCACCATCATCACCATGCCCACCACCAACACCCCAACCATCACCACAACCATAGCCACAGCCATCCGTCTACCACCCACGCAGATCCCCTCGCCAACATCCCCGCCCAACCCCTCAACTCCTCCAACCTGACCGTCTCCTTCATGCCCCCGCCCGCCTCCGTTTACTACAACTACTACGACCCCAGCACCGCCTCGCTAAAGATGGACCTCGACGGCGCAGATCCCACCACCACGGCTGCCGCAGTTGCCAATAACAACAACACCATCTCACCCGACGTAATCAATAGCCATAACCACACTGGAAACAACGGCGGGTCCTCACCATCGCTCCCCAACGGCGCCACGAACGGCACCACCACCAGCGGCGGTGCCAATACTTCCTCCATCAACAATAACAATAACAACAATAACAATGCCACTGCCGCCACTGCCACCAACAGTGGCGGCGGCGGAGGCCAATCAGACTGGTTCGCGCTGCCGCTCGATCAGTTCTTCAACAATGCGACGATGGGGGTTGATCAGGGACTGGGCGGGACGGGGCCGATGGTGGGCGAGTTTGATATGCTCGAGGTGTTGTTGAAGGAGCAGGATGATATGGGGGGTGGGTTTTTGTAGGTCTGGATTTTTGATTTATAATTACATTTGTATTTTTTCCCCCATTTGGTGCGGGTGTATTTTCGTACCTTATCTGTCTATGTCTATCTATCGGTGTCTTAGGAGATGGGTGGGTTGGGTATCGGAGTTTTTTCTTTCTTTCTTCTTTTGCCTTTGGATAGGGGTTTCGAGATTGGGTGGTTTGGTCTATTTGTTCTTTTCTTTTCTTTTTTCTTTTTAATAAGCCCTGGTTCTGGTTCTGATTTCGAAATTGGATACTTTGCGATATTTTGGTTTTCTCCCTATATTCTTTTCTTGACGTTACTGACATACTGCTTGCTAACTGTATTGTGTTTGGCTCCTCAAAAAAAATATCGTTTTGGCTTCTTTTTTTTTTTTTTTTGGTGGCCGTGTTATGCTTTATGAATCCCTCCCCACCTTTTTGTGAGTGTGTGTGAGAGAGATAGTGTGTGTTTGCCTTACACTCGATGAAAGACGTCCGTCCTTGTTGGGTATCTTTTCACTGATCAACAGATCAGTGGGATCATCATGGATATTTGATATCCGTTTGTTATCTATCTACCTATTATCCGTATATATGTACCGTACGTATGTATATGTATGAAATTATTGCATCTTTAGCTGATGTCTATATATTATACAATATTGTACACAAACAAGCATCAAGCATAAATATATATCCACAGCCATGGCCATATTATTTTTTCGTTCCTTTAGTTATTTTGGCCTGCAGAATTTGAGAATTTGGAGGCTGTATGTAGGAGAACGGGCTTATGTTAACGTCAGTTTTGTCTCCCTCCATCAAAGCAACTGCTACATCACCAGTCCTTAAAACAACCTCACTCACTCACTCTCTCTCTCAATATATATTCCATTCAGCATCCTAACTACCCTTTACTGCTTCCTGGCACGCACACTTCGCACGAACTCAAGATAGCAAACTTTCTATATTGCATTCGAAACTCACTTTCAGCCCGGGTGTGAAGCAAAAACAGAAAAATAAATAAATAGGTTCAAATTGAAATGTAAAGAGCGGGGGGGAAAAAAAAAAAGAAAGAAAGTCAAAGCCAATCAAAAAACATCCTGGTTGATATAAATAACAAATAACATATTGATGTCAAGACCACTGGCCGACTCAATGTCCGCAAAACCAAAACTCCAAGAATAATAATCAAAAGACAAATCCGAACAGAGAAGAGGGCGAACATCTCACATATTTGCCTCCGTCCTTATACAGTGCCAGGCCATAAGTATTGGTTGCTATCTGCAAAACCCCACTACAATCACAGTAACCCCCCTTTTTTGTGGCAAAGAAAAGAAAGTGGGGGGGGGGGGGGTTGCCATACACACATATGTATCAACTTTTTCTCTTTCTCCAAACGAGATTTTCCCTCAGATCTCCTGTACATCCAGGCCCCAGATTTCCCAGTGCTTAAGCACCTCCCACCCCACCCGCTTAACCCGCCGGCGGTAAAGTACATCTCCTCCCCCAGATAGCCCCTTGAAGTTTATGCACTGTATTACGTCCGTCATGGTATCGTTAGACTTACACATGGGTCTGTCTCCGCAAGGGAAAGTAAGAGTGTGGCCGAATTGAGATGGAGGTGGAGGTTGTTGTATGGGAGGTTGTGTTAGGGGTGGTTTGGCCGAGATGGGAGGAGGGTTAGGGCTGTGGCCTGGGACCTGGGCTTGGGGTTCGGTGGAGAGGCTGGTGGCTGTTGTTGTCGTTGTGGAGACGGAGGAAGCTCTGGATGGGGAGGGTGGGATTTGCTGATTGGGGTTTGTTGTCGAGGTTGAGGTGGTTGGGGGTGAAGGGGATGAGAGCGTATTTTGGTGGTTATTAGGGTTAGGAACGGGGCTGTGGTCGTTAATGCTACTATCGCCATTGAGATCGCTACTGTATGATCGCCGTTTCCGCTTTCCTCGCGGGGAAAAAGTAGTCGGCCATGCGTTCAATGATGCCTGCCGGTGTCGCAGAATGGATTCTGGAATCGCAAATCTCACCTCCACCAATTGATCGTCCGAAAGATCGTCTGGCGCAGAATGATATTTCAATGCAATTGCATTTTCGTCTCTCAAGAGGGATGCTTGGGTGGCCTTGGATGCAGGAATTGTATATAGTGCACCCAACTCCCACGCTTTCCAACCAAGTCCGATTATCTTTAGTGTTCCAAAAATCTCCATGTCCGCGAGCGACACGCCCATTACTTCATTGTGGATGCAATCGTCCATATCAACCACTTCAGCGATTGAGCGCGCATTAATTTCTGGAGGCTGTCGTCCATTGGTGTTAACAGCGGCATTCGGAGGTGATAAATGGGCATCATTTGGGTCCGAGGCGGAATAAGGAGTGGGGATAAGCAATCGAAGAGCAACCAGTTTTCGCAAAAATGGGAGGAGCAAGCTGAGAGTCTCCATGCTGGTCATCTCGGTTGCTAGAGCAAGTTGTTCTAACTGCGGACATGCGCGCACCAGTCGTGCAATTAGGTGTGGAGGTAGAGTCCATCGGGAAGGGAGGAGAAGGTGCCGGAGCGTGGACCCAAGACCGGATGTTATTACTTGAAAAAGTGGGTCACGGACGTAGAGTGGAAAATTCAATACCGTCGGCGATGACTGGGGTATGAAGTTGTCGTAATTGGAGATAGAGCTTGGGGTCCCGTCGTTAGCTGAGACTGATCTCCTCCGTCCTGCAGGTGAAGAATCCGGCGTCAGAATCGTGGATGACTCTAAGGAAAAGTGTTTAGGACTGTTGCGGTAATCTCCTGGGCTTCGGATGCCAGTCACTAAATAAAACTTTTCCAATCCTTCGAGATTGCCTAATACCTCGCAACTTCGTTTGTCCAGACGGTCAAATCGCATGGACTTTAAATTCAGCTCCCAAGTCGGCATCGGCCAGCTATTTTCCACGAAGGACATAGTATCAAAAGGCGCAGTAAATACAGTAAGGTCTTCTAGCCCAGAATAGTCAATGCCAGACATGATTTCCTCTCTATGGAGTGAGTATAAGTTTTGGAATGCAACCTTTTTGAGCTTCACTGGCGATTTGGCCGCAATGCACTTGCGAAAATAGTCAGTGAGATTGACGCTCGCCTCCTGCGCTTCCTGCATCCGGGGGGACCAGTGTAGCCTCAACTCTCGTAATTTTTTGCTCTGATATAGCAAAGTAGATAGGTCATCCGGGTAGCAAAGGGGATCAATATCCGTGATTTTAAGCGCGCGTAGATGCGGCATCGCTGGAATAACAATAGTTGGCCGAGGATGCCGACCCGATGGGAATCGTACTGTTAAAGACTTCAGCCTGGGCAGCTGGGCAAGCCCCTGATACACCGTCTGCAACATTTTTGTATTGAGCTCCCAGCTATTTTTCCGCACCAGAAACAAAATATGTCAATCGCAATCAGCATATCTACGTCTTCTGCTTCTCATATTGAGGTTCATCGGCGGGAGAACTCCATCCATACCTGACAGATTCTAACCCAGGCATCTTATCCACCGCCGCCCTCACCACGATATTCAGCATCATTGACGAATCCGGCACCCTCCCGACTCTCGCATGTTCCTCCAGCTCATTCTCCCTCCACTCACCCCGCAGCGTCAGAGACCGAACTAACCCACCCACATTTCGGGTCACCACCGCATTGAGGGCCATGGAAAATGGGCTACCACTGCCGCATCCTTCCACAAATTCGTCGCGGTATCGGAATTTATCGTACGATGTGAGCGTAAGGTCTTTGTAGAGCTGTGGGAGAGCCATATAGTTCAACACCCGACATGTACGGCAAAGGCGAGCGAGGTCTGCAACATTGTCCAACTGCAGGGAGAGGAGGAAGATTTCAGGGTTAGTATACAAGGTGTCTCGAGATCGAAAAGAGAGGAAGGAGATATTGCAAATGAAAAACAACACCAATAGACACTTACATGCGCCACAAGCACAGCGATAATGTTCAAAGGCAGGGTCAAGAGCCCGGGTCGCTGGCCGGCAAGGGCAAGATCAACACCAGCTGTTGCAAACATGTTCGTGTTGACGTTTGACATTTTTTTTTCTGTTAACGGGTTTCATGGACGTAAGATGCGGACGGCCGGGGGGACGGATTGCATGTACCAAGCCCCGTCGCTTCATTCACAGTAGGAGAGGGTCATGGAAATGGTTGTTGTCGTGGTGGTTCCTGGATTGACGAATTTGCATGTCCCGGATTTTTGCGGTGGTCAGGTTAGGTATAAAAGGCAGCAAGAGATGACGAGGGACAAAGCTGGAGGCCATCACTTGACAAGGATCGCGTCAAGCTAGAACATCGTCCTAATTTTTGTTTGAGAAAAAACAGAGGCACTAAAGAGGACCTCTTTAACTTTAAGTCTATTTCTAGCGGTAAAGCGGAAAAAAGAAAAAATCAAAAAATCAAAAAAACATATATAGAATGAGGTCAAAAGAGATATAACCAAGGTAGATAAGTAAATAAATACATGTCAAGTGTAAACCCAATTTCCCAGGAAATGTAATGATAAAATAACATGTTTCTATCCAAAAATGCGCAAAGCCCAGCCCGCGATCCCCCAAACCTGAAAGAGAAAAAGAAAGAAAACACTTCATCGCATATATACAATCCAATGGTGTCCTAATGATTTTGCCCGCCTAGAAGTCCAACCCCCAAACCCAAAACTTCAGAAAAAAAGAAAAAAGGAAAGGAAGGAAGAAAACTCCGCGCTAAATGTGCAAAGGGAGGCAAATCCTATGATTGCAAAGAAAAGTTTCCCAAATCGTCAGAAGTAGTAAACCAGGAGGTGGAAAATTCAAGCCGCTGGCCACGGAGTGAAGCCCGCATGCTTTTTCTTTTTGATTTGTTTGATATCCCCAAAAATTCCATGGGCGGAACAGTGTCAATTCCCGTGCTGTGCCCCAAGATCCGAATCGGTGAGATGTCGAGGGTTATCTCGATCGTGGAGAGGGTGTAAAAAGGAAATATGTCGACTATGAGCAGTCGGGCTTCCCGAAGATGACGACTGGGGCACTGGCTCCGTCGAGTTAGTAGTTGTATGAGGATATCTTTCACCGTCTGGTGATATCTCAATAGCAGGGGACGTGGAGTCGGAACCATTCCCATCATCAAAGGACGAAGACGACGACTGCTCACGGACAACCTGAATAATTGCGTGTTCCTCTTCTATCAATATGGGCACTTCAGATGTAGGAGAAATTCGCCGTCCTAGCCCGCCACCCCAGTAGTGTGGGTGAATTGAGGTATCCGACCGATGGCCTTGTGCAGAAGATGTCGAGTTGGGAGAAACGGGGTGTATCGGGATGGGCGATGACAATGTGGCTTCGGATGCCAACGTAGCGGCGGACGTACGAAGCTCATTCGAATCTCCAACATGAACTGTATCTGTCTGCTTTCTGGGGCGAGGCGAAGCGCCATCTCCCACGAATGGCCTTTCCAGCGATTCGTTTCTTCGCTCACCAGCCTGCGATGATGGCTCTACAACAGGGAGTGGCCAGGTCCTTGATGATCGTGACGGTGGTGGAATTACCATCACTGGGAGGTCAGAGTTGCTTCTTATATCGCGCTGGTCTTGGGTCGATGTGTCCTGTTCTCCATCGTCCCTGCTGGGTGACTGGCCCCTGGGCGCGCTCCTGGGTGCAGGGATGACGGTGACGGGTAGAGGTGCTTCAGGATCCGTCTCGCGCGACAATTTACCTTTGTCCCAAGGGCGGTAGGTAAAAATTGTGTCAAGCTTTGATTTGAAATTCCACGTTTTGTCATTCGTACCATCGCCGTTTGCGGTCTCAGATCCTGATTGCAAAGTGTGTGTCACTTTTGCCTGAGCTGTTGCTACTTGTGTTGGTGGAGAGCCGCGTCGTTTCTTAAAAGGATTATTTAGCACTATCCACCCGAGCCCTGAGTTCATTACTGGTATTGGCGGAGAATGGCTGCAGAAATCTCTGCTAATAGTAGATTGTGGGTGAGTAGGGGCCGGAAACTCCTTTGGAATTTCTTCATCTGGCGCCCGTTCCATTCCGTCTGAAGTGACGCTGCCAACGGAATGGTAGCGGACTCGATATACTGTGCTTGCAGCACTAACGGTGTCTGTTCGGCTGACAGGGGTTGTTGTATTTGGGGGGGGCGTGGAATTGACATCATCGCCGCCATTAGTAGACGTGCCGTTTGCCGCTGGAGTTGTTGTAGTCGTTGTCTTCCTGGTTTTTCTCCGGGCTTGAGGTAAGCGGCTCTGGAATGTGACTCGCGTCTTCAAGGGTCGATGAGTTAGACCTATGACGCCGCCCCAGCCTGAACCAGAACCTTCATTTCCTCCGCCATCATATTTATCGTTATGTGAGCCAGGCCAATCGACCTCCTGGGATGGAGTAACCTCCAGCATTTCGTCGCCGTCAAATATCTCTCGTCCGAGAATCCCATCTTTCCTTTCGTCTCTTTCCAGCGCCTCTATGCGTTCGACCCATTCCCAAACCACCACACTCGCTGCGGCGGCTCCAACCCAGCGAATATACTCACCCCAGCCGGCAACGTTAGGTTTCGAAAGATCTAATACAAAAAATACAATGGGGATAACAACTGAAACGAGAGACAACAAGGCCACCAGGCAAATGTTGCGCATTTTGGGATGGAAGAAGGCAAAGCGATGTTTAGAAAGGCAATAGAAAATAACCCAGGCAGCGTATAATAAGCTCAAAGATAGCTCAAACAAGTAGTTGAGAGCTGGTATGGCCTCAACAATATTCCTCGGTCGACTTGGGTTCAGTGATCGGCTGATGAAACTGTTGAGGATGCTGAATATTACATCCAGCACTATTAATGCAAAACCCGTCCATTTTATGATTACTTTCTCCTTGTGGCGTGGAAACAAGCGAATCAAAGTCTGGACCTGTGCCAGCCAAAGAAAAGTGCTCGAAATAACGCGGACAACACGAATCTCCACACCACCTATAACTTCGGCTGTTAGTGCGCTCGAGTCCATGTATCCGCGGTCATATTGCTCTTTGGCGACACGGAAAGAGTCTGCTGTTGCGATACTGAGGGATATCGCAGTGGTGGTGGCAGCGACTTTCTGTAGCCACGGCCGGCCACCAATCCCTATGACGGACGAGCTTCCATACGAGCCACCTAACCGCCCACGTCGGCCCAGGAAGCTCCCACCACCTCGACCACCAACGAAGAAAGTGCGCGGGGTAATGAACAGGATGATGACAAGGAGATAACTGATAACTGTGGCCGTGGCGATGACGTACATCTGCGGAGAAGTGGATGCGTAGAAGGGTTCATCTATGTCTGCAATTGAGGTTGGATTGTCGACGTCGATGACTGGCACATTTGTGCACGCCGGTCTGAAGATAGCATTTTCTGCTAACGTAATGATGAAAGTGTCGTTGACGAGGATAGTCCCTAACACAAAAAAAAAACACCAGGAAAATTAATTCGAGAACCAAAACCATCTTTAGCTGGCGGACAGGAAAGAGATTGGTCAGCGCCGTTTTACGTACCTCCTTTGCCTAATGTGGTACCCGGGCAAACAGAATGAGAGCGGTCGGACTCATTGCGAGACAACAGCCACCCCACAAAACTCATAACGTCCAATTCCCGCAGTCCGCGGCGTTGTGTATGAATGGCATCCACATCCGGTATGCTTTGAGTGAACAAAGCAGATCAAGCGAAGGCTGAAGGGAAGTTTCAATCCGTATCCAGCAGTTTATAAAGTCCCTCAATCCCGCCTAGCACTCTGTTATATTCCAATTTCCCGTTTCCACCACAATTCCTTTATGTTAGTGATGGCGATAATGACCGTTCGCGTGCCGCTGTTCCAATGCCGTTGGGGCAGGCGGGGGGGAAGGACGTTTAAATTGACGACCAACCGCCACAACCGGGTAGGTTTTTCGCGTCCCTGGGGGAACACAGGTGCGACTTGGTGGTTTAAGCGCCAGAAAGGGCAAAGGGAAATCAGGCGTTACGTTGATGGCCACTAGAAATGAACGTCGGAGGCAGTGGAACTATCGCGGCGAGCCGAAACGAAATAGATCGTCCGTGAGGGGAAACGGACAAGAAGTAAAACATAAAACATTTGCAGTTTGTAGGATGGGTGCGTGTTCCCCGTCTATCCTTTGTGTTATTTGCAACCGCCCTCTCTATTTCAAGAGCACTTGAAGTAGACAACAGAGGGGTTGTCCTGTCTGTGGTCTGAGTCCGGACGAGAGTTCTTGATGTCCGTTGATACTCTAGTCCCGAATAGGCAGTTGTGGATCCGGCAGTCGCCCGAGTTTAGTCAGCGCCAAGAATGCCTAAGTTATGTGGGTGTCACTGCTAAATTTTCCTTACAGCCAATAAAATTCCTTCAAAAGGTCCCTGGGTGGATCCTGCGGTGATTTAAGGTTTACAAAGCTTATAACGCCAAGACATGGGAGCTCTTGGCAGTCCTCCACCTAGCTGCTGATAGCCGCAAGGGTCTGGCCATTTCAAATCAAATTGGAGGAGTGTACTGCCAAATACAGTGGGCATTGTACGCAGTAGTTTTTGATCATAACGGTGACAGCGGCCAAGTCCAAAAATATCTTAATAGGCAAAACTAATATACATATTTTCCCTGTAGCTCAGGACACGGAGCGAGGGCAAGATGTATAGCAGCTGTATTAATAGAACAGGGGAAGAATCCATTGGAAAATGAAGCGGGGCCTGGGCTCATGCTGGAGTACATTTAAGAAAAAGAAATTGGCCGGATATCTTCCGTTCCCTTACAGGGGTTGGCAAGAATAGTAAATCCACCAAATACGCAATGCAGTAAATATTCCTGGTCCAACGGGTACTTTGACTCCAATGAGCTGATAAACCATGTTCTTGGGGGTGATATAGTTAAGAAAAAAGAGACAGAAGTCGGTGATTGTAAAGGGTTGAAATATATAAAAGGGAACGCAGATGACGAAGGCGAAAATGGAACAAAATATCCTTCAATATGGGCAAGTGATTAAAACTCGACCCAACGAGGAGCTAAACATGGATCATAAAATATTGAGAGGAACAAAGGTTTGAAAGTAACACATTAATAAAAATGAGTTAACGTTGACAAGTTCCGAGAGTGGTTCCAAGCTGGAAGAAAGGGGCATCTGATGGTGTTCAATAAATCCAATTCGAATTCGTTCAATCATATAGAGTCAGTATAGTAGCAATTTATGTAGCGCAAATATTAAGGAAAGTTGGCAATATACATCGGATGATGTTCCGGAGTATGGAGATCCTGGACGAAGGGAGTAAACCACAAAAAAGAGCTGGGCGTTATGTAACATTTTATTTCGTTTCTTATAAGCTGGTATCGATCGGGCCTTGAATAGACAAAAATGGAACCTCGCAAATTCTCGGCGGCGGCTTTTGTATGATGAGCATTCTTTAGCTCGAAGATCAATTCCAAGAGGCCACAAAAGGAGGAGGAAGTGCATCACCGTAGTGGTGGACTGAAAGTCATATGGCTGGGCGGAAGGTATGGGGTTGACACAGTCTGTCGGGCGCCCTCTTCTCGAGTTTTTATCTCTTTCTCGTCCTGGATGAGGGTGCAGCATGTGCAACATGTCGCTCGAACGCAATCTGAGGGAATGCTGCCAGGTATACCGTACGCACGACGTGTGCGGGAATGCTGAATTGTTGCTAATAGCCCTGTTTGGTGTCTCTGTTCAGTCTATAGATTCGCTGCGCAAACGGAAAGAAGGGTCAAGGGCGGGGGAAGGGTGGAAAGAAGGCAAGGGGTAGTGAGACGTTATAAAGGAGCGACTGCACTGAAAGCGCAAAGTAGAGCAAATACATACATTGACACCCGCAAAAAAGAGCCATCACTGTACAGGACGCATTGCATGTTTCATAACCCAATAAATTAGTAGGATCCTTCCGCTCAGATTTTCTGTTTAATCGGTAAGTTGTTCGACCATATAGAATACACGGACAAAAGAGTCCCAAACAGCAGGTGCCAATATCCGAGCAGTCGCACAGCCCATGGTTCCACGTATCTCCTTGCAATCGTTGATTTGGATGTGCCACCTGGCCAGGAAAATGGCTCAAATGGTGAGTGTCAGGTATAGTAATTGGGGTCATGTAAGCAGGTTTGATGGCTTGAGGTTTGTATTTGGTGGGAGGAGTGTGTGATTCTAGTGGGTTACTGTCGGGCACGATAGCCAGGATCTTTTCCCGCCGTTCTTGTTCCTGTGCGGCTGAAGGGGCCTTGTTTGCGAATTGGTCGTGAGAAGGTGGGATGGCTATCCTGGGGGGTGACTGGGGAAACGGAGATAGTTTTGAGTCGTGTGGTGCATTTGTGGTATTCTCTGTTGGACTATCTGCGTATGGAGCAAACTGAGCAGGGTGTTCTGATAATGGCGGAGCGTTTTGTGGGTGATGGTGGAGGGACATAGATTTCTCAGAAGCATCTTGATGCATGATCGTCGGCATATAAGAGGATGGACGAGGATGAGAGTAGTGATCGAGAGGCGGCGGAGGCGGAGGCTCTGCCGCATTCGCAGGCAGCGAGGGATGTCTCTGCTGTTTGTTCTGTTGAGGAAATGTCGGCGCATGGAGCTCTGCTGGTGTGTTTAGGTACGAATACCTGTTGCGGGCGTTCTGAGGTTCATAGTTATTATCTTCAATAAGAACCTGCACTTGCGGCCTCATGCTGTACGGTGCTGCTCTCAAGCAAAATGACAACACAAAAGAACAAGAATATGTTCACCAGTGACCGACACCTGGAGCCAGAGGCTCAGCAGTATTCGCTGAACTCGCTGTTGCACTGGGGATACTCCAGGATATATACAGGCCTTCAAGTGCAAGGGCAGGGGGGATTTTCAGCGCTTCGCGATACAGGGGTGAAACACGGTTGTATACATAGTCGGATCTCGATATCTGCAACCCTGTGGTGATTGCGAATGATGGAAAGGCTGATCAAGAGTAAGAACAAATTGTCGAGCAGAAGCTCCAACAACTGCCTCGACCTCGAATAAAGTGGATAGATAAACGATTGACAGGGATCAACAGCCTTCTGCACCAAGGACGAGGCTATGTATGTCCGATCGCTTGTCCGTGATGGGGCTAAGTTAAAAATAAAGCAACCTCTGCAGGAGGAAAGAAAAACACGAGGAAACATAAACGAAGGAGATATGGAACTCAAACAGAAACGAATTCAAGAAGCAATGATTAGGCTCCTCTCTCCTCTGCCACTTCTCCACGCCATCTGATTCATTTCAAAAAACTCTCACCTTGCGCCAACGGCTCGTTGGCCTATGGCGCTATCTTGGCTACGCCAGACAAGTCTTGCAGGCAAGGTCCCCCGCCAGTTGACGGCTTCTTGCCCAGCCGCCCCGGGGACTATCCCCTTGCTGCATGGCACCCCCGGTCGCCGAGAGATTCCTGAGCGGCCCTTGACGAATCAGCACCCTACAAGCCATCTGTTGGTTATGTAGGGTGGCCGCGAGTGGCCACAGCAGTCAATAAAACGGCGACGTCTCAGCCAGTCGACCGTCTTTGGTTGGGTCTCCTTGTCCTCATAGTTCGGTACGTCCAGTTAGGATGTGACGAGGTTTCTGTGCCTCATAAATTGGGAGGGATGTTGTGCGATGGTCACTTTGAACAGATACCTCATGTGGCTAGCAAGCAAATATCAAGGTGAAGAGATGCAACACGCAAATATAGCGACGTTGCATGAATATCTCCCTCCCTAGAAGACTGAAATCACTAAGTGAGCGCACTGACGATAACATTCTGAGGATGCGAGTAAGTTAAGGCAAGGCCATCCAGCATTGTTTCGGGTTTCAATCAACCATTTCCATCAGGAGCTCAAACGATTGCTACCTAACAGGGAGTTATGTTCCATGCTTGCCGCTCATGTGCTGAAAGACATTGTTGGCGTCTTGTTATGACAAGTTACATCCGCAAAACCTGCTGATTCTTGTTACCTGCTTGCCAAGTGGCAAAGATGCAATCGATCACCAGCAAGCAACCAAAGGCCCAACTGTGCGAATGCTGAAATGGAGTGCATATTGCCAACATACGCAGTAGACGGAATAATCTTCTGAGACATGGCCCCTGATCTTCACGGACACTGGCGGGGAAGTTATCTGCGGCAGTCATTAAACCTCTCTAGTAGGTGAAGAGAAAATACCAAGTGACCCCTCATCACAAATGATTTGCACGAAGACTCTGAGGAGGGTGGGTGATGAAGTCAGAACTAACGCAGAAGCTTTCACCAACCGACTTTGAGGGTCCAATGCTTTTTGTTTTGTTCCATGGATATCCATGTCGACATCGGGAGAGTCACAACTGTTCATCTCTCCGCAAGTGCTTGAGACTTGGTCGTTGATTTGCACTTTTAAAAATCAAGAATATTATATCCACACCTGTTTGAGTATGTGACAGTCTCCCTTTCCCTTGCAGAATATCTGGGATGTCTACTGACTTCCTTGTCTACCCTCCATCAGGGTATCTCACTGTCTCTTTTCTGCTGAAAACCACTCGTAGTATTTAGTAGCTTATAGGCTTCATGCTTAAGTGTCTTCGTGGTGCAAAAAGCCCTGGAATTTCGATATCTTTACCACTCATATGTGGCAATTGCCTAGACGTTATATAGTAGCTATTAGGGATTTAAGAACCTGACAGCCCTGCGACGTTTGTGAATGATAGAATGCTCAGAGCCCTACAATGGTAACACTCAAGGGCCAAGAGGGCGAACTCCAAGAGGCCAATGTAAGTGTCTAAGCTCTGTGTACTAGATATTGCGAAGATCGCATTCCCAGTCATTCATACGATAGAAATCAGTTAACTACCTCCAGTATGTAAGATGGGGGCGCGGCCAATCAAGGTGCCTCTATTTCAATACTGTTTTAAGCCATTTCTGAACATCCATGAATGCGATGCCAACCTTACACTTGGATGAGCAAGCTCGATGTTACGGCAGCCTATAGTGACAAATGTGTCAAATGGGTTTTTTATACTAGTGTTACAATGTACACACACCTATCATATTCATTCTATTTGTAATTGAATAGGGCTTATTGATTGTTAGAAAGCAATGCATTGCTAGATATCATCTTCAATATATATCATCACTGTGATAAGATAACACTATAATCACTAGATTATCCAAAGTGAAAAGCCAACATAACCATTTGTTAAATGGTTGTGCTCATAGTGATATATATACCCATGGGTGTGGTGGTGTGGCCCGGCCCACAGTGGGTGTGGCCACTGAACCAACCACTGAGACACTGCGACTGCCAGCTGCATCACTAGATATCATTGCTAGATATTATTGCTAGATATTATCGCTAGATATTATCACTAGATATTATCGCTAGATATTATCGCAAGATATCATTACTAGATATTATCACTAGATATTATCGCTAGATATTATTGCTAGATATCATCGCTAGATATTATCGCAAGATATCATTGCTAGATATTATTGCTAGATATCATCGCTAGATATCATTACTAGATATTATCACTAGATATTATCGCTAGATATTATCGCAAGATATCATTGCTAGATATTATTGCTAGGTATCATTGCTAGATATTATCACTAGATATTATTGCTAGATATTATCGCAAGATATCATTACTAGATATTATCGCTAGATATCATTGCTAGATATTGTTATGAATATCATCACTAAATATAATAAGTTAGTACTATAATAACTAGATTATTCATAGCAAAAAGTCAACATAACCATTTGTTGAATCATGGTGCTCAGAGTGATATATATATATATATATATTCATGGATCTGCTGTGGCCCAGCCCACAGTGGGTGTGGTCACTGAATCCATTATCTATACACTGCAACCACCAGCCCATAGTGTGGAAACATTGACAATGATATCTCGCAATGATATCTAGCAATAATATCTAGCGATAATATCTAGCAATGGTATCTAGCAATGGTATCTTGTGATAATATCTAGTAATGATATCTTGCAATAATATCTAGCGATAATATCTAGTGATAATATCTAGCGATAATATCTAGTGATAATATCTAGCAATGGTATCTAGTGATAATATCTAGTGATAATATCTAGTAATGATATCTTGCGATAATATCTAGCGATAATATCTAGTGATAATATCTAGCAATGGTATCTAGCAATAATATCTAGTGATAATATCTACAATGACATAAATTCACTGTTTTAAAATGTATGTAGAGAATTCAAGGTGCATTGCTTTCTAGTATAAAATTTCTATCAATGAGTGTCTGTAAGTGGAATTAAGTAATTACAGTGGAAAACATCAAAAAAACCCATTTGACACATTTGTCACTATAGGCTGCCGTGGATGTGAGGTTCTGGCAAGCTCTAGTGGCAGTTGGTGACTGCGACTTGGGATGAGGTCATTCACGGCCCTCCTTCCCAAGAGGCAAATTACAACAACACAGCAACAACCACCACAGCAACAACAACAACAACTACTACTACTACTACTACGACAACTACTACTACTTTACCATCTTGCTTTCTCAGAGAGGTCAACATGGGTGACATATCGGGCTCGAGGTCTTTGCGAAGCACCAGCAAAACCACTTCTGAGGATAAACCATCGCCCCAACAGTTGTATAATACTGTGCATCGAGAAATCCTAAATGCCACAGGGCCAACCCATCTAGCGTATGAGAACGTGGAAACTCAGGCTGGATCTTTAGTTTTTGATTCTCTCGAAGAGTCTTCAAAAGTTGAAAACATTCGTCCAAGGTAGATAACGACCTCCCAACTCCTTTGCGAATACTAGCTAACTTGTAGCATTTGAAAGATTGAGCTACAATTCTTTTACCCAGATGTTAGATGTTGACTTGATGCCAACGTTCACCCATGATTGCCATACTAAGTGGCTCGTCAAAGAGTTTCACAGGATGGAATACTCCACCTTTCTTACTCCAGCTGAATACAATCAGTTGGAGTTTTCCTCTGGTACCGGTATGTACCTTCTGTCTCGCCGCATATGCATATTCAGATTAAACTTGATTCTAACACGGAGCACTCAGCGTTCCGATCCTTTCAGGCTCCCTATACCTCCTCTTTAAAGCAACCTGACTCGTTCTTCCAGGTACAAGGACAATACCTACCAACTATTGTGATCAAGTCAGGTTGGACCGAAACTACGGCAAATCTGCATCGCGATATGAGACTCTGGTTAATCGGAGGGGCGAATCAAGTTCAATTGGTTCTACTACCCAAGTGGACAAAGCATGCAAACAGACGGGTCTCAGGTGTTGTTCAACTATGGGCTTTAAACCAAATGGGAAACGAAACGCTTTTACAAACAGCTGTACGTTTTATCATTCAGAATGTACGGTTGTATTTGTTTGATCACTTTACTGATTACTCAAAGATTATATACCCACCAGCTGCCAATCAAGTAATACAGATTACGCGAAAACAACTCTTTGGAACTTTAGTCCACCCCGGGAGAAACCCCAATGATGTGTTCAACCTCTCCATTGATGCGCTGCGAGCAATAGCGGCAGATGCGATACACACCGATGGTTTCTTACCGGCCTGACGGCCTGATCGTGATGTACTCGTTATGCTTTATCCTGCTGGAATTGCGTGTCTGGATCTCTCTTTAACCGTATCTTTTGAAATTCGAGGCATGTGAAGGTATTCATGTCACTGCGTATCAGCCTCTTGGTGGCAGGCCAGTGGCAGCTGCCAATCCTAACATAGATCGCCCCGGCCGTCTTCTGGATTTAGATGTAAGTCGCTCAATGTGGTAATTTCTCTTGTCATAAAAAATCAATCACAATGGGCTGACGCATGCAAATATAACAAAGATTGCTGAAATCACTTGCACATATAAAAATTCGCTGACTCTGGTGCTACTGTCCTGGACAATCCAGCGTGGCACATTTGTGACCCCGAAAACAGCACAAGAAACTCGGATGGTTAGGAACCGCGACATTTTCAGGCTTGTTGATGAGTTTGTTGTGAGAATCAATGCTCTCTCATATAGAGTGGTATGAAATTACATTAAGAAGAGAAGCGAACAGGGTTGTCAGATTGAGAACTGTTTCAGCTTCGCTGCAACTGGTCTGTATAGTGCTAATGATGAGGGCAAGCTCGTTTAGTGGCAGAGTGATGAGGTCTATGTATGTATGTATAAATTTAACGTCCCGGGGGGGAGCGGCTCTAGCTTTGGGGAGGCTCGAGAATTAGAGAAACCATGAAGAGATGTTGTGAACATGTGTTAGCTCCAATAACCTTCCTCATCTTAAGCTAGAAGTTCACGGCCTGAGATTTCTTGGCATTATGAGCCTTAGCCATTGAGGATTCCTGGGGTTGCAAATCATCAATAAAAAGACGCTGGGTATGGGAAAACAATCTTTATATTCTATTGGTTGACGAATAATGACTCCAAAAGCTCTTGCCACATTCACCAACACTCATTGACACTCTGCACTTTTGTGTCCCCCCTTGGTTGCTATACACTTTTATTGTAACGTAAAGTAAATACACTTTGATCCGGAATAATTACTGTCGTGGAGCGCCGAATGCGAGAAAGCTGTTTGGATTCGATTTACTGCCCACAGCAGAAGAGATGTATAGGCCTTGAGCAAACTAACTAACTACAAATGCAGGGGTAAAATATTCATTGAACTATGTATTGGGGGTTCTTACTGGCTACCAGGGGAAGGAGCAAGCTCCTGATGAGAAGCATAAAGCCAGATCGCATCTTGATCGTAGCCATGTGGTTCCTGAGAGCTGATGGGAAGTACGGAGTAGTAGTCCATCGTTTCAACAGGGATTTTCAAATATCCATGATTTTTCTGCATAAGTTAGTGGAATTCGGTTCGGATAGCTTCCAAGCCCTGAGTGCTTGCCGCGCTTCATTCCGGTCATCAGCGGAATCGAGTATCTCCCTGGCTAAATTCCGCATTACGTCTGCCTTTGATTTAAAATCCTCTGGATGTACCCAACCATCAAGGGGAATATCAAGAGAATCGAAGAAAACTTTATAGTCATTCCAAATTTCCCCTTCGGCAATGTTGGATGATATCTCACTTGGCCCAAAGGTTATCGGGCATTTTTCGTTTGGCCTGCTTGTCATTTCATTCCAATTGCGCCAAACATTATGCATCATGTCTCGAAGGCAGAACAATCCATCATCTTCCCATGTGGAGCCCGTAGGCAGTATACTGAGTGTATATTCCTTTAGCCATATCTAGTTGCATAGAACGAGAATCTAACCATTGTGACACTTCTTTGCTCGTTCGAATTCAGGTAATGCCCACTTCACCATCCACTCCGATTTCAAGACTTCGTGTATCGACAGCCGTTGCTCCGGCCGAAATACAAGCATTCGGCGGATCAAGTCCAAGATTGCAGCGCTTTCTTCTTCGCTAAAGACTCCCATGTTAGGATTCTTCTGTCGATATTTTTGCACCCCCTCTTCGAACGCTGTATTCATAGCTGGCCAGACATGTCGCCCCTCCTTAGGCTGGGCATTTTCATCAAAAAATTTGTCTCTCCCTTGCCATTTCTCCCACCAGGTGGAGGGCATCGGCCCGAGAACATCGATCTGCTGAGAAATTATCTCGTCGGCGGTGAAATATTCTGCACTGAAGATGGCTTTCATGCCAAGAATTTCCCAAATAGCCACTCCCAAACTCCAAATATCTGCTGCGTATGATAAGTGTTCATTCGGTTCAAAATGAGCTTCTGGAGGTCTCATTGGCAGTGGCGTGTGACAATCCTGCCCACAACGAGGCTCTGCAGCGGGAGAAAATGCCTCCCCAAAATCGCTCAAGAGTATGCGAGCATCAGCCAAGGTAAAGTCCCATGCAGGCTTGTTGCTAAGCGTGAGAGGCTTTACAGCTCTAGAAGGAATATGGGGAGAAATGGGCTTTCCATCCTCTCTCCTGACGGGAACAGTTTCAGGCTTCCCATATTTTTTGTAGAATTCATCAACTGAAAGTTTATCGAAATTCGAGGGCAGCTTGACTAAAATATTGCGGAGATGAATGTCTAAGAAGAGGCGAAGAGTATTAGCAGGGGATACGAGACAATGAATACACTGCGGGCTGCTATTATTACTCACCACCATGCATGTAACCGTGTGTATGGATATATGCAACAGCCGCTACAAGGGCAGCCGAAATTGCTCGGGCGACTTCACACGAGAACAAACGACTGTATGATGTTTCCCAAAGATTGGACTGAGCAGCGATTGTTGTGTAGCAGGGGTGGACCCCATTTGGACCGCTCAACTCAAACTCATCTCGCAGCGTGGGGATTAAATCGCATTTCACATTTGAAGGTGAAAATGACGATGAGCAGGAGGAGCTTGGTTGGAACGTAGATGTAGGCGTGCCCCCCCGACAGTTCTCGGAGGACTTCAGTCTCGCGCAGGCGAGATTGGGCCGTGCCAACCTTCACGGCAACGTATTGGTTTACTCGAATATCCCGTGCAAGCCAGATAGTTGAATACCCTCCAAAGCCTAGCTTGTCAACAACTTGGTAGCGGTTGTGCAGAATATTGCCAATCGTAATGGGGTGATAACCTCCGGGTTGATATCCTTCAAGAGCTTCAACACCACTAATCCAATTATATTCTATATCCCATGACTCTCCACCTGTCCCAGCGGAAGACATGGCTCTGGACGAACCTTTGGAGAAGAAATTGGAATGGGTGGCTGGGGGAATGCTGTGGCGATGGAAACTGAAAGACGACTGTAAGACCTTTTGGTGCCAGCTGGTCGACACCCTTTTCCGCCACGGCAGCATAAAAGGCAATGCTAAAACATTCAAATTGTTTGATTGACAAAGGGAAGGTTGTTAGAAACAGTTAACTACTTATTAGATGTGGAAGTCGAGCTGTTTGGTTAGTGATCCAAAATAGTCACATCGTTTTCAATACTATCAATGGATCCTGATGAGTGAGAGCAATTTGCCGTTCATTCCTGATTATGTGAAGCAAACATTGACTTTGACTGATCTCAAATCCCAAGCTGTCTTTATCTTATCTGCAGTCTGCTTGGTGGAGGATGTCATGATGTCCGGGTCAACGGTGACTCTCCCTGATACAGTCATTGATTGATTGATCTGAGCAGGTGTTTGCGGGCCATATGCAGCCCCATTCCGAACCCTGTTGATAGAGCTTCCATGGCAGATACACATCCCGGACCGTGCCATGTTTTCTTTGCACATGGCAGATCTCAGCTCAGCGAATTCCTTGATACCAATGACAGATTCTCCGAGTTTGCTGGTGGAAAGCTTGTTGGGTGGTATCCTGACTGTCCGAAATACACCAGAGGCATGTTTGTTACATATCGCCTTCAAATGGCAATTTTGGCTGGAGACGATGGTAAAAGTATTCTCTGAATATGCTGCTGATGAGTTAAGGTCGAACGAATATTACAAATTCATACAAGTCAGTTTCTGATCCCTACTTTTACAGTACGAAATTTAGATGCTCGCTGACCGTCATGTTTCCTTTCCCCTCTTTTCCGCTTTTATATTTTTTAGTATACGCGTGGGAGCATTCCGAAGGCATAAGTCGTCTACCATACTTATTCACTTAAGAACGAGTGAATCAGATTTTCTCAGCAGTATGGCTGACGAATGTTCGCCAGATAGTCAATCCAACCGCTTTGCCACCTCCAAGCAGAGAGTGTTTTCCTCAGGGCAGAAGGCATCTTACTTACCAGCCAAGTGCTGGGTGTCGAGCCCCTCAACCAACAAAATCAAGTTGGTATGCAACGGATTAACCTGCGCATAAAGGATTTTGTTCCCCATCAGTTGCACAAAAAGGAGGCCGTCAAAACTTCATTTTTTATGTGGCTATCCTCATTATCGGTTCATTTCGAGTGTAATTTATCTTTCAACAGTCAAAGGAGGACAACAGCGAAAACAGGCTCAGAAGAAGAAGGGACCAGAGATCCTGAACCAAGCCCCTGCTTCCCATCTGATCAAGCGTTCAATCCCCGCTCTTCCCCCGGTCCTGGACCAATGCCATGAAGAAAAAGAAGGCCTCCCAAATAAACAATATAGGCGATACTTTCCATCATGGCCAATTCGCCATCCTACGGAAACTGGGATATGGGCAATACACCACGAGACAAAATCCCACCCCAATCTAGCCGTCATTCGCCAATGATCTAATCAGAGGTGTGAATTCCTTCCCCACCCACTCCACATACAGCTTCCACGCACGCTGATCACCAGATGCCTCCGCAGTCGGGAACGCCTTCTGCAACTCCCGCGTAATCTTCAGTACTCCCAATGACGCCCCTTGCGCCTTCTCAAGCTCCTGTTTGACAGCGTTTTCCTTGGGTTTAGTAGAGAGGACCTTCCGCAGTGGTGCACTGAGCGCGTTGAGGTGGTCACGCGTCTCCTCCGGTGCAAGGACGATTAGTTTTGAGATCATTAGGTTAGATATGGTGCGGACGTCCTGTTCATCCTCGATGCCGGCGATGATTCGGTCGAAGATTTCGGCGACGTTTAGTGCGCCGAAGGCTACTTCTAGACACGCGTAGACGGCTTCGTAGGCGCTCTATTTTTGTAGTTTTGGGGGTTAGCGGAATAGGTTGAAATATTAGTAGATTTGTGTTTTTCTGGAGTATTTATCCTTACCTTTCGAACTTCTAGACCATCATCGACTTTATGTCTGAATGGGCCCATTTGAACTTCCCTCACAAGAGCCGGGTTGACTCGAGTATCATTAATAACAGCTGGTAAGATTTTATTGAGATGAGGGACAATAAGGTTAGTTTTATTGTGGATGGCGGAATTCACCGTTGTTAGGGCCAGGCGATGATTTGAAAGATCTGTATCATTCAGCATTGTGATCAACACGGGAACGATCAGCGGGCGCAGAACATCGTTGTAGGAATCGCTGGAGTCGGCAAGGGTGTACCGGAAAGCTGAGATGACGGTGCCCCTGATAGCAGGGTTTTCATTTGAGAGATATTCCTATGAAGAGGTTTGGTCAGCGACCATTCGTGGGTATCAAAATTTTTCGGGGTCAGTTCGCCTACCTGAAGTAAAGGAATGTAAGAGGTCGGCTCGATGAGAGACAATCTTCCAATACACTCCGCGCCTACTGCGCGGTTATCTTCGTCGTCAGAAGCCGTGAGCAATCGTTGCCAAAGGCGTGTGGCAAATGGTGCGACGTCAGGTCTAACACTTTCAGGATGTTGCAGGATCTCCTTAAGGGAGTGGAGGAGGAGATACTTTGACGGCGCGGACGCCTCTAGCCCTTCTAAGATAACAGGGAGATATGCTTTGATATTTCTCGCACCGGAATTTCCAAGGGCGATAGCAGCGGAGAGCCGTACTTTGTCAGACTTAGAGGTGAAATTCGAGATGAACGTTTCAGGGGTCAACGGGCATGCGGGTCCCATGCGAAGGCCGACTTCTCCTAGGACTGCAAGGGCAAGACATTTTCGTTGAGCATCTTGTGCTGTTTGAAGTTCTGTCAGGAAGTCTTCCATCTTGACCCCAATATTTGGACCGCCATATACAAGCAGTGTTCCAATAGCTCTCCCGACAACAGCAGGGTCTCCACTGACACCGACATCCTTCAACAACGCCTGCATCAGTGCAGCCCCAGCTCCTTGTTCTCCAATAACTCGAACTAAAAGCAAATATGCCTTTAAGACTGTTCCCACCAAAGGCGCCTGGATAATAGAACACAGGGCAGCCACAATTCTATTGTCGATAAGCTGCTGCGCATTACCAGGAATTAGTTTGCCCATAATAATTAAAGTTGGGGTGAGGAGATGAAGGTCATCGGTACTGAGTAGAGGTCGGAGGAAACTGGTGAGTTCTTGTGTTGTCTTTGTGTCATAGAGGGCACGAGTATGCGGATTGATTGCAAGACTTTTCAGCGCCTCTAAACAAGAGCCTCGCAGTGCGCGGTCGGATTTACGAAGCTGAGTTCCAAGCTCTAATGTTACGTCACGGACCCAAGGAGATGCGACATCATCCGGGCCACTAGCAAGCAGAGCAATATCATCGATGGCACGAGCTGTTGCAAGCCTTGTTGTTTCGTTTCGCAGGCGATCGACTAACAGCGTCAACCCCGCAGCCCGTTGAACGGGAGAAATGAACTTCGGGGCTCCGGAAGTGCGGCCCAGCAATACTCCAAGGACGTGGATCGCTCGCTGGCGAACTTCCAGATCAGAACTGTTGTCCGCAATCCTATCAACTATTATGTAGAATAGCTTTTCTAACTGTGGCCCAAGGTCATGTTCAGTTGCAGACACGCGGGGCGGTGTCAAGGCCTTCTCGATTTGCTCCACTGCTCCAAGCGCCTCACTTGCAACCCTGTAATTCTTGTCGTTCACAGCGCTTACAACTCCAGGGATTAGGGCAATGAGGAACGGTAGGAGCGCATTGGATGCATGCGTTTCCGAAATCGCGGCAATCAGACTAAGAGTTTCTATCTGCAAGCTGCTAGAGCTGACGGATGTTGTACCAGCAGAGACGGAGAAGCCTGATGACATTGCAGAGGTCTTTAAGGCGTCTGCGATTGGGTCTTCGATTTGCTGTAGGAATTCGGAAAGTCCACCGTACCGAACAAGGGCTAGACTTTTCAATAACGAAATCGCGGCCTGTTTCAATGGTATAGACGCCCGCTTCCATAATTTGACAATATTCTGAATGATACTGGGTGTCAACTTTGCAATCTCTGCCTGTGGACCCGAACTTGGAATTGAGCCTGTGGTAATTGGGGAACTCATGGCAAGTGAAGATGCGACCTCCGACTCCAAATCAAATAGATTAGCATCACTGTCTTGTCTTCTTCTCTTTCTAGAGGTTCTCCCCCTCCCAAATTCATTGGTGAGATGTATGTCAGGATTGATCACCGCTGATATCTCTCCAGTTTTCCTGACAAGACAGTTCATGCTAGCAACAGCTTCAAGTTTGACGGATTCCTCCCTTTCTTTAGTGAACCTCGCAAGTAAAGCAGGTGCGATTGTCTGATATATAGGGCCATCTTCAAGAGCCTTCGGATTATTCTGCTGAGTCGCGATGATTGTATATAAAACCTTAGCAGCGCATCTGCGGACTTTCCAGCTCATATCATCTATATCACTGTATCCCTCTTCCTCTTCAAAATCATCAAATGCATCATTGTCATCTTCGGGCTCCTCAGTCGCCCCATCATCGCTACCCTCATCTTGCGTCCCACCCATTTCCTCATCTTCGACCTCCGCTACATTGGGATCGTACTTGAGATACCGCAACGCTGCCTTTATCGAATCGGATAGATAAAGTTGCATTTCACTGCTACAAGATCCAAGTAAAGTCTCCAACGTCGCCAGGGCTGTTTCGCGTAATTCATCTTCTTCCGAATCGTGGTCGCCTGTATCCGAGTCATCGTCTCGCATTTCACTTAATTCCTGTTCGCTGACGGCTGAGAGCACAAAAGGGGCCAACGTCCTCAGATAAGGGCCAAATTTAGAAGGGATTGACCTAGCCAACGCTGCTATTGTCCCAATGAGATGCCGACGGCGGGTGGGTGTAAGGTGTGGTGATCGAAAGCTTTCTATCAGTGTGGAAACGAACGTGCTTAACTGCGCATCTGAGAAGTGGGCTAGGAGAGCCGAGACGGCTGTCAAAGCCCGTTTTATAACTACAGTTCCAGCGTTGTCATTTTCAACAATAGCCATCACCGTCTCCTCCAGAGAAGCCAACTCGCGCTCGTTCAACATCGGGCCAAAATGCCTTACCACTTCGATCAACACATCGAGGGCCTCGCTGCTGTATCCCTTTTCTGGATCATTTGCCAACATCCCATTTACTTTAGATTGTCCATTGGCCGTAACGGTTCCCCCGACAAGTCTTGGAATCAAAACCTTGGACACTGCCATACACCCTGCTTGAGATTCTCGAGAAAGAGGGGCGCTGGGGTCCGGACGAGGCAAAGCTGCCAAGATGATTCTCAGTGCAGTATTGGGAACGGAGGTATCAATTGTCTCGGAGGCCGTCATATGAGTGAGTTTATCGATTAAGGGAGTAACTATTTCCGGAGGAAGGCGAGTGACAAGCGGCTTCAAACTGTAGGAGTATATCGTTTAGTCCTGAAAGCTGTACTCCCAAAGAAATGGCGTACAGGAAGTTTTGTTCTTTTCTTTCTTTTCTTTATACTTCAGCTAAACATACCATTTCAAGGCCTGATTTTGCACTTCGCCATGTTGGTCCTCGAGGGCTTTGAGAAGACCCTCTACTAGCTTTGAACAAGAATGAACATCTTGCGACAGGTACGCGGAGTTGGCTTGTTCGAGGGTGGTCAACAGGTCGTTGAGGGACATGTAGCGGATATCCGGGTCAGGATCTGTCAGTTTTGACAGCAGAGAGTTTAAGCTCTGCTGAGTCGCCTGCCTGTCATATGCCATGATATTGTAATCCCATGCAATAAAAGGATGGCGGGGTAGGTGTTCTTCGGCGGGGCTGGAGTAGAAGATGCTCTTGAGTTGCGAAGTATACTATGCTGTCTGTCAAGAAATGTATTAGAATAGTTGCAACACGAGTGATTTAGAATTGAATATGGATCCAGAATTAGAGCAGGGCGACTGGCATACAGATCGAGGGTTGCGATGGATCGTAGTAGGCAATAGAGGCTAGATATCAATCCAACATAATGTCAATCAACACAGCGCTAAACGAACGGTATGGCTTGGTCGTCAGAGACTGGTGACGGGACCAGAGAGACAGCAAGACGATGGCGGGAGCGCTGACAAGAAATCTTATCTCTGTGTGTCTAGGAGTATGTGATGTTATTGTCGGAGCGAAAGTAGTTTCTATAGAGATCAACCATTCCCCACCAGAGGCTGAGAGCGGCTTACAGAAGAACCCAACCGGTATCTGGTAGCTACCACTTCGTATAACTGACGAAACACGATTAATTGAGATATTGCATCCACATCCTATTCCTATTCAGATTCTCACATGATCTCCTATCCTCTCCCGTCTAGTAGAGACATATTCTCATGTCTTTGGTTTCTTCAACCTCCTCCACATTGCGCTTCCTGTCACGTGTTCTCCTCAACTCCCGCAGCTAACAAGCTAGCGCAAAAATAACCAAGATTTGCGACCATTTTCCCGCCAACTCCAGCAGCTTCTGTTTCTCACTGCACCTGTGTCACTCGCATCATTCCCGGAATCTCGCAATTGCACTCAATTACATCCCCAATTGCGTCTCAATTGCAGCTGAAGGACTCCAGCGAAGCCCTTCCTCCAATTGCCCATCATGGTCCTCCCTCGCTCCACACTCTTCCGCACACTGTTCACGGCCCAGCAGTCCACGAGAATAGCCGGCGCCCGAGCTTCTACCAGGGTTTGGCAACAGGCCACGAGAAGAACATATGCGTCTGGCGGTGGTGAATCTAAGAAAAGCAGTGACTTGCCATGGTATGTATGTCCTAAAGGTACTATACATTCTTTATAATTCAATGGTTTCGGTCTTTTCCACCCAATTGAACAATCCTCTTTAATTTATTTTACACTGTTTGGTAAATACTCACTATGTGCCACGCGGAATTTGTTGTTATTATAGGATAATTGGCTCTCTCGTATTCACAGTGCCAGCCGCCAGCTTCCTGCTTGCCGATGGTCCCAAAAAACCCACCCACTCTGAACTACACATGCCGACTCACAAGGACACCGAAGAGGTACATATATCAGAGAAGCAGGCTGCAAGCGAAGTTGAAGAAGAGGAAGAAAAGGACAAGACCGAACCAGAACGTGACTCTGCCCCCTCACCAAAGGAATCGGACCAATCCGTGCGCGGTGGCCAGGGGGAGGCGAAGGAAGCTTTAGAGGAAACCTCTGCTTCTGAGTCTACGAAGGATGCTGAGGATGCCTCCGCAAAAAAGATGGAGTCGGAGAAGAAAGAGGTGTGTTGAATATCACCAGTAATTTTTCTACAATTATTTGAACCGCTGCGCATCATTGGCCCTAACCCTAACCTAATCCCAATCCCCCATCGTACGGGTTTAATTTAAGGTGTTTCTCCACCCTCTACATCATCCCATGTCAATGCCACTCTCTCCTCCACCCTATCCTTCACCCCTTCTTCCACACCAACAACACACTTCAACCTGGCAAACCTAGTTAACTTTTCCTCCGAGACCGCTGAAAAGGAAACCCCCACACAGAAACTTCCTGAAAAGGACGAGGCAAAGCCCTCCCACGCTTCCAGCGCGGACACTTCGGCCGCAAAATAAACTACTCATACTATAGAAAACAAGCTAAGAAACCACACCATGGGGACCCGGGTTGGGAGGAACTTGGCTTGTGGAAAAGAGAGGAACATGCGGACGAGAGTCGTGGGGAGACAATAATATTTTGAGTGATGTAAATGTATTTTTATGTACAGATGCTGCTTATAAAACAAAAAAAATTGTTTTTTTGGACTTGGACTCAAAACCGCGCTCTGAAATGATAGCGATATGCAAAAATACTGAATGAAATATCTCGGTACATGGCGCCAATTTTCAGCCAGGAAAACATTTTTTCACGCCCATTTTGTGGCAGTCATTTGTTTCACTTTTTCCCTTCTTTTCTGTTCTTTTCCTTTTTTGGTGGGGGTAGTGATATATGAAGTTTTCATCCATTCATCTGCAGTGCAGTGGGTTATAGTCCTGACCCACCCTGGCAGACCCAAAATTATCCCCTAGATATACATTAGTCGGTAGAGAGAGTGTGTAAAGTCCTCTGTTCCCGCTTTTGGATTTTTCTCGGTCAAATTGAGAAAACCGTGCCTTGGAGATAAGAGAAGATGCTCCCTTGGCTATCCTGACAAAAAAATAAAAATAAAAATAAATTAAACAAAAATTAAATTAAATATATGATGTTAGAACACAGGAAGAAAAGATACAAACAGAAGAAACACGGAAAACTGACACAGCAGCGGGGAAGATCAACACATGAACACCCCATCACGTACGTCCATTTGAAAAAAAAAAAAAAAAAAAAAAAACCTTGGTAATCGTTCATGTACTGTACATACCATCACATCATGCTCATGGCTTATCATCCATCCATCCATCCATGAATCATCCACGAATCTCTATCCGATGCACACGACCCTTCAAACAAGAACATCAAGGACGTGGGGTTGGGGTATTACACAAAGTAGGGACACAAAAGCAGGACAGAAACCATCTCAAAATGGGCGCGGGACAATGGATAGGGGATTCAAGATCGATTAATAAACTTAATTAATGATGGCTGATCAGACAAACCTCCATCCCACCCTCCATTTCTCTTCTCACGGGGAAAATAAACAGACATTAAGAAGTTATGTATGGGTTTTATAAAAGGGGAAGGAAAAAAAAAGGCAAAGGAGAAAAGAAAAATACGTATATGTACTGTACATGTGTATCTGCCAATGCAATTGTGATGCTCAAGAGGAAGATGGAGAGAGGGAGAGAAAATGCCAAAAACGATGATTTTCTTAGCCAGGGGGTTCCCTTATTGTTCTCTTTTCCTGCATACAACAGATCATACCTGGGGAATGCATATATGCTTAATACCCATACCATGGCAATCATCTTATTTCCATAATGGGATTGCACCCCCATAAAAAAAATTCTTCGACAATTGCCTATGAGAGATTGATAGGGGGAGAGAGTGGCACTGGTAGAGCACTGAAAACCTCTGACACCTTCAATTTGGTTCATAAACAATCCAAAGAGGACGAACAAAAGGTAGCGCGGCCATCTCACAACCCAGCTAATTGTTGTAGTCCAGCACCAGCTTGGCCGATTGAGAGTCAACCGTCGTAGCTCCATTAACTATAGCTCTCGGGCCGTGACAGCATCGTTTTCCTTAGTCTTGGCTGTCCTCCTCGTAACATGCGTTGCATCCGCGCTACCATTGTTCGCAGAGCCAATGGCTCCAGTCCCAGTCCCAACATTGCCGCAAACTTGAGCATCTTTGGTAAGCGTGGGCTGCTGATCCTCTTCCTGCTCCTCTTCTTCTTCATCCTCACTCCGCTCGTCCTTCCTCACGTCGCTCAAGACGTAGTTCTTTGCAATGCGGAGGATCAGGAACAGCCATAACAGGTTGACGGCTTGTAGTGCGCTGAGCAGGCCAAAAGTGATAACTTGGCTGAGACGACATTTGTACTGTTGGGTTTCCCAATTGAGTTCAAAGGGACCGACGGTTTGGAATTCCGTAAGAACTGCCCAGAGGATGCGGAGATTAAGGTAATGGCGCATGTATATCCAGACGCCTATAAACGTAATGAAGTATGGACCGATGAGGACGGAGTCCAGGTAATTGAGAGTTTTGGAGGTCTGAGAGTCATCAAGAAGTTAGCTTGAATAGCTGCGAACGAATACGAACACGAAGGGATTAACGGCATACCGCAAGGAAGAAGTCCGAAATATCATGAGTGATATAAACCGCAAGACCAATGTAGGTGAAATGAAAGCGGTAACTGAGCCCAATAAGCGCCAGGGTAATAATATGATGCGCGACTAGTTCCTTGAAATCCTTCCTGGGCTTCTCCAGCAGCAGAAGCAGCACAATTGCCTGTTGCGCCCAGTAACTAGCCTCGAGCAAGTAATAAGCCTTGAAATCCGCTGTATGCAGCCTGTGCGGGAACCCTTCAAACATTGGCGTCGTGTTAAAGTACCAGATATCCGTCTTGCTCATGACGTAGAGCCCAAAGGGCCCGAATAAAGCAAAGTAGATCGCTGTGTACACCTGTTCCATAAACCGGGCCATTTTAGCCTTGCTCTTGATCCCACAGTATACGCCCCACGGTCGTATTATTCGTTGCATGATGAATTCGCGGGTGAAGGAGAGAACAATTGTGTAGAAACCGACGAAGGCGAGATCTTTCTTGCCCTTTCCGTACATGATGGGGCCGCCGGGAGTTTCAGGGGGGTTAGGGTATGAGAGGAAGATAGCACTGTGGACTGGGTTGGATTCTGTCGGGTTCACTGCGTATGTGGCGAGGATAATGAGCAATAGGATAAGTGGTGTTAGCCACGTATGTTTGAGGGAGGTATCTTTCCATCGCCGGAAGAATGACCGCGCCCGTCGCCGCTTGGAGTGTGATTTTCCGCTCCTTTCAGACGCTCCACGCTGTGTGTGCCGTACCTACCATCGGATGAGAAGCACAGAATCAAATATTAGCGGATAGAAGTGAGGGATTCGATTTCTGAAAAAAAGCGCTGGGAAGAAACGGAGTATATGTGGAGGAGCAGGGGGTTATGTGGTACAGAGAACATACCGACGGAGCTTCAGGGGATGGCGAATGAGAATTCATAGTGGATATCGCAGGAGCTCCAGTGTCTCCTCTGATATCTGCACCGAGATTACTGGACTTCCGCGGTCGCGACATCGAGACCTATTTAAGAAAGGGAAATGGGAGAATGAGGCACGAGGATGAAAAGGGCCGAGAAATGGCTGAGTTTGAGGCGTTGACCTTCTCGTCACAATCCGCCAACGGCTTGGATTCCCCGGCGCCTCTTGGCCTTTCTTATACTTTTTTTTTCTTTTCTTTCTTTTTCTCCACTCTCTCGGGCAATTATTTATTTATTTTGGGTGCTCAGGTCAACCCTTCCCCCAAAAGACACGGTACAAGGGGTAGGTAGGGGCAGGCGCGGGTGACACGGCGGCGAGGAGAGGCAAAGGAAGAAGTGATTGGCGATAAGAGGGTTGGCGGATTCCTACATAGAATGCAGCGGACGAGGCATCATTTGCTTCTCTTCGCTGAATTCTTCTCCGATGCCAGAGATGAAGTATCCATGGATCCTCATAGAAATCCTTTTTTGGGTCAGGGGTCGGGACCAGGTTGTTCCGTGGCCGCCCTCAATGCCAGTCTTCACGTGCAAAAGGACTATTGCACGCCACTGTTTAAGCCGCAGTGCCACATACAATGGGTATATAGGGGGCGGTGGTTGTTGTTTCTCAGATTTCTCAGTAACCTAACCTTGGTTCTAACACTCAATTGTATCTCTGGCCCTGTGTTGAAAGGGTAGATGGCAAAACTGAGTATGGTTCACGGTTCACAATTTCCTTGGCAAAACTCTGAGCTCTTGATCAGAAGTTTTGAAATCAGAAGTATATTGATAGCCAGGCTGATCCACATAACCACCTATATATTCATATATATCCCATGGGTAGCTAACTGTGTAGTGTTATGACGTTTTCTATTTAATATCTGATAAGAACAAAAGTATCCACCATGTCAAAACCCAAAGCCAAAATCATCACAAAACAACGAAAGCGAAAAGCAAAAGTCCAGCCCATTTCTACGCCAACTTAACCGTTGGAAGTTCCGCCATATGCAACCTGGCACTCCCATACGGCATTAATTTAACCTCGAATGGCTTCCCAATACACTCCCGCTCCGATTCTCGTGGCGGGTCCGGCGCATAGCCTTCCCCCTTCGGCTCCGTCAACTCCCACTTAATCTCACAAGCCCGCGCCGAAATTGAAGTCGATGTCGCTTTTTCCGCCCAGAGCGGGTTTGGAAGCTGACTTCCGTTGTTGGGTGCTGCTGCACCGTCGTCACCGCGAGCGGCCAGAGCATTGAAGCGGAGCGTCGATGGATCAATCGCCAGCGCCCATTTCGAGGACGGCGTCATCGTGTATTCTCTCGCACTATCAGGTGCGCCAGGGTAATTGCTCTTGACATAGGTGACGCGTGCGTCGATCGGGACGGCGTAGAGAAGCGCTCCATAGTAGACAGCGACGGTGTTGCTGGCACGCTTCTCCACGCGGATTTCAGTAGCGAACGAGACGGTGACTACATGTTTCCCTTGTGTTATGGAGACATCGTGCATCCCTGTCGCAGGGCTAGGCTTCAAGGAAGTGCCTCCAGCGCTGTCGACGGAGATCAAGGACTTGGCATTGTCAGCCCACGAAGGCACCCTGAAGGAGAATGTAAATGGTCCTCCCGCGTCGATTTTGTAGGACAGTACGTTGTCGAATGGATAGGCGGTTTCACAGTTGATATTAACTTTGGTCCCTGAGCTTGTTGTGGTTCGTATCTCAGCTGGTCCAAGCAGCGCCTGTCCAATGCCATCCTCCCCTTTCTGCACAAACATAGCGGACACGAATTTGGGATATCCCTGATGGTGGTTGACAGTACAGCAGGGGTAGTTAGGCTCTAGGCCAAACGTTTGTGCTCTAGAACCAACATTATACCATGGTGGATGTCTGACACTATGGGAAACGGGTTGGTTTATCTGAGCTATATACTGATGCGCCCACCAGTCCGGAGTCACCATAACAGGAAGCGCGTTGAAAGCTGCTAGCTCGCATCGGTCCGCAAAGTCCCGATCTCCCATTGACTGGTAAAGGTAGCTGAGCGAATACATTGTCTCGACAACAGAGCACAGCTCCGTACCCCGTACTGGACTCAGACGTGCGAGTCGCTCATCCGCAAGGATACCTCCAGATGCGCTTCCATGGTAGCGGAACGTCCAATTGACGCCTCTTCGAGCAGACTCTAGCAGACTGTCATCATGTGTAAACCTCCTGATGACTGCACCAGCCTTTAAGCCCTGGCCAGCATTAACGCCATGTAGGAAATGGTATAGCGTCCGAGTCACGTTCCCCGGCAGCTTATCAAGGTCCTCTTTAATATAGTTTCCCTCAGAGAACCACCAAGACCAGTCGTGCCCTCCTTTCTTGAAAAACTCCATGCATCCAAACATCTTATCAGCATTATCCCTAGGATCAGTCTCGTAAAGCCACTGCAGAGCTAATATCATATCCGCCGCTCGGGATCGGCCCCATTGCTCGTTGAATTTATCACCATGATGCCAAACCAGGCCCTGGAGATTGTTAGACAGCATCGAATGCATCAAGTTAACATATTTGTGCATCGCATTCAAGATCCTTTCTACCTCGGCATCGCCAGGCTGGGCTTCCACCATCTGCGCCAATCCCAAGAACATAGGAGTCCTAGCCCAAAAGTTCCTTTGGGATACTACAGTTTCAGGGCCCAGCCAGCCATCCGCCTGCTGATGGGTAAGTACGTAGTCCGCGACTTTCCGGACCTGCTCAAGCAGCCTCTTATCCTGGGTCAGATAAGCGAGCGGAACCAGTCCGTTGAACCAGTAGGGCATAGCCTCGTTGAGATCGCTGTAGTCTTGGGTTCCACCCAACCACCGACTGTCACGGACAACGCGGTAGAAGTCAAGCTCGTGGCCCGCAAGGCCGTTCGCCATCAGAGTCAACTGATCCCTTAGCCAACCTTGCGGCTTGACGGCACCCAGCGGGAGCGCTTTGAAAACGAAGGGGAGTAGGCCTGTTAAAAAATGATTAATAGGAGATCGATTATTCTGAGGAGCGAAGAATAATTACTTTTATGGTTGTCATCCATGATGGTTATTTGCTGTTGCCCGTGAAGCCTGGCGTTGTCTTCGCTCGGACTGTGAGCTTCACCCCCAGTTATTAGGCGAGAAAACACAAGTAGCAAGACATGAAAAGCATATAGGTATCTGCCGCATGAAAAAGCCATTGAATCTGAAAGCCACATTGCTGGCCGCTCTGTGTCCCTTCTCTTCCTTGTGTATCTTGCTGCAGTCTTACTTTTGTCCTGCTCGATTGAAAGGCGAGCTTATCTGGATAAGAGTAGTATCTGTGCTGATTTTATGCCAGGGCCGCCCAGCCTGCGGTTCAATCCTGCACGGGAGCTAAAAGGGAACAGAGGTAAGAACGATAGAGATCTAATAAGTTAAATACACAAACACACTCAGAGAGCATGTATACCGAGCCCCATCGGGTGATTGTCCCGTGTGATTCGGCGCTTGTTGTCTGGGCCAGGGATTTGCGGGGAACATCCTGTGATGAAACTGGGGGGCCGTGATTCATCCCACCGGCGCTGTCTAGGTTAGGGTTAGGTTTAGGTTCGGATTAGGGTTTGCTAAGGGGGTCGAGATACCTCGTACCTTGGTATAGCACCGATGGAGTGTGAGCGACGCAAGGAGCTGATGTTGCTGATTGTTGGTCATGGGTATCAGGTGACGTCCATCCTCTAACCTTTTGGGTTGCATCTGCATCTGTTGAGGATTGTGCATATAGCAGGATTTCAATAAGAAATGATTCTCCTTTCTATCATGCCTCCAATAGCCCTACATTTCCGGAGATTTTTGTATTACCAAAATAATCCGCAGCTGTATATTTGGAGGGCAACCAACCCGAAAGGCCTGCAGCCCGGTGACCCTTTATTGTACAGTGCAGAGCGTTTACTGTATGTGCATTCAAGGGTCAAACCTTGCTTCCGTCGTTCAGAATGTGCATGTGGTCATTCTGTCCACAGAACAACCATTATGTGCGGCACTGGAGGCTTTGCCAGCGCATAAAACCTTCTGAAGTTTTCAATCAATTCTACCGTTACCAAGCCAGGTTATTTATACAGTGCTTGCGGAGCACCATCGACTTTGATCAAACATGACGGTGGCGTCGTTAGTGGGTCGAGGAATCGCGGGTATGTTTAATGGAAAACGATCCACGACACCGTCAAAACGATATACCAGCCTTCATCTACCTTGCAGGCATTGATTTTATCTCCTCATGGACCGTAATCCTGGGAATGGTGAACATGCATTACGCCGTGGTAATAATTAATTTTAAAGTACTTAGTAAAGCTCTACCCAGTATATCTGGAATGCATGATCTATGGTTGGCTCCTGCAAGATCTAAGCCAACAGCAATCGAGCCACAATCCATACTAGCCAATGGAATAGTTTATTTAGCCTAGTGGGCCCATGGCGAAATCAACATGGGCTGCGATCTCTCCAGCTGACCATCGGCTGCTCCAAATTTTGCCAGAATAAAATCAGATTGAGACCGAAAAGGACCTCCGCATTACCATCTTTATTCACTATGGATCACGATGGCAATCGGCAGATCCGGGCTGCCTGTGACCGGTGCCATTCGCAGAAACTTCGATGCGAAAGACGGCAAGATGAAGAGAGCTGCTTGAGATGCGCTCGGAATGCTACGGCCTGTGTTTACAGCGTAAGGAAACGGCGGACCGTTCTTCGGCCACCCCGACATCGTCCAAAAAGGCGAAGACTTAGAAACGAGGATGGTGAGAGTGGTAGCGGAGGCGTAAACGGTCAAATCGAAGAAGACCCCTTTGGCGGTGCAGTGGCTGAAGACGTTGAAGACGGTAAGTACACTCTTACGCCGGAGGAGTAAATGCGTCTCCCTCATTGTCGTTACAGGGAAAACTAATATATCATATTGCTAGAGCTTGATAGCACATATTTAACATCTTTCGATCCCGCATTCGGCCAATGGCCTGAGTTGCACGAGTTACCTCAAGATATATCAGTTCCAGAGTGTGATGATTTTTCACTCCCAAGGTTCGGGAATGGCCTTGTTGAATCTATCCTACCTCCTCCAAACCAGCCTCTGATGCCCACCCCTTGCTCCAGTGGGAAAACATTGACAGACTGGAGTCAAGACATACCTGGCACGCTGGTTGATAAACCAAGCATGATCGTGCAGCAAGTGCGAAAGCTGGCAGATTTAAATGTAAAGCTGTGCGAACATGCAGCAAAATTGCCGCCCGTGTCCACTAGCTTTAGCGAAATACAAATCTCTCTGGCCAACCGCGTTTTTGAGATTGACGAGACATTCTGTCTCATCCAAACTTTGTTAGATGTCTCAAGAACCATTTATTCTCACAGGTCCATTCCACCAGAGAATCAATCTCTGGAAGATATCTCGTCAATTTCTCCGTCGATTTTATTTTCTCAAAACAACCAGAAAGATCATCCACCCAACGACACGAGTCCGGGAGCACGCAGCGGCCCAGGTAGCCATGTTCCAGATCGACCCACCTTTCTACTTATACTGTCCTGCTACGATCGGGTGATTGACATCTGCCAGTGCATTTTTACGCATATTGAATGTTGTGTCAAAACCTTCGCCACGCCTCTGACCCCTGAAGTCCAAGTGACACGGTTACCGGAACTTAGAATCGGATCTTACAAACCCCCCATATCATCGGCAGTTGCCATGAAAATGTTCCTCTTCCACACCATGGCACGCCAACTCCTCTCACAGTTGCGGACCATTTTTGTGATGCACAATACTGGAGCCGGGAGAGAGGGGTGGCAATGGGACACGAATGGGCGTGGAGATGGGAGAAACAACTATAGCAACGGGAATGAGACGGGATCGTTCATGAAGGACACTGGCCGAGACGCCGGTATTCCAGAAGGCCCATATACGAATGTAGAGACCACACCACTCGACCTTGTGGACAAGAATCGTTATGATATATTCGCTCGTGCTTGCGGGATGTCTGAGCAAGTTACCAATATCGGGAAAAAGCTGATGGACATGGCAGTAGTGCCATAGCCCTAACCAGGCATAATGCTAATTCCCAAGGGCTAGAATCGCTATCACGCATTCGTTTTGCAATACAAGGACAACTCACCCATGGTTCACCGATTTAACCCTCGTAGTTCACATCGGGGGATTGCGAACAAGGTTCATTCGCAGTTACAGGAGACAGCTACCTCGCCCCCATGGAGGAAAATGATGCCCAAATGCAGAGATCCTCTGGCCAGGACCTACTACGTAGCATGGTAATTTCCAGATACCAGTAGACAGAGATTCTTGACGCTCTTCCTGGATCATTAAAATCAGGTTAACCTCCAGCTGGGGTTTTGGCCAACCCATTCGAAATAATTCGGCGTCATTGTTCATTGCCATTACTACAAAATACATCTACATAAGTTTTCCGGCTTTCCGTCGTCTGGGAGTCTTTCGCATCTTCGACCAAATTCAATTTGCTGGCAAACTACAACAAGAAAATTCCTCCGGGTAGTCCTGTGTGGCCAAATTTAGCCACCCATCAACATAGTTAACTTAAGCCGAAATCGACTTGAAGACGTTGTGCACAGCTAGGCTTCGTCATTCTAGGTTTCAAGGATATGACGTATAAAGCAGAGCGCGATGGGAAAAGCCATTGGGAATCGAAAGATACTAGGATGTGAATATTGCGGGTGTTCCAAGCTACATCATTGACTCCCTTCGGTTAGCTTAAAACCGCAACGATTCAACGGTCATAATATATGCCACCACCTGTCTCTCCTCAAAACACGCCATTGCGGCGATCAAAGCGTTATCTGGATGTGAGAACAAGCACAATGTTCGTCATCGAATGGTTTCTCTCCTACGGAGGCTCACATTTGAGAGCATCAAACCCGATTTTCTTCCAGTGCCAAGAACAATATAGAAGCAAGATGCCCACATCGGATCTGCGGGCCACACCGTTTAATATAAATTCCGTTTCCTCTTTCTCGTGTTATTGGATATTTATTATAACGGTTCTTACTTATCTCGCTAATGAGCCGGCCAACAAAAAAAAAAAAAATTCTGCTATCAATTTATAAAAAAGTACATAAAGCTGTGCGCCTCTTTCTACATCTAAACCTTCAGCTCCCGCACATATTCACCAGAAAAAGCCGGAAACGAAACCGTGCTCCCTAACCGGTCATTGATTCACTACCCTGAGGGCATTCTTAGGAAGTTGATAATGGGCTTCAACGAAGGCTTCTCCTATGCAGAGCGACAGACGGTGGTGAATGGGGGAAAGAAATCCAAAACTGAAAATACTGTTGGAACGATCCACGCAACGGGTGACCAGTTGCCTGTTAGCAATAATGAATTATATACCATCAAAGAGTTACCCGGAAAAGGATTGGGCTGCTTTGCAACGACAATGATTCCCAAAGGCACACGGATAATACTCGAAGAGCCCCTATTCACCGTCCCCAGCATGGCGACAGATTTACAGTCTATGGAAATGGTCTTCCTCAAGCAGCTCAAAAGCCTGAGTAAAAAGCAACAACATATGTTTTTCTCACTACACAATGCACACAAGGGCAAATGCAGCCCTGTCATTGGAACGATCAAAACGAATGCAATGCCATTCGGTGCCAGGGGCTCAGAGGGTGCCATTTTCCCCCGTGCAGCACGGATTAATCACTCATGCAAACCGAATTCCCAAAACACATGGAATCAGAACCTGGAAAGACTTACGATCCATTCATTTAAAGATATCGAAGAAGGCGAGGAGGTCACCATCGCCTACGTCGACGGGACGGAATTATACGACGAGCGCCAGGCATGTTTTGAGGAAGCGTTTGGCTTCAGATGTCAATGTGAGGTCTGCGCTGCTCCCCGTGAAGAGTCCAGGAAGCGAGATCGTCGACTGGAGGAAATGGCCCGGCTTGATCATGTGCTAGGTGATGGGAGACGCATGATGTCCAAACCCGACGATTGCATTCAAGACGCATATACCCTATTCCGCATGCTGATTGACGAAGGCATCGCCGGCTCCAGGATTGCGAGGGTGTACAATGATGCGCTGCAGATTTCGATTGCGCACAGTGACCAGGCGCGAGCAAAAGTGTTTGCGCAGCGAGCGTATGAGGGGAGGGTCCTATTGGAGGGCGAAGATAGCCCGGAGACAATGCGGTTAAAAGCAATAGCGGACAACCCTGCTGGCCACGGGTTGTTTGGGTCAACGAAGAAGTGGGAGCAATCTGTCGAGGCGATACCGGGGGATCTGAACAAGCCCGATTTCGAAGATTGGCTGTGGAAGCAGAAGAGTTGGAAGGCATGAGTGATCGGGTTATTTATATATATGTGTGTGTGCTTACATTTTGAGAATAGAGGTATATATACACCATCGTGCTTATAGATCATTAGTCAACGAGTAAAACAATCTAGGCGTAGTTCTGCCAGAACAGCTTTCGGCGTGTTTGTTTCAGTCCATCTCTGACCTATTATGGGGCTTTTTATTCATCCTAAATCCCTCACTTACTTACCCTTAATAATTCCAATGCTAACCTCAATTCCAATTGCTGGAAAGCCTCGAGAAAACAAAATTAAGTTTTTAGCTCTTTATTTTAACTTTTTCCAGAAGCTTAATAAGATTAAGTTCGTGAGGAATGACGTACTAGTCCCGTAAAAGGTTAGTCATGACGATATCCAATGGCTTATCTCTATATCAAGATACGATAAGAATCAACATTAAAAACCGCTGGTGATCGCTTCTGGGCCAACTCCAACCTCAGAAAGGTACTGTCTCTATATCGACATCTCCTCAATTCCTACGCTTATGAATTACATGTTCCATCATCGTAGATGCACCACACCTGACGGCATACAAAGCTAATCTGGATGGAACCCAAATCCCCAAACCTTCCCACCTCTCGAAAAGGCACAACGGTGTGAACATGTCCCGCATGTCCAACTCTCCACCCTCACAATCTACTTACTCGGCCTCTCCACCCTCCACCTAGGCATCTACAACCTTCTACACCCGCGCAACGCTCTGACATCCCTCGGCTTCCTGCTGTCTTTCTTGCCCTCTATAAACGCCACCTCCACTGCCACCATCGCTATGGGCGTCTATCATACCCTTGCAGCGTATCAGTGGAACAGTGTCTTCTACATGCTGGCTGCGCTTATGAGATTGCTGACAATCAGCGTCTTTTGGACCCATGCGCAGCCGGGGTTGAGTAGGAGGGGATGGAGGGCTGGCGTTGATGTGGGAGTACAGAGCTGGGCAGGGTAGGAAGCGAAAGAAATTTTGTGAGTTTGGGTAGCTCGAATGAACCGGGAGTGATAGAGATAGGTGGCCGGGCTTAAGCCCAAGATCATCCTTAGAACCCTTTCTGTTGGTTCTGAGATTTGTTTTACATTCCTGGGGCAACAGTGCGGCGGTCCACGGAAAAACATTATGCACCCGGTCACTTCGTCATTGATTTCCTTGACATGTCATACATACACTGTTCTGTCTGCAATAGGATGGGTGTTTGCATGCAGATATCCACAGTTTTTTTGGGGGCATTGAGAGGAACAATCAACTTCCAAGAAAGAAAGAAGAGTAACACAAAAAGCTCCCTAAGCACGGCATCAGCCAAAATTTGTCCAGGTTGAAGTTTATAGATCTGGGTTTTAAGGGATTCAAAAAATGTCAAATGCCAAACAAGGTAAGTTCCTGAACAAGTTGCCTGTCAATGATATTTTGCTCCTGGACCCTTCCCGTGTCCTGTTACATACAAGATTAAAAAAAATAAAATAAATAAATAAATAAAAAATAACCAAAAATAACTAAAAATACAAAACCACATTAAATTTTGCATTTTCACGGATTTATTTCAAAAAGCATTCTCTTCCTCCAACCACACCATATGCTTGACAACGCTCCCATTCCCGCCCTCCGCTTATTCATACCGCCCACTCCTTTGGCGAGGAAGACACCTCCCCACCATGCATCCCATAACAAACACCTTGTCGACACGCGCAGGCCTCGATGCTTTCGAAACCACATACGCTCACCTCCCCATTACCAGCGGGGCATATTTCGCTCCGGGTAAAAGTGGCGCTGGCAAGCGCGCAAACTTCGGTGGCGCCACAGCAATTGCCATGGTTGACCACAACGCAATCGGAATCCGTCGTGCAGACGTATCGGGCGTCGGCTTGTCTGTCGCACTCAGAGTGTGTGGAGCTACTTGTAAGCAACATGTGAATAGATCGTTTTGTTCCATAGAAGGGTGCGGTTGGGGAATGCGGATTTTCGGGGGTGGTTGTAGTGCTGAAATACGTACCTGGCAGGTACAGCCATAGCATGGCTGAGGGCCGCGAAGAACAAGAGGAGCGATAAAAGTGATTTCATTGCGTTTGCGAAAGGGTTTACAGAACTCTTTTTGCCTGTGAGAGGTGTTGTATGTGTCTCGCTGAGGTATTTGCGACTGGTGGGATTCGACGGATTGAAGATGGATTAAAACACTACATATTTATTGTTTCACGTTCCACAGGCTAACGCTTCTCTACCCTACGTGGCGCTTGGAGATAAACATGCCAAGTTTTTACAGATGTTTCGGTGAGCTAAATGGAGCAACAAGCTAGATGCCCTGGCCACCACCATAGTACAAATAGGTCCTTTGTTGAAGACGAGTTGGTTACGGATTCTGATCTCTGGTTCCCCCAACATATATTCCCAGGTTCAGAGTCAGAGGAAGAACACCAAGGTCCGGGTCAATATGGTAACCAACGGTTTTGTCTAATACCGCTAGCCTTTGAGATCTTCATAGATTTGCTTTTTTTGTTTTCCTTTTTTTAGCCTGTCTCAGCCAGGGCACTGTATGAGGACGTCCTCATCGCCAGCTTAGGCTGTGCTTTATTATAGTTAAAAAGCTCCCGTGGAGAAGGGGGCCGGGGGGGGCTTAAGGGGTGAATTCCACCACATTTTTCTTTCCGCTTTTTATTTTTATTTTTTCTAGTTTCCCTCCTGGGATTGCGTCCAAAGGCAACCGGACAAGTGGGATAGAAGTGTGAACAACCACCAGACAGCAAACAGGAAACAGGTCAGAATATTTTTAGGATCTGGCTAAAAGCCATGGCGGAGAGGCAATACCTTCCCAAAATCCACTCATATGAACATTTTTTTGTTGAAAATTTCATGCCGGACCACACAGTATATCCAACGATTCGATAGTTCATATTCCGTACTCGAACTATATTTAGCCCGGATGGGGAGAGGAATATCCATGATTCTAGAGTTTAACAAACGAAAAGCGGTAGAAAAGAATGTGTGGCCAGACGGGCCATAGGGGCTGCAGGGCCTAGAACTATTTCTTCCACCGGATATCCTCACCCAAACAGTTATTTAAGGATCAAGATTCTCCGCAGCCAGTTGAGAACTCTTTGCGGCGTGGATTGAGCTCTGTTCGTTACAACTTCTTTGCCTCCATACAGTCATGCGGGACGAGTGGAAAGAACCACTTTTAAGACCTATCGACACGAACAGAAGGCCAGAGCCGTTGCTTGGCAGTATTGACAAAGTTATGTATGAATCAGAATAGTAATTAGTCAGTTAGTTAACAACCTTATATTCGATGTTCACCTATGTAAAAACTATTAAGCGCCGTTGTATGTACGGTTTGAATATTAAACAGAAGAATGCCATAAAGCAGCCATAGAAGCGGAGGGAAAACAGGTAACTAGAAAAAATTAGAGGCCCGTGGACAATGGGTGCAGTGGGTATTGTATTGCACAATTTTTCTGTTTCCCGCAGGCTTATCACTGCCCTTGCTTTCGAAGGGTTTTCTCGGGACTCTGGCGGTTACAGAGTTTTCCATGCCACACAAGTTGAGCCAGGGGATACGGAGATTGTAATAGCGCGCGAGAGGGGAATACTACATAGATCTCAAAGGAAGAGAACGACAAAGAGCTTCAAACTACACCCCATTTATTGACAATTCCTCAAGTCATCTCCAGGGCCCTAGACAGCTGTTTATTTGGCTGTTTCCTCATGATAGTTTGTTGCAAGCTTCTCCTCATCTCTGACACCGGTCTGTTCAAGCAGTGCTGCACGGTGGAAGTCAACCCGTGTTTTCCAGGCGGGAGTTCCGATGTACTTGATGCCATTGGGGTCGGTGAAGATCGATTCAACTTCCTCAAGCGTCTTACCAGCCGTCTCGGGAAACATGAAAAAGACGTGGACGAACATAGCTGCACAGAAAACGGCGAAGAGAATATAGGTCCTCCATTGGATATTGACAAACGCGGGGGGAACGAAATAGCCGAGGGCAAAATTAAAAGCCCAGTTGGAGGAGGTGGTAAGAGCAACGGCCTTTCCACGGACGCGTAGAGGGAACAGCTCTGGTGGATAAATCCAGGAAACAGGTCCCCAGGTTGGAGCGAAAGACGCGACAAACAGATAGGAGCACGCGATGACAGCTTTGCTGGGAGGTCCACTGATTAACCAGGATTCTGCTTCGATGGCTCTGTCTTCTGGCGCAGGATGTCCATAAGATGCAAGAAGTCCAGCGTTGGTAAAAAGCCAAATCATCATGAAGAGGGCTCCGACTAAGAGGGTGGGACGGCGACCCCAGCGGTCAACCCACAGGAGAGCGGGAATTGTCATCACGACGTTGATGACGTATTGGATACTACTCGAAACCATCAGGGTGTCTCCTGTGAGACCAGCCATTCCGAAAACATATCTAAAATGGAGAGTAATTAGCTGAACCATTCCAACGGTGAAGAACGAGTCACCACAATGTAGCTGCTGGATGCCCACTCACGTGATATAATACATCATAACATTCATGCCAGTCAACTGACTCCAAATCTGTGTGAAAACACCAACATGAGTGCGGTTGATCATGTTGGGTTTAAGCAGCTCAAGGTAGGTGACATCAGCATTTCGTCGTTCGAATTCGCACATCTCCTTGATCTCTTCGAATTCGCGTTGTACAAAAGGGGAGTGTGGATCGCCTTTGCCGTGCACCAGGGTCAACACCGCAAGGCAATCATCCCAACGGTCTTTGCGAGCAAGCCAGCGCGGTGATTCAGGCAGAGGAATAAGGCCAAAGAAGAGTAGGATAGCTGGAATCATTTGCAGGCCCCACGCAATCCGGAAACCAGCTGGGCCATCAACTTTGCTGCATCCATAGGAGATACTAATCCGGTTTATTAGTATTAGTATTGTAGGGTAGAGCAAGGGACGTAGGAGAACATAATGGGATCATATGTGACGCGAAACTTACTAGAACATAATCATAATTCCCCAAGTAATAGCCCATTGTTGCGCACCAATTAGCCGGCCACGTTTAGAGGGAGGCGCCAGTTCTGCAATGTAGACTGGGACTTGGGCGGAGCAGATACCGACACTAAAACCGTTGATGATACGGCCAACAATCAACATGGCGATATTCTGTGAGGCACAGGTGATTATAGAACCGATGACCCTAGTAGTGAGAAAGGAGTGTCAGCTAAACATGGCCATGCGATATATCTCTTTCCAACACGCGAAAAGGGGGTAGGTAGGATAACAACCGACCAAATAACTGCGCCAACCATAATGGACTTCTTGCGACCAAGGATATCAGACAAGAAGCCGGATACAAGTGCTCCAAGCCATGAACCGCCAGCCATGGAGGCCGTGATACCGCCTTGAACATCTGCCCTCGGGCCCTTGCATTCAGTTTCACCTGGCCCAGCTTGATCGAAATAGCAAAGATAGTTTTGAGTGCCGATAATAGCAGACATGGACGAGATGTCGAAACCGAACAAGCCACCTCCTATCACCGCCACAGCGGCAATCAGGTAGATATTCCCATTGAGAGACCCCATGTTGTGTGCTGTGCTCCCTTTCTCCCGAAAGAGACAACTGCTCAGGTCTGTATTCTTGGTGTCTTCTCCCAAGGGCAGGTGGTGACTTATGTTTGGTTGCAGCCAAGTGTGAACACCACAAAAGTAAAAAAAAGAAAAGAAAAGGGGTCAAGGTAGAACGAAGCCCAGCTGAAGGGGGACTAAAGGTGTTTATATACCTGATCGAGCCGAAAACAAGCTACGGGGATGGGGCCAACAGTGACACCCGCCAACTGGGCGCGGACCTCCTGGCCTTCTTGCACAACTGCTGCACACACGCCAACGCCTGACGGAGGTACAAGGCCATTGTCTCTGCCATCAACAGGGAATCCTCGTTTTCAGAGTGCTATTTTCATGCCAAAGCAGCCAAAGCCAGGATTCTCCAGCCTCTCCTATTTGGATCGACATCCCGTAAGCCACTTGCAGGCTAGCTGCCAAACCGCCTCTGACCAGTAACTCAGCGAGCTCGAGCTAGCTGTGGGCCTGTGGCCTCGCCGGATCAAATTTTCTCTTTTATTTCTTAGCTCTATCCAGAGTAAGCCCGCCAGTTTTCCCCATATTTTTAACTAACATGTGCCAGAGAAAGCCAAAAGAGGAACTCCTTCAAAGTTAAGGACAGCCAGTCTCCAGCTCTCGGCCTTCAGGCCATATTGCCGACCCCACTTGAAGGCCTTGCTACAACTGCGATCTGTTTACTTCTTTATTCGAAGTTAAGAGGGTGTGTGTGGTATCTTGTTTGACAAGCTTCAGCCCATCCCGGAATTCCGTGTTTAGCTTTGTGAATGAAACATTTCAACATCCTGAACAAGTTACTCGAGCATTCATGGTTGCTAACTTGGTTGTTCTTGTAGATTAAGTCTGTTCGTTCAACTTTCGTTCTTGGAATTCTGAGGGCCATCGGGAGAATATTTCGGGGTTACCATGGCTGTCAAAATCTCCAAAGGAAGCAAATGTGCATGTAGAATATCGCAGAAACAAGGTTGCTTAGTGCTGTTACGCTGGTTGGACCGCATTTAGTCATTATATATTGGCCAAAGCGCAAGTACCGGACCTTTGTGGGAAAAATGGGTTGGCCTGGTTCCGAGATACAGACCACAGAATCACCGTTCATGTTAGTGCGCGGGTTTTCTAGCCAAGCCTCTAAAAGCCCAAGCATTGGGCCAGGGAGCCAAGGACGGAGCTAGTCACCACCTTCAGGTAAAAAAATCAAAAGACTAATCTGCATCCAGGCAGTGCTTGACCCAATCCCTTGGGCGAACTGGCTAACCCTGTGCAATTGCCAGGTTCGCGAGGACGTCAAAGGAAAGCCTGGTCATGCGACAAAGTCGCTTTGCCAAAGCTAGCTACCAGAGCCGTTCCAGTCCTTCATATACAAAATATCGAGCTGACCATCTTGCAGGGTTCACTTGGGATGTTTCGCCGAAAGCTCCGCATTAGCCAAAATGACTAGCATTGACAGTTCCCGCAGGGAATCACTTGCCAGAAGTGGACTCACTGTCCTATCATGGACTCGAAAAATTCCCGTTGACATTTGGAGCCTGTCGGGATCCGATTCCCTGTCTTGCGGCAGCTTAAGAAGTGGATGGAATATCATTCCGTTACACGGCGGGAAGGAAAGAACCATTGAAAACAGGGATCCCGCATTCTTTAAGACAAACAATCCAATGCGAATAAAAGAGGACGAAAGAGCCGAATAAACGTGGAAATAACGGAAGTCAATGGCGATATCTGCATACCGACACTAGACTTTTATTTCACCTCCCCAGTAGTATTAGAGGCGCTGAGTCCATATTCATACTTCAACAGATCTTTTGGCCTGTCACCCACGCCAGTGCTCGCCAGAACCGGCATTGGTATCTCGTCCACAAAATTTGTCAGTTTCCCCACCTTGTCTTCGAGCTTCTAGCGCTTATCCCAGTACAAAAGTCACTTGACGATGCGGGGAACGGGTAGTTACAAATCAAGAATGATGATTATTATGACAGAAGTGGCGTTGACAGGGGCCGTTATTGTTATGCAGCCAACTCTTACCATGTTTACTTTCACTGCGAGTGGGGGTATGCTCATCCTGTTCATTTTGGCCACGGCGCGCCCGGCCGTACTGGTACCCCAAGAAAGCGTCTAGTGCGAAGTAGGTTTTGTTTGTGATCGTCAGTGTGATTCTCCCGAAGGGCTCGAGAAACGGATCCTTCGACCAGCGAAGTGAATTTCGATGACTTGCTTCTCATGAAACACGTCGAACTTAACTCTTCCCTCTACATTCCAAGGAATTCCTGAGGCAAATTATACATTCGGGTGATGTGTGAGAATTGCTAGTTTTCTTGTTCGAAACCAATGTTGAAAACTTCCAGGATATCCACCTTGAATCTTTAAGATATCTTAGATATCTACGAGGATACTCCAGAGATTTCACAAGGGTATAATATAGCCCCGCACTTTCTAATATGCAGAAGTGACTTCCACATAGCAGTATTTGCTTCATGTTACAATGCTTTAAAAAGATGTCTTCGTCAAATTTGCGGGGCCATAACTTAGAACGGGGTAAACTGCCCTTCTCCATCATCGTCCACAAGTCCTCCTCCGTCACTGTTTTCAACCGTGATCCGTGACTCGACTCAAAATTCCAGATATGTCAGATCCCACGGAGCTGCCAGAAAAGTAAATAATTGATAAATACTACAAAGGCATCCACTTTGATTGGGATAATTATTTTCAATGACGCTACGAGCCAGCATCCCACCGAGATCTCCAAAGCTGGAAATTTAACCCGATATCGTGCCCTTATCCTCGTGGCGCCGTTCAAAACCTGCGGTGCACATGCAAAAGGACGACAAATCAGGAAAGGGAAATGAAACATGGTAGGCAGCATGTCCTATGTACGGTGCATACAATCACTTTTCACATGTCAGTTTTACCCAGCCTCTGATTGAACCCTGGAAGCCGAATTAGCTGACAACTGATGCTGCATAGCTTGGGTGAGCTTGAACGAAGGAGTACACCCCGGGCCCAACCTAGTAGGGTTGCCCCTAGGTTGACTCCGTCCAAGTCATAAAGAAGCTTGCCATTATTAGGGATAAAGATGCCGAAGAAAGCTGACCATACAGCAATAAGTCTAACCTTTTGATCAATCCATTCCCAAGCCAACACGATTCCATGTCTTTCATTCTTCTTAGTCTACGCCATCGTTGGCTCTTTGCTCAATGCGCCAACCTAACGGAGTACATCTGCTGTCCCTTGTCCAGATGTGAAGAATTTTGAACAAGGGTTAAATTTGAATGCTGGGCGGACTTGCTATTCCGCTCTTCCGCTCTTTCGCCGAGATGGCTGCTGCTGGGGTACCTTAAGGGTTGATCTCATACGCAAAATGAAGTATTTTTCGGAATATCCGCATGTCGGGGGTTCGGAAGGTCCATATAGTTGGACTGCCGTTCAATTTCGGCAGCCTGGACGCTCAGGGGAAGGATCTGATCTCCTTTTTTCAACCCATTTAATTTTCCCCCGCTCACCCCAGAAGTTAGGGGCTAAAAGCGAGGGGTTTTCACAAGCATCCCTAATCGGTGTCATTACTACAATCACTCTAGGTATTCGCTCCTACCTTCTCCCTCGCTTCTCCAGTGGTAGAAAATCTTTCTTCTCAGCTCCTCGGCCTCCAACCGATGGGGAACAACTGAGCCAAGCTGCGCCAGAGCTGCGCAACTATCTAAAGGGTAGCACAAGGGGAAACTTTTGGTAAAAATAGACCCGGCGGCGAGGGGTATGCCTTTATGTAACGTGCCACAAGCGACAAGTTTGAACTGTGCTTAGAGGAATTGTTCTCGGAGGAAGTCTCGGTGAAAGAAGGTGGGAGGGGAAATCAGAGGTTGGCACAAAAACACATACAATTCCAGGATGACCTCGCAACTGTATAGCTAATCGCTGGCTAGGCTCTACTTTACATCCGCAGCCCAAATTTCTTTTCCCGGGGTAATTGAGGGCGATATGCCTTTTGGACTACTGTGTACAATGCAGGTGTACTGAAGGGTTTTTATTATCCCCTGCCGTATTCCATATCCATTGCTGACTAGGCCCTATCTCTTTTTTTTTTTTTTTGGCCTTAGCTTTCTGATCGAGGATATTGAAGAGTATGTAGTGGGGCATAGACTTCGTCGCCTCTAGCTGTCTCTGTATTATATTTCCCACTGCCATTCCTATTCTATCTCCATATCTAACAATATGCCTCCTCATATCATCCATGTCGTTAACATCACTGAAGTGTCAGAAGATGAAAAAGATTTGTCCTGTCAGTAAATCGGTCAACGTGAGAGGATACTTTTCAGAAAATGCGTCCGCTTGCATCGGATGGCCCACCGGATTATCATGACGATACAAGGCTTTCATGGACTATCTGTCGTCGTTAGCATCTTGGGGTATGTGACGCTGAAACGTATATACTATCATGGGCGCTGATTTTCATGTGTTTTCCTCATTGACGCTGAGACCACTTTCAACCATATCCAGAAAAAGAGCCAGGGATGTCAAGTCACCTGTGAAATCGGGTAGTTCCCTTCCCATTTGCGACCACGAGGGTCAATTGCAGGATTATTCCACTGCGGAAAATCTTCATCGTCCAAGAATTTTGAGTGGAGAGTAGGGTGTGGTTGTTCCGGCTCATCCTGCTCCGCTTAGAAAAGAAAAATCTGTTGTGGGATCTCTCCCGCAATGTGGTATCGAAAACCCGTATCCGAATCCTGCAGCATCGATGCGCCCCTCCCATCATGTTATGGAAACTTAAACGTCATATATCCATCTAGACGTCGAAGAAGTCGTCCAAGGACCGGATGAGACGCTAACCTGCCCTTCCATGTCCCAGCTGCTCACACATCGCGCCACAGGAACAAGACTGATCTTCGACCTAGACCTGTCCAAGGTTGCGCGGAACCACATAATCCCCGCGGCGGAAAAAAGGATACGCTCACCTCGCTTTTAGCGCTGGGGGAGGGAGGAGGGGAGATGTGTTCCAAAGCTTTGCGGAAACGAGCATAGACCCCCGCAACGAGCACCAATTCCGTGATCTCCTTGCATCTGCTGCATCTGCACTAGAACCACATCGGGCGATTGCCTGGCACGATGGAGGCGTTACCCAGCGGCCCGAACACGTATCTGACGGATGCAAGACTCAAATGTTCGATTTGAATCTTCTTCCGCAGGACAGGGGCGGATGAGTCTCCGTTCCCCTCGTCGTCGTCGACTCTCGTTTGTGTCACTGCTACCAGGTGGGAAAAAGTGGCATTGGAAACGGCCCTGGGCCTCTTTCCTGCAACCATAGACTATTGTTTCGGAAATGCTTGGAATGCTTGAATGGTAGTGCTAAATATTTCGCCAACTATGCGCTTGTACCATTATGGGGTACGCATAACTTAACGAGTGGAGTAGTAGGAGTAGCAGCAGCAACAGCAAGAAGTCATGCGCCATGTCGAGGGAGAATTAAACCTAGTGACGAGAATACGAGAAGAGATGTGATGTATGTCCAAAAATTTCGTCTATAAAGAAGAGGATGTCAAAGCAAAGTCAGGCTTTTGAATACAGACAAACCCAAACCAGGCCGATAAATATGTAAGGGTGTTTCAACTAAAAAAGAAAAGAAAGAAAGAAAGAAAAGAAAAAGTATAAGTAGTCATCAGTTTTGTTACTCTGATCGTACACGCAAGAAGCATCTCTATTGGTGTTCTTGACTGGGCGAAAGCTCAGAAACCATAGGGAATTTCTGTGTATTAAGATAGATAGTATTGATATTGGGAGAAGAGTGTAGCGGTCTAGGGCCTGTTAGAATTAAAAGTGCCACGTAAGATTGTATTACTCATTCTCCTCAACAGTCTTTCATGAAGGTAAGGGAAAGGGCAAAACGAAAGAAAACAGAAAGAGAAAAATGCCGCATAATGACAGAATGGGAACGCGGAAAGGTATATTAGAAACTGGTGAAAAATAAATATTTAATGTGTCGCATCGCGGCCAGGGAGATGGAATAAAAACCGAGAAAACCAGATTCCTGAATGAAAGAAATGAAACAAGAATAGTAAAAATATCCGGCATGATCATACAAGCTCCCACTCCGCAATACCCCCAAATCCCATTGCCTTCCTACCTACACCACGAAGAAACTCCTCTCTACTAAGGCCTCGCGTATCCTTTAGATCCCCAAAGCTCGTTACGCTGTAGATGTGTAGTTTCTGTCCAGGCGCACCCAAGACACGAGGGTCAGGAACATCGACGTACCAATGGTCACCACCACCACCTGGGTCAGATCCACGGACATAGTGGAAGGGTATGTACTCTTTCCCGCCCCCGTCGACACCATTAGCGAATAAAACGAAAAGACACGGCGCGCGGATGTTGCTGCGTGCAAGCGTCCAGTGTTCGCAGATGAGGCCGAATTGGAAACGTATTGGGCCTGGCTGGTGGACGGCGATCTTTCTCGACCGTGGCTGAAGCGACCTCTCGCCAATTCCATGCTCTTGCTTTATACCGGTGTATAAGATAGGAGGTTCGACGCCATTTGGACAAGAGGGGTTGATGCTGATGTATTCCTCCCAGGATATACTTGGACGGCCATCATCTCGGTAGAAATCTCCAGGGTTCGCTGGGAAATGTTTGTTGCCGAATTCATCGTTGGACATGGTGAAATATTCTGGTGTGAATTCCCGGTTGTACGGCTGGCCTTTGCCGCTGACGTTCCCGGCACCCCAACAGCTGTCGATAAGCTTCCACTGTCCATTGTCAATCCGCACGACGTTCCACGCATGGTTTCCATCGTATGGAGGTTTCGGCGAACCTGGGGCGAGTGGAGTGTAGCCGTAGCCTTTGCCATGACCTGTAATTACTCGCGCCTCTAATCCAGCAAGCGTTGCCAACCGTTCGAAGAGGCCAGCATACCCTTCGCAAACAGCTAGCCCAGTGGTTAATGTGCTTTCTGGCGTTGAAGATTTCAACTTATTGTTAAAGAATGCGTCGACATTATAATCGATATTATGGTGTAACCAAGTGAATATTGCACGAGCTTTGTCGGTGAGAGATGAGAAGGGAGCGGTAAGTTGGTTGGCCAACCAGGAGAGATCTTGTGTAGGAAGAGATTGTCTTGGAAATCGTGCGGCATGCGAATCTGGTCCAGAGAAGTCACGACATATCATACAAACTGTTGTTGAGCCAGTGCTAGGGGGTGAGGAGCAAGAAGGCATTCGTGGTTTAGTTGCCTGTATTTTCGACAAATCAGGGCGAGAACCCAGAGGAATTGGAGGCGGTGAGCCACTGGCTTTTTGTCCATGTGTATCACCATTCGGAACTAGCCCATGATGTATTGAAGCATTTTTAAGAGTAGCGAAGGAGGATTCCCTTATCTTTTCAATAGCTTTGAATGACGGGGCAGGTGGCGGAAGTTTGCGCTGGGGTAATTGCGGCGGGGCATCCAAATCCTTAATTGCAAATTTCCGCTGTGGGATTGCGGGTAGATCGTTGGTATTGGATGAATGCGATCGAAGCGGCAATTTTGGTGTCAGAGACGAGAGAGATGAGGAGGATGTCTTGCAGCTGCTATCAAGCACCCCCAAAGACGATCGAGATTTCAGCGTCGGGTTCCCATCTGTATTCGTATTTCTCTTGGGAGGCAATGGGGGAAGTGCAGTTTCCCCCCATGCTGGGGCAAGCTTGCGAGTTGTTGAACTTTCAGTTGATGTGGACCTAATAGAAGGCGACTTGCCATTTCCTGAGGAACTTGTCGTTGCCCTTGTCGATATAGAGGCGGCGGACAACGAAGAATCTCCTGAGTTTCTGCGGGTGTGTGTATCGGCCGATTTGCGCGGGGGTAGCGCAGGTGATGGTTCCCCCGTAACTTTTCTCGTAGGGAGAGGAGGCGGCGGTTTCCTTGGCTTAGTTGTCGTGGTAGGTGACTTCTGACCCGTCCTTGTAATGGATGGTGGTGGGAGTATTTCCTGGTCTCTGACTGGGACGGGAGGGGCACGCGACTCATTTGCTGGCGCGACGTATCTACCGGACATCGAAGGTCTTGAGCCAGGTAAATCTGGCCTAATTTCGTGAGGAGGAGAAGGAACTGGTCCTCGTCCAACATGCGCCTGGTTCAAGGCCGCAATCCGCTCCTGAATTGTCGCCATGGTGGTTGAGATATACTGATGCCCCAGCACCTGATGGGAAAGGGCAGCAGGAACGCACCACAACAACGAGAAATGGCAGGAAAGGATCTATTATCAAGTTTAGAGACCAGATGCCAGATTGCCGGCTCCGATGAGCATCGGAACAAAAGATGGCTTAACGATAGAGAAACGAAAGGGTTGTTGGCCCTGAATGAAACGGGGTTTGGGAACGGCAGAGAAGCTGGAGGCGACAGAGGACGGAATGGATCGTCTCACCCCGTGCGCATGCCCGAGGCCATCCACGGATCGCCACAGAAAAGCATCGACAAAAACAAGAATAAGAATCCTAAGGAGTCGGGAGAAGACGAGCAGCAAATAAAGCACATAATCCGCCGATGCCCCACAGGGGTTCTGGAGCAACAGTCAGACATCCGCAGCACACTCAGCCCATGCGGCTCAGTTGGCAAGCTTATTTCTGGGGCCATTTTTGGCTTGTTCTAGATGGAATCGCCCCCGGCCGAAAAGAGCGCTAACCATGAAACAGTGTCCGCAGTAGCACCATGGAAGCCGGAGAGAAACGCAAGGCGAAAACGAGAGATGGTTTCACCTGCATATTGTTCGATGGTTCCACTCCACTCCTTGCGAGCTACAGCCAGGGAAACAGAAAGGTTGACAAATCCCATCCCCTGATTCCAACCTTTACTTATGTTCATGCACATGTACAGTGCAGCAACAATTCGCAAGCAAAGTAAACTAATATTCGAAATAAATCATTAGACCATAGCCTCCCCGTTGATATGCACCAGCAACACGAGAATCGACGCTTACATAGGCCCGCCAAGTCAGTCCCAGCCATAGCCCTGCATGCAGCCTTAATTCCGAAACAAGCGCTTCATCCGTGGTTCAAGTAGCGGGATGGAGTCAACAGCTGGTTCTGGCACATGGACTACGGAGTAGGTTGCATTCGGTTTCATTAGCTCCTCGTTTCGGGGTTAACCTCCCATTTCTATTCAACGGATTCTATGTAGATCGTGAATGGGCTACCGATTTAAAAATAACTACATAACCTGGGTGGTGATTACTCATTTCATTGGGGCTCAAAAATGGGTTGTACGTGTACAAGAGAGCCGAAATGGGGACGGAAGGTATGTTCCAACGCTGGGAAAAGATGAGTGTTGCTATGCCTAATACTGCTCCGCCAGCGCCGTTTCATTTTCTTTTCTTCGGTTTCTTTGATGCCGATATATAATTTCCTTCTCGACTTCGCAGAGGGAGGTTGCTGAAAGCAAACGAAAAAAGGAAAGAAAAAAAAAAACAGAAAGAAAATGAGAGAAAATTGACACAAGGAAAAAGAGAGGTAAAGAGAAGGGAAAAGGAAATTACGATAAATATGGATAAAAATAACAAAAGGGAAAGAAACTCTAGAGGTAGAGGAGACCGACGTGTACGGGCCGCCGAATATGGCCGAAGCCAGAAACAGAAATCGCAGAATACAGCTAGGAATTAAAGCGAAGGTGAGAAGAGAGTAAGGAAAGAAAGAAATCAGGAATAGGAAGAGGGGAATACAATCAAAACAGATCAAATTCCTCGAACGCATCCCAATGCCAAAAGGAAAAACAGATATGAAGGAAGCCCGGAACAAGGAATCCCTTGCTTGCAGGCACCAAAAAAAAAAAAAAACCAAACCAAACCAGAACAAAAACAAAAGCAAACATTTGCTTCCGGCAACATCTACTCATTGCAAGGAGAAAATCGTGAGGGCCATCGAATGTCCTCTCTGCCTCCTTAACCCTCCAGCTCCTCATTCCACCTATCACACCACTTGCGAGTAGGAGGGCTAAAAACCGAGATTTAAATAATCGTAACAAACCATGGCTTCATCCAGCGTACAAAATTCTCTTCTCGTCACACAAAATTTTTTTTGTCATCTTACCCGTTCCGCAGGCTCAAGCGCCTCCACTTAGTTGACAGATTGATAGAGCAACAACGGCTCTCCGATATTCTCGATTTCGGGAATAGTGCATTTAAGGTCGAATGCCTTGCTCAGAACGATTTTGAAGATCTAGCGCACAAGTTTTAGTTATGATAGATACTCGACAAACAAAATGGGGAAGCGGGTTGTGCAGTGCACTACCTTCTGGACATTTATGCTGTGGCTCGTGCTGCTGAATATCAAACTGGCTCGCATAGCCTTGGCAAAGCGTTTAGCCTGTGTGCCTTATCTGTCAGCCTTGAAGATAACAATAACCAACATAATATGAAAATCCCATCACTGACCTGGATTGATATTTCCTCCTGATCCTCTCGCGGGAAGTTAACGAAATGGTCATACTTTGTGCCAATAAGGAATGGGATGGCAGTCTTATTGAACCCGCGGCCCTGTCGGTACCATTCCTTGATGGAATTCAGGGTACTTTTTCGGGTCAGGTCGAACATGAATAATATAGCAACTGCATCGTTGCACACCAGAGGCAACATGTTGACAAATTCACGCTGTCCGCCCAAGTCCCAGATAGAAAACGTAATTTCTGTATTCCGAATTGAAATGGTCTTCTCCATAAAATTGACCCCTATTGTGCCAACGGACCACAACATCAGTAACCGACATCGTTGACTAGCAAATACCATACACCCTCCCAAAAATTGTATTATTGTATTATTTTCTTACCAAGTGTTTGGATGTAGTCTTCGTCCCAACTTCCCTCCACATATTTAACCATTAGGCTGGTTTTCCCTATCTGGGCATCTCCCACCATTCCAACCTTTATTACGACGCTATTCTTGCTGGGAGCAGGCTGTTGTTGCTGTTGCTGTTGCTGCTGCTGTTGCGGCTGCGGCTGCGGCTGGGACTGTCGCTGTTCCCGACTTTGGTCCTGGTAAGGCTGCGTGTATCCGTATCTGTCGCCTCCACCCGACATTCGCGAGCTAGGTCGCGAACTTGCCTGGGCGGATTGGCTAAATTGGGAGGGTTGCTGAAAGGACATGGTTGGGGAATGATGCCGAGGAGACGATTCAATATCTTGCGGTACGAAGGATTGGCTGGAAGTGGGGTAGTCGATAGAGTGTGGGGAGTGGCCGTCCGCTTGATGGCCATTGCTGTAACCATTGTTATTGTACGAGGTTGAGCTGGAAACTTGTTCTGCTACGGCTGCTGGCATGTCCTGCTCTGTGTGGCGTGTTTGTTCAGGAGGTTGGTCATGAATCTGCGGGGAGGGCTGCGCAGGAATCTGATCGGCAACAGGATCCTGAGACTCAACCTGATTTGGTTCCCCTTCGATAGGAACTGTTTGCTGCAGCACAGGCAATTTATCCGTCTCCATTGGTGGGTTTTCCATCTCTTCCCAACGTTAGTGCCAAATACCAGTATCGGCCAAATCAGTCTCAAGGAGCGTAAATGGTGAATGAGGCAGGGATGGAATGAATAAATAAGCGGACTAAAACTTCAAAGGACGTCAAATATCGTCATGGATCACGGCTTAAAAATTCCGCCAATTTAGGTCTCCATGAAATGGCCGTGAAAGTTTTTGGGACTTCCCCTTAAATGAAAGTTCCGGCGGTTGCTGGACAATGTTTATTATATACCTAACCTGTTGGAGGCGGTTGTTCGGATTGGAAGCTTGGGACCCAGCTCGTGGCGCGTTGAAACAGCGGGTTAATATAAACGCGATAAGTTATGAAAACGACCGAAAGCCGAGAAGTAGATCTAGAAGAAGTCGCTGTTGGAAATTTCTACCAACGTGCTCCCTTGCAACAAGCCATCAGCGCAACCTGAACGTCGTCAACAATGGCTTGAGATCGGTTGTAGGGGTTTGGGATCAGGCAATTTGTTCCAAGAACGGACTAGCGTTCGGCCCCCTCATAAAAAAAGTTTCCTCACAAAATCCAATCGACAAATATTTGAGTTTTTTTCATGTGAACTTGCGATGGCTTTAGCACGCCAACACTTCGCATCAAGAACGGCATTTTACCAAACATATATTTAATTTCAATTCGTAAACGTACTCACAATGTCGAAACGAGGCGTGGATGTGATAGAGGATCCGTCCGCACCCTTGAAAGCTGGCGAACGTCCCGTTGCTGATGCCCCGCCTGATGAAGTGGGGGAATTCGAAGACGAGTTTGAGGATGAGTTCGAGAGCGAAGATGAGATCCTCGAGGCTGGGGTTGACGGGCGTCCAGATGCAGAAAGGGAGGCAGAGGAGCAAAGGGGTATGTGGCTGCCCATGAAGTGAAAAAGAATAAAAACGACATTGCGGTGGGCAAATCCGTTTCGTCGCAATTAATTCCCAACGGATCCAAAATATATACTGATGAGTAAATTAAAATAGATGCCATGGATGTCGATAAGCAGACTTTTATACCAGGTCGAACAAAACTAGCACCCGGGGAGACATTATCTCCAGACCCTTCTACTTATGAAATGCTCCACACACTCAGCACACCGTGGCCGTGCCTGTCATTCGATATAGTAAAAGATGGACTGGGCGACAAGCGGAAAACATATCCGGCCACGGTATATGCTGTAGCTGGAACGCAAGCGGATAGATCTCGTTTGAAGGACAACGAATTGATGGTTCTCAAATTGAGTGGGCTTAGCAAGATGGAGCGGGATAACGACTCGGGGAGCGATGACGAGTCCGACGACGAATCTTCAGAGCCCATCCTCGAATCAAAATCTATTCCCCTGAACTGTACAACAAACAGAATCCGCACTCATCAGACACCGTCTTCCTCCGGAGACTACACCAAACTACCTCAGACCATCACTGCATCCATGCTTGAAAATTCTCAGGTTGTGATCCACGACGTCACCCCCTTTCTTTCCACATTTGATAACCCTGGCTCAATCCTCCCTCCTTCTGCCTCGAAACCTCTGTCTACTCTGCGAATGCACAAATCGGAGGGATATGCCGTAGACTGGTCACCTCTGCACCCCTTGGGCAAACTCCTGACTGGCGATAACGACGGGTTAATATACTCCACTACTCGTACTGAGGGAGGCGGCTGGGTGACAGACACACGTCCATTCGTCGGGCATACTTCCTCTGTCGAAGAACTGCAATGGTCTCCAAACGAACGCAATGTTTTCGCATCCGCAAGCAGCGACGGAACCGTCAAGGTATGGGACGTGCGATCCAAGTCGCGAAAAGCAGCAGTAGATGTCAAGATATCCAATACGGACGTGAATGTGATGAGCTGGTCACGGCAGACGTTCCATCTCCTGGCCACGGGAGCAGACGACGGCCAGTGGGGGGTGTGGGACCTGCGACACTGGAAACCTAATACATCCGGCGGTGCTTCGCTGCTTAAACCGAAGCCTGTTGCCTCTTTTGACTTCCACAAAGAGCCAGTCACAAGCATAGAATGGCATCCGACAGATGACAGTGTTATTGCTGTTGCGTGTGCGGATAATACGCTGACACTGTGGGATCTAGCTGTGGAGCTCGACGATGAAGAGAGCCGCGATGCTGGGTTTGCTGATGTGCCGCCTCAGCTTCTCTTTGTACATTATATGGAGTCAGTGAAGGAGCTGCATTGGCAGGCGCAAATGCCCGGGACTATTATGGCCACTGGAAGTGGTGGATTTGGGTAAGTGTTTCAAGGTTTTCCAGTCCACTCCGTTTATTATTTTTCAAGCATACTCACACTTGTTCACTATATGATGCTAACGAATCTTCTTGGAAACAGAGTGTTTAAAACCATCAGTGTTTAAATGATTATTAGGCTTTGGAAGGGGCTGGGTATATACGGTACGGAGCTAGGCACAATAAAAATCGCGTATATTAATGGTCATAAATTATTCCCTATTGTGTTTACTCCTGTAAATTTCTTATCGCGGGAGTAAATAAATAAGCCAATGAATGAATGAATGAATGAATGATGGAAACTCAAATATTAAATGTTTATATACCTTGACATCTACCGCGGCCCTAATCCTTGAAATGGAATACTCCTCATGCCAAGCGGATAGAAGAGCATAGGCCAAAACTACTTAAGGAAGACCGCGACTGCTATTCCTACCTAGCATCATATTCCGTAGAGGCAATAGAGTAATTTTTACGAGCGGCTTAATGTATCGGCTTAGGGTGCCGGCGGCTGTTCCCTTTCGTTGACATCGCCAGGAGAAAGATTCGGCTATTCCCCATCAAACGGGAAATCTCGAAGAATAGTTATACATAAACCATGCGTTTGCTCATGTTCTTCACCCCCTACGTTGGCACATACCTTAAGGGTGATTTACATATTAAAAATCATCACTGAACGTTCAACAGCCTTTTTCCGAGTTCTCTCCCTGGATCATTGAAGAGGTTATGGACGGGCAATCAAACGTAGCAAAGAATGCAGGAATCTTCCGCCGCGCAAAAGAAAGGGAATGGACAGGGCAACTATAAATTGATCGATGCCCGTGGACCAAGTCTTGACTCTAGTAAAATATTTTTCGTGAAATTCTTAGTTGATCGTGAAACCATCGAACACATAACAAGGAAAAGAGACCCATATATCTTTCATATCTAGTAAACCCTCCGCTCAACCCTGAATACAACACCAAGAGACGTTTGGATTTTGGGAAAAGATAGTGGTTAGCTTCAATCCTCCAAAGGGATATACCGATTCAAAAAGGAGGGGCGAAGGAATATCGAAAGGTCAGTTGTCAATATCAAAGAGGACTACCATCAAGAAATTGTTCGGCGCCATAAGGCATGCATATCTCTGTTTAGGAGAAGAGAGCGCATCAGTCTCATACCTACCGCTTCACTGACAAAGGTTATTGTCACAAAAGTGATCCTGAACAGCACCCAATCCCTGAAAAAGGTGAGTTTTCTATTTGAAGCCAGAGCAACAAGATACATTACCCAAATGTTGATGGTGAAAACTCAGAGAGAATCCTCGACATCCGAAAACAACTTAGACATAATGGATCAGCACTCCAAGTTGGCAGATAATAATGGCATGAACAACCAGTATCGCGATTTGACCAAGGCCACCACCCCACACCGGGCCGAAAAGGAGGCTGACAAAAACAAAGTCCTACTAGACAAAGATGCTAAGTCTCCCTTTTCTGAGAATATCTCAAAAGGCTCTAAGAAGCAGGAAACCGGCAAAGGCAACTTATTGGCCTCTGCGCCAGCGAAGAGACCAGAGCCAGTGCTCCACCTCCGTGGCGGCGGCTGCGTAGCGAGCTCCGTAGTGAACCGCATGGCCCCAAATCGCCATCCTGACGACAACGAGCGTCCCACTAAGCTTCTCTGGTACATGATAGGCGGCGTGGGACCACCCCCAACATTCGGCGAAATTAGACGTAGCCGAAAAAGCGATAAAGAAGACAAGAAGGCGCCTGGACAAGGAGGAAACGCTGGATCATCCTCGACTGAATGAAGAGGGGCATTTGATTTTGCAAACGATTGTGTGATTTCTATCTCGTAGCTGCTGCTTTCGGAGATTTGAGGAAGGGGGAGTGGGGGAGGGTCTAACTCGAATACCAGCTACTGCTGCGAAACAGACAGTTCACCTGCTGCTAACATGGTGATTCTGCTCGTGGTAATGGGTCATCCCCATGTAGTCAAAAAGTGACTCCTGTCATCAGCGTAGACTTTCCAGAATTTAGATTTTGTGAATATGACGTTGTTAATTGTTCCCATCTGTGATTTTATCTTCTTTCTCCTTTTCAAGGGGAAAGAGAAGCATGCTTCAGAAGGTCGGGAAATATTGTAGTCTGCCTTGTTGGATCAAATCCCAGACGACAGATAGCGGAAAATATATGCATGAATTAAAACAAAGTATAATATAATATGAACAGAGATTTTGGCTTTGAATTCTTGAATCCATAAAAGGTTGGAGATTGAAAAGCCCTCCAAAACGAATATCGAGATCGAGATCGTTGATGAGTGATCCTCCATATAAATCAAAACAATGAATAGAATAGCTCTTGAGAAGATAGCCTCCCAAGAGGCCAGACGCAGCAAGCCCTTAAGGGCTGCTCCTTTTAATGAATGTGTTATGGCCAGTCCAGCATATAAATTTCTGACCTGGGAGAAGTTGGGTTTCGCTAGGAGGTTCTGGGGATCAAATGAGATTCTTCCTCCATCATGTCAGAAAACAGACTGGCTAAGATCGGAAACTAGATAAGATTACACCCGACCGAGACCTTGGGGACATTCCAAGGCTCCATCCTGAAAAGGGAACCAACGCCGAATGGGTTATGCAGGTATCCTGGCAAAATAATGGACACTAGCAAACAGACCAAGCGAAGGCGGGGGGTGGGTTAATGAAACTCGAATAACTCAAAGCTTGGACAAGGGTAGCACTGTCGCATCAAGCTTACTATTCTTTTAGCAACTACGGATTTCCTCGCTTGCATGTTTGGGAAATTGAGAGTATATCCATCACGAACTACGGGGAACATGTAAGGGAACAAACCCTGTTGTTTGTAATTTTGTCTATCTACCTCTGTATGCAGTAACGAGCTGAGAGGAGAAGAAAAGTGACCTCTTGCATAAATGCCTCAACGGTACAGATCTGTACATGTAACCACAGTACAAACATACATACGTGGACATACGCAAAATGTGCATTGGAGCCTTGGGATCCACAGCGATAAAGCATAGCGCTGTGGCTCATGACACACGAGTCATGTAGGGAAGAAAGTCCCAATGTATGTACAGATCTGTACTTTGGAAAGTGGTGGGAAAAATAAACTAAAAGAGCACAGTAGGAGAATTCTCATGCGACGTCGTGAGGATGTTTAATTCTAAGGTTATGGATGAATGCAGGGCGGGTAGAGCTTGCATACCTACTATAATACAGCAGTTAAAGCGCATGTCTTCGGTGTTCCACAGATAGGCATTCTGGCCCTTTGTACCTCAAAGCTCTCTGGAACATGGTAAGGAACTTGAACTGCTAAGGGAAAATAAATCATTCTGTTATTATCCCGGTAGGGCTGTCTTCCATGCATAACCTAACTGTTTGACACGCACTTAGTTACTGGAAAATGCCTGTATCAAATCGATATGCGGGCTTATAATTATGATGGAGCTTTTCCCACCTGAAATAAACTCGCTGCAGCTCGGGTGAGGAAAAAAGGACGCTACCCTCAGCTACGCAAATAACGCATCTCTAACAGCACCTATCATATCAACGAACAGGATGTTCGGCGGGGGGAGGGACAACTTGTTCCCTGAGTTGTCAGCTAGCTTCGAAGCAAAAGTGGGACCACACAATTTGGCGATTTACTTACCATTCGCCACACAGGAAGCAATGAGCTTCGAACACTCTCGCCTCTGTTAGAGAGAGAATCGTATACGAGCATTCCCTCCTTCGTGGGCTCGTCCTGTTCAGTATATGACCAAGCCATGGGGTGTTGAACCAAACCACTCTCGCTATAAGATCTTGGCTATCCCGGAGGAATGCATAGAACACCCGAAAGATCATTCTAGACAGAGTGTGGCCTGGTTAGCAAGCTGCAGACTAGTCCTTCAATGTGGCTTTGGAGTGCATACACCTGTCGGTTTTAGCGGTGTGCCACATGAATGAGGTATCTAAAAAATACTCATGTTGAGAGGATGCTCCTCTGCGCCCTTCTTCGCTTTTCTTTTCGGTATGAGGCATGCTGTCTCGCCTGGCCTGGATCTGTGCTGCTTTTATGTAGTTATTGCAATGGCTAACAAATATTTATCTACGGTGTTGCCGGCATTCTCGATCATGTAGCCATTGTCGTGGCTCTTGACATTCTGGAGGAATTTTATCGGCTTCCAACGAGGCCCAGGTTTCATCACACCTTCAAATATACCAGTCTGAGACCGGTACAGACGTAGTCCGTTCATAATGATACGGCTGAAGGCTGTGCTTGTTTAACACGCTCTCTTATTTGCCATTAGTTAGTCAACACTGTAGGTTACGGAAGAGTTAGTGCACCGTGTGCGTTGTTTTGTGTCAAGTTCAGCGCATGCAATCTCAATGGAGTCACCTTGAGGGCTTGATGGGGATGCAGGAAATCGCCCGAAATGGAAAACAGGTTAAACAATAGTAAAAATAAAGTAAATAAAATCCGAAAGAGGGAAATCTCGGAGAAAGATCACCCGTCAAATTCCAGCACAATCTCTTGACATCATCAGGGTTTCAAGTTGAGATCTTGCCGCCATGGTTCGGCAAAGAGTTCTGAGCCCACAAGCATCTATGGTAAACACCTAAGATTTCGTACCTTAGTTGACCCAAAAAATCTGCTAGACCAGAACCATGGATGGCTGGGTCACACGCTCGATAAGCATGGCCTGTGAGAGATGTCATCCCTTTATCATTATTTTCCCGAACGACGGGAACCTGGGTCTGGCTTTTCTCGAACATTACCTTAAACTTTTCCTAGTTATCAACTATTCCTATTACGTGTTGAAAAATGACGCAATTGCTCCATAAAGACCAACTCGAGTAATGCATCCGTATCATTTAACTTTTCAGCAGCGGCAGCAGGCCTCAATGTTTTCGCTGACGGAGATCGAATCCCACACCAATTGAAGTTGATGAGGCTGTTTGTCTCAGGTGCCGTTAATCAAAAAGGGACCATGTTGATCCTGGTTGGGCGCTACCGCTTTGTGTGGCTGGAGTGGTCTTCGGGAAAGGCTCTCTCTTCTTCATCTTTGATGAATTGTGCCTTCTTCTGGCCTCCCCGATCTCGATCAATGATCAGATAATGTGGACAGTGGAACAAACTTCCCACAGATGTGTGGGCCGGTCCCATTTTCGATGATACCTTTATGCACTGCGTATTGATTGAGCCATGCATGGTAGAAATGGGGAAATATGGAAATGGTATTGCTGATGCCGATTCCACCAAAAATTGAGAGAGGCCGAAAACTTTGGAGCTGATTGTAGTTAAAAGTTTAGTAAAACTTGCGCCGGCGGTACACAAACACAAACCCATTGTTTGATTTCGGGATTTATTGCCACGGTTTGATCGGCGCCGTTAGGGAAGGTTTGGCATCGACATGTTATTCATTTGCAAAAGAGCCCAATCTTTTCCTACTTTGTCGAAGACTCCCTCTTTAGCAAGTCGTCAACGGCTTGACTATCAGAATGCTTATTTCAGCCTTGGTTGTCTCATGAACTGTGTAGCGTAAGCGGGCTGCCGTTGTTTTCATTGGCTTGGAAAGTCTGCCCCTTCGAACGTGCTGAGCCATGCACAATCGAGGAGGGAGGGTTGTATGTGGATGTTAACTGGCAGTTTGAACATATCAGATATGTCCGTGGATAAAACGGGCCTTCATCTAACCTGCGAGGTCAAGTGAGATCAGCCATGCAGGGTCCATGCAACTGTGTTCCTGGCCTTGCTTCAATATAATGTGCCAGATGCAAAGCATAGTGCGCAATACGCTGATGAAGCAGTGCTTGACAATCAGTATAACTGTATAAATGAAAATTAAATAAATCAAGTAAAAGATAAAAAGGAATACCGATATTGCAATATTGTTGCTAGCATTAATGAAGATGCAAAGCTGTTTCTCATTCTGAGCAATGTGGGGGTGTCCTTTGTTTGCTCAGTTTAACAAAAACACATCGTCTAAGGATTGTGATATAAATCTATGGATGTTGTTGCCATGTCACAACTACTGGCACCGCCATTGTTCGTCTCCACAAACGACAAAAGGAAATAAAATAAAAAACATACGAAAGCCCGGATTCGCTGGTGGTCACCCACCCAACTACTAACAGGCCGGCGAGTGGCTTGAGTACGGCTGAGCGGACGGGAAGCCCTATTTTCCACTCCCTATGTTCGTATGTGATAGAGGAGGTGGCAGTTTTGTCTCTTATAGTGGCAGACAGATTACTATTACTGTCAAATGCAGATGAAGTATTTTGGTAGTAGCAAAATGCCGCCAAATAAGGCAAAATATCCATGTATTCTTTGAAGCTGAAAAAGGGCTAGGAGGAGGAGAAAAAGAAATGAGGTCTGTACCGTCGGAATATAACAGTTGTTTCACAGCCTTTGATACAATAACCTTCATTCCTCTCCTTGAGCTCAACCTGGCCGCGCACGGCCCAGTCCCAAGTCAAAAGAGAAAAAGCAAGGATGAAGAAAGGCGTGGCAGGATACCTTGTCACCAGCCGTCTTCCACTATGCATATGCAGCGGGAGTGACGGGCCTGCCGCAGTGCCGCTCGCAGACATAATTATTTGGCCAGCCACTTGCCCGCCGTATCAACCAGGTGGGCCTTGGCTTCTTGGTCAACCGTCAGAAAAAAGGGTTTAGGATGAGGAGTTAGAGCTGGAAACTCGATAAAGATAAAGGTTTGACGCTGTTTAAATTACATGACAGATTAGCAACTACTTGCTACATTGTTATGACTGTGCGAATCATCTATCTGGTATGGATAAGAAGATGTTTTGTCCCTTCAATATCATGTTGGCTCTCTGCTTTCTTTCGTTTCCCGTCCTCTTCTAAACACAGTATTAAAGACAGACAGGATGGCCTCAAGCGGGAAAAAACCGCTACCACTCCCTGACAGAAACACCAGAAACCCTCCTTTCAGACAAGAATATAACTTGAACATAAACACAGCCAAACTTACAATTCGGACCCTGAAGGCTGTAAGCGAACCCTGTCAAACCAATACCTATTTCGCCATAGGAAAGTTTCGGAGGCTAGAAACATTTGCCTAACGAGAGACTGGGCTGGGCCACGTTTTTTTCAAGTCGCCACTTGACATTTTGGGGCAAGAAAGAATCACGCATGTGGGCACTGTGTGGGGGATCAGGTCCTCCCAATTATTGTGCTTTGTTACTCTTTTCTTGCCGAACTATATCTCTGTGAACTGTTGGGAGGCAACATGTCAGATGGTTGGTTGGTGGTAAGCTCTAAACCCGGGTTTAAGGTCCAAGCGTCCCGGTGATAAACTGGCACTCGGCCGGAGGAAGGTTCGAGGATTGGCTTATTTTTTATTACTTTTCTTTTGAACGGTGGCTGCGCGGTACATGGCTTGTTTCCAACGAAAACGCTGATGTCAGAATAGGCGCTGCGATGATGAGGTCGACACATTCTCTCGATCCTCGCCCGGTGGACCTTTGTGTATGGTCCTTCTAGAAAGCTATCCTCCAGCACACGACGCTCCGCAGCCGATTTTCTAGCGGTAAATATGAAATACGGCTGTCACTACCAACACACCTTACTCTGGAAGCGACATACCCCGTGATTGTTGGGACATGATAGACTAGCACTGCTAAGTAGAGGGGCAAACGTCTGAGGCGTGCTGGGATAACCATTCTGTTAAGGACTCTACTCCGTAGAAGATGATCGAGATAGCCTTCATGAAAATGCGAGAACAACAGCTGTCTTTGATGCGAACCTGGCTGGCTGGCAAATTTTGCATCTCCGTCTGAGAGCTACTGAACTAACTGTTTACCAAGCCCCTTCAACTACATGTCATGCGTATTCTTGATGTATCCGCCGCCCGCGGCGATCAGGGTTTCCCGCCTTAGCTTTTTCCTTATACGAGCTTACTCTGATTCAGCCAACAGCGAATCTCCAGAGAAAGCTGGGCAAGAGCTGATGATCTTCATCAGCTATTCTGGGGCTGAGGTCATCCGTTGAGGAAAGTCTGTTTCATGGCTCATGCGCTTGCTTGCAAGGGTGGGCTGGAGTGTCAACTTGGGTTCAACGTCCATAGCTTCCCCCATCTGCCTATTCATGGAATTATGTAATCCCTATTTTTTTCCTAGCGGAGATAGTTATTATGATCATTATTGTTATTATTATTATTCCTATTCAAGGTAAGCAGCTGCAATTGATGTGTTGTGATGGTCAGGGTAATCTCTACCGTTCGTCTGCACAATGTTTTCGACGCTGAAGATAGAACAAGCAAAGGCCCGTATTGTTTCCCTTAGTGCTCTGATAGGAGAGAGTGGGGTTGTAAAGGTGGTCGCCGTAGGCTTTTCATTTCCTTTCACTGGTGAAGGTTTTACATATATGTATGTACTGTATCTATATTTTCAAAGTTCCATCGATGATTCTTATTGGTCATCGCCATATCGCTGCCGATAATAAACGGATGAAGGTTTGAATCAGTTTTCTGCAAATAGGAGCCAAGAGCCAATGTAACTAATGACAGTATCATACTATCGCATGTATACATGACGATGTTGTTCGTCAAGCAGATTTCCTTTACGTGATAGGAAGCCATTGTCAATAGCAAATTATTTTTCCCAGAACAAACTGTGGCAGCAGAACACACGGCACATGTAGGTACTCTGCCCGTATACTTATACTGTACTGTCTGCCCATCCCATCCACAGGCACACATGACCATTGAAAAGATCAAAACCTGGGATGTGGGTGGAAGTCTATTACCCTGCTGAACTGTGGTTTCGAACCTACTTCTCCTTGCCTATTGGTGTGTGAAAGGTCGTTGTACACATGAAAGACCCTTTGATGTTGATCGGACCAAAGAGCAAGAAATCTGCAACAACAGAAGCAAGTTTGGCTACAAGACATGAAGGAGGAGGATGGCTGGAAATACCATGCGCTAGTAATTAGGTCGATAAATCCCACTCAAAAGGGTTCACGTTCAGGTTTTACTCAGGCAGTTAGGGTTTGATGAGCAAATGCCCTAATGCAGTCTTTCGTCTTGGAGAAGTGCATTCTACCAGCTTGAGAGTTGAACCAGCCTGTCGATGAATGAAGTCAACCCTGCTTCTGCGACCTAACTGCCAATGAATTTCTCTCCTGTGTAGTAGTCAACCTATCTTCTAGACAATGCGGACGTGAAACCTGAACCGGTGGGCATCACATCCGCTTTTTGCTCAGACAGCGTATCTCGTTGTCGCATTTTATGCTGATAACGCTTAGAGAAAAACAAGTAAAAGCCTCTTTCCAACTGCACGTTTTGCCGCTGTGCTTCTTGAAACAGCCCAGGTTTCTGAGACAATGCATCAGCAGAGGAAAAATGTCGTTGATATTGGTGGAGAGACCTCAGCGGCAGACGAGATACAGGTCAGCGCCTCCAATGGTGAATGCAACACAGGTGATTGGCTCTCGCGCTTTGGTTGTAATCCCTGCGTCTGGAACGAGGATTTGCGCCTCCAGCCGCCGCTCACTGGATGAGGATGTTCCTGGATCTGATTCCCTGCTGTGGCTTGCTTGTCGTCCTTTTACAGATAATATTAAAATCAAAGAATAGATGAATGGAACAACGAATCCGTCAAATAGCAGCAACAACGACGATAACTGCCTTGATTAGTTTTTTTTCCCTTTTCCCCCCTCTTTGCTGTGGACTTGTCGTCGATTTCGAATTGTGTGGTTGGGTGTACTGTTAGTTATGTATCAACAGGGTAAGCTCGGTTTTGATAAGCCATTATTATTGTGTGCGCAGAGGGAAACGCTGCAGAAAACGGCCACGCACAGTGAAACTATCCCAGAATTAGCTTGTCCTGTCCAATCCGCGCCGTCGCTTAGAGCATGGCTCAGGTTGATGCCTGAGCGCCCGTGGGGCATTCATGGCCTTGTCATATTCCTGGTTGGCTGATGCTCAAACATTTTCTGATGATGCTATGCAAGCTTTAGCGACGCAAGCTATGCAGTTTGTGAAACGAAAAATAGAATGTACTGTGCAAATTCCGTGGACACACTTCTTGCGCCTCATCAAAAATATGCTGATGTGGATTCAAGCGCGCAAAGCCAGCAAGTTTCTGCTGCTGTGGAGGGAGCTTTGCGATTTCAAAAACGCGAAATTACCAGGTAACGACGGTGGGTGTTGGTGTATTACGATAGCTCAAGACACAGCTCACTGGCACGAAATATCCCTGCAGAGCTGGGGTATTTTACAGTCCTCGTACCAAAGATACCCAAGTGAAAGCCAAGGCCAAAAAATTGAGCGACCACCTCCAAAGCGGGCTCTTCAGTACATGCCAATGTTTGGATGTCTTCTGTTGCATCTGGAGCAGGACCGAGGTTCCGCCGGCCATACAAGATGCAGTGCTGGGCCGCCATGTCTTCATTATGCTTTCCTGCGTCCGGAAGGTTTTGGTTCCCAGCACCTCTGTCCTGGTTCGTGGGAAGTGTATAATTCGGTCCCGGGATTCGGGAAACATCTGCCTTTCCTCTTCCCCTGGTTATTTTTCCACCCAGTCTGCTTGTACGGTACGGATACATCGTACGCAGACGATAGCCGTGGGTTTCCTCTGTCGAGACTCCCAAGTGCTGTGGAGCCCGTCACCTCGTCCCATCCTACGTACGGAGCACAGCGGAACCAAGAGCTCTGTATTTATATGTTACAGCCTTACAGAGCGGTGACCAACCAATACGCACAGCGTACGGAGGGGGAAGACGAATTGGAGTAGCCCGTATTGGCGTGTACCGTACTCCGTATACGCTAGGGTTAGTGGCCCTGCTCTGTATTGTCGGGACCTAGGAACCCGCGTTGGGAGGGCGCTTAGCATGCTTAGTGCCGTGGCGTCGGAAGTGGAGTGTAAGATACCGTAATAACGCAGTACCGTTTTGTGGGGTATTGTGTAATCTGGGTATCCGTCCCATAAGCCGCAGCCCAAATCCTCCCCGATTCCCAGCCTGGAGCCGCTGCCGAGTCGCTCTGACGTTGGACCAACCACGACCTCAACCTCACCTCTTCTCCCTCCCTCCTCTCCCCCAACTGCTCGGATTCACAGCCGCCCCTGTTCAAGAGTAAATCTGACCCTTTGGGGATTCCGCTTCTCTGCAAGCTTCGTGAAACGGGTTTGGGATCAAATTGTCGGCGGTGCTTCAGCGACGGGCAGTCCTGGCTCCATGTGTCCGCTGGCGCAATTGGAAATCAGTACGGATCCACCCTCTTCTTCTCCTTATCTTGTCCAACTATCGTCATCCATAACATAGTTGCCGCCCACCTTCCTGGGTCCTGCGACGTTCCTGCGACGTGCTTCGCTGTTTCCTGTTTCTCTTGCCACGATAGACTATCGCTCCATGATAACCAAGAGCATTCATTCTTAGATCTAAGCTGAGGGGTGCAAAAGACTAGAGAGAAAAAAAGGCTGAGGGATACGCTGAACTACTAGGGACATTAACGCTGGTCGTGTAAACGGGTGTTGCAAGACCGCCCTTCCTTCGACCTTCTTCCTGCTTTGTTCTGAATTTGTCGCAGCTACGGACGATAAGCTCCTCCATTCCGGCAGCCAACGCCCCACCAATTGCAAGGAGCAAATAGGGTTTCTTCTTATCGATAGATGGGTTTGGATGGATTAATTTCGACTTTTGCTCGCAGCAGTGCCCAGTGCGTTTCTGGTCGCTCATAATCTGCCCATACTTTCTCTTTTCAATCGTTGAATAAACCTCCTCGAGTACCTGCTGGTAAGCTTGCTGTATTCTTTTATTTTTATGCGGATATGACTACCTCCTTCATTTAAAAGCTCCCATTTTTGAAACACTGAGAGAGTTCCATGCCATCAATTTACACGATTCTCCGGAGTTAATTTCTAATGCCCTAACGAATACCGTTTACTAATCCCCGCCCCCCATCACAGGTTTTCCTGCTATACGACAGTCTTGCGCTTGGAGTTAAGCGCTGAGCCCTTCGTTCAAATCATTAGGATAGAGCACGGCTCTAAACCGACACCCGCCATTCGCGGAACAGCAGTCACTTTGCATCCTACATTCATTAGTCTGGATAACGAACCGGAGAAAACGAAGAACGTGTCCTAGGAATTTGTAGTTCGAGTACCATGTTGTCAGATGTCATGACGAGCCAAACCTCCGCCGACTCCCAACCTGGGCACGAGCTCGTTTCGATCAGTGAGAGTACGTCTACCACCACCGGTAAACGTAAAGGAGCCGTTTACTCGGTAATTACTTCTTTGCATATATAGCTTCTAATTTTGCTTTAACAGCGCCTCCATCAAAATCCGATACAGCTGTCGACAGTGGGAAACAGCAAACTGAAAATTCCGATATTCCTCCACCAAAAACCGATAAACCTAGGCCTCATGTTTGCACAACGTGCGGCAGATGTTTTGCCCGTCTAGAGCACTTGAAACGTCATGAGCGGTCTCATACCAAAGAAAAGCCTTTTGAATGCCCAGAGTGCACCAGATGCTTCGCACGAAGAGACCTCCTTCTACGACATCAGCAGAAGCTCCATATGACGTCCACCCCGTCATCCCGGCCTAAAACCGCGCGACGCGAAAGCACCAGCGGCGCCGGACCAGGATCAACTCGGGTCCGCAAAAATTCCATTGCTAATAATGGGAACACCGGCAATAATATGAGGCCGCGAGCGAATACCATCAGCCATCTGGATCGTTCGTCGCTTGGGATCATCGGTGTTGGGAATCCACCTAGTTCAAGACCGCCTCATCTCACTCACACCAGTCACCCGAGTTTAAGTTCGATACCTGGTCTTCCTACCTACGGATTTCGGGGCCTTCCTTCCGAGCAGCAGAATATCAACAACGGCTTGACAAAACTAGATACTGGCATTCCTATGGACCTGACTAATGGCCTGCGGACCGCTCCTGTTCTTGGTAGTTTCAACGAGGCAAACTTCGGGGACATGATATTAAACCAGGAAAACAATACCATTAACCCTGCTCAATTACATTTTGGATCGCCTCACCCTTTTGGTAGTGACACTGCGACATCACCCTTCCATCAAACATTTTCGGGCTTGCCCTCACAGAGCATTATCGACGATGATCTCAACCCGGACTGGCTGCACGGGTTTGAGAATACAATGACATTCGCCAACGCGAATGAGTCCGCGATTGATGGTTCGTCACCTTCAGCCATGAGCACAGGAAGTCAAAGCGGAATCAGTGAAGTGATGTTGGACGGATCGAACCAAGCAGCGGTGAGTACCTCAGGTCCATGGTCCAATCCTCCGCTTGTCCATTCCCAAACTTCGAACAACCAGTTCAACCTAGAATTTACGTCCCCTTTCGCGGATATTCAATCCGAAACTGTGTCGCCTAAGTCCCTGCTTGGACAGAACCATTTTTCTGACCAGTCGTTCTCTGCTCGACCTACGAGGATTCAATCTGGATTGTCTGGAGTACCAAACAATATTTTTCATCCCCCATTGGTCACAAACGGAGATATAGGGGATTCTTCCGGAACAACCGGACATAACAACTTTGCACCCAATTCCACGTCGTCGATGTCCACGGAAACCATTACCGAGTCCACTCGCCAAGCTCTACTGGCTAATCTACATCAGCCTTCGGGTATCTCTCATCGTCGATTCTCCCAGCCAACAAACGCCCAATTTTCCTGCCCCAGCACAATCCCCCGTCAACACTCTGTTAACAGTAACGCATATGCTCTTCCGAGTACAATTGATCTCCAACGTTACATCGCAGCATATGTCACCTATTTTCATCCACACATGCCCTTCCTCCATATTTCCACTTTGGATTTTGATTCTCCCGAATACTCTGGAAGCCTAAAAAATCCTAGTGGACAACTAAACTCTGGATCGCCTCCTGTTGCTGGGGGAGGATGTTTGATTCTCTCCATGGCAGCCATTGGTGCTTTGTACGAATTCGAAACCGCGACATCCAAGGAACTCTTTGCATCTGCAAAAAAAATGATTCAAGTATACCTTGACGAGCGGAGAAAGGCAGACATATCTGCTGCACTTAACCGATCAAGCTCCCCTCGCGACAATTCCGTTCGCAATACTCCACTATGGCTAGTTCAGGCAATGCTCTTAAATGTCATATATGGGCATAACAGTGGTGACAAAACCTCTGCTGACATTGCGAATACGCATTGCGCTGCTTTGGTTAGTTTAGCCCGGGCTGCGGAATTGACCCACCCCATAATGGCCGAAAACCTCCCTCCTGATCAACTTGGATATACCCCTGGAGGGGGTGATATGCATATGGATGGTATAAATGCCCAAGCGTGGCATGACCATAGAGAATGGATGCGGTGGAAATTAGTAGAAGAGCGAAAAAGAACACTTTATGCTATTTTTACTTTGTCGAGCCTTTTGGTTTCTGCTTACAACCATTCTCCGCCGCTTATGAACTCGGAAATTCGCCTTGATTTACCATGCGACGAACAACTCTGGGCTGCAGAATCCGCTCAGGCTTGGGCATCATTAGGTGGAACAACGGCTCATCATAGGGAAATACCGTTTTCTGTGGCCCTGACAACGCTCCTTACCGCTAGTCACCGACGACAATCGGGCTCCCCGCAACAAACGCATTTTAGCGCAAATGCTCCCGGCGACGATCACCCTCAAAGCGATGTGAAACCAAGTACGTTTGGCTGTTTGGTACTGATACATGCCTTGCATAACTATATCTGGGAAACTCGACAGCGACACATTGGCCGTCCTTGGACGCCACAAGAGACAGAGGCAATGCATGCCCATATTGAACCTGCTCTTCGGGCTTGGCAGGCGGCATGGAGTGCCAACCCTAGACATAGTCTTGAGCGGCCAAACCCGTACGGCCTGGGACCTCTATCGGCAGATAGCATACCTCTCTTGGACCTTGCTTATGTTAGATTATTCGTTAACTTGGGTCGATCCAAGGAAGCGTTCTGGCAAAGGGATTGGAACGGCATGGCTGACGAACTGGCAAGAGGAGCGGAAATTATTCAACATGCAGATGACCCTAGAGCCGACTATCCTTCCCAGGACCACCGGCTTGAGGGAGGAAATCAAGCCGGCGGCAGGCGAGCTTCCATTAGTGAATACGGCGTAGCAGATTTGACACTCACTGGTAACGTGAATCAAGAACATAACATGCAGAACAATATTTCGCAGCAGCAGATAGAAGCATCAAGACGCGAACGTCATCTTCGAAAAGCAGCGTTCTACGCGGCTGACTCGATATCTATGTCTGATAAGTTAGGAAACACCTATGCTGAGTTCACGTCGCGGGAGCTTCCTATCCAAAGCGCATTGTGTGCGTTTGACTGTGCCCAGATCTTGGCCGAATGGGTAACTACAATTCAAGAACGCATTGGTCCGTATCTCGGGATTTTAGGACAGGATGCGATGGATTTGACCCAAGTTCCCGGAATAATGCTACTGGAAGACGAAGATTACAAGCTGATTCAAAAGATCCAAGAAATCCTTAGCAATGTTGAGGTAAAAATGAAGGATGTTTCGCATCATCCTGGTACATCTGGAAACGAGCCATCTAATTGTCTGCCCAGCTTGGTCGATGGCGGTTTTGGTACAAAGATTCTGTTCTCGACGGCTTACCTTCTGGACAGGGCGGCTGTTTGGCCAGGTGAGAATATCCACTAATTCGAATACGATATGTTCTTCATTTTCTTTTGCTAATTAAATTTCTATCCTGTATTATACAGTTACAAAATTGATGGCTCGGGCCCTCGAGACTCAGGGACTCCGGATGAGAGAGAGGGCGCAAAACTCGGTTCTTGCTGGATAATCAGGGAAAGGACCAGCAAAGCATAATACATACCAGCTTCTTGCATACTGGACATTGAGTTGACGTCGCGACCTCGATTTTTTATCATCTATGATGATGGGTTTTGGCCAGTACAACTACTCCTGTCGTTGATCGAGACAGCTGTGCGTGTCATCCACATTGGGGTATGGACCCATTCACGCCATACTTACAGAGCAGTTTTGGCGTTTTGCACCAAAGCCGTCTTGGTTGCTGCTCATGCGGCCGGGTGACTTTACAATCCAGGATCCCATAGAAAGTGTTTCCACCTGCTTAAGGTCTTCCGGAAACACTGCAAGTACTCGAATTATTACATCATAAAAAAATTCCCCTTTTCCCACTCCCCGCGTTCCGGATTAACGATTACGAAGATTTACGTCTTGTCATGCCATGGTACAGGGTTCGGTCTTATTCATCACAAATAGGCGGTTGGGGCTATACAAAGACAAAATATTTTTACTTTATTGCAAGAATAAGGCTGGTCTTTTCCATTTGTTACTTTTTCGGATACGGGAAACAAAAGCACAATGGGAAACATGGGGAAAAAAGAATCGAAAAGGCTGGGAAAGCATGCGGCTCATTTCATTCACTTACAGCATCGTGCTTCGCATTGCATACATACCTACACGAACACTTAATATTCATACATCGGGATCCTTTATGCTCGCTACTGGTGATGGCCGGGTAGATTTTCTGTTTTTCGTGGGGTCTTTTTTGTTTTTTTTTTTTTTGTTTTTTTGCCTTCATCCCCTCCCGCCACTCATCCTGATTTCCGTTTGCTTTGAATGTACCCCCCCACCCGCGATTATATAACACTTTCGATATATTGCCGATGCTTGAATTGTTTTTTCCTGACAGTTATCTACCTGGCGATCTACTTTATTCTCACATCTTGCCCCCACCCATGTGGTTCGAACCCCGACACGCTGTCAGTTAAGTTATGCATGCATGGTTTTGTCTACGGGAAGACTCGGTGTTTAATGTCATGAACTGATGAATTTTTTTGACTAGGTATATCGATGTATCATGTTTTTTTTTTTTTAAATTTCTTTAATTCTAATCGTTTTTCCCCTTCCGTCGATTCTTATGATTTTTTCCGCTGAGGTTTTTTGCATTTATCTAGTAGTTAGTTACTGTTTGTGATTTTTATACGAGTGTTGCAAGAAACCCTTTTTACCACATAAGGGATTGGAATTTCATGTCTTAACACTCATTCGTTCAATGGATCGCCTTCTTGTGCAATTGCTATCTCTTCCACCGCGTTGACCTTTGAGCCATTTGATTAATTTGACATCATCTGCCCATGGCCTCCCGGACAAGGTTCCTTGATTTTTTATTTTTTTATTTTTATTTTTATTTTTTTTTTTTTGCTTACTTTCCCCATTTCGCTTGTCCTCCCTTCTTTTGTCTTATATATATCATTCTCATTTCTATCTGCGATCTGATTTTCTCGAAGTCTCGGTAAAACGTACTACATTCCCCTATTGAACTTCTGAACTCTTTTTTCTTTTTTTTTTGCGTCAAAGTATTTTTTTTTATCTCTTCTTGTATGCAGATACCCCTTCTTTCACGACAGGTTCGAGAATGCAAGCTATAATACTACAAATCGTGCGATGCAATTTTGGATTTTTTTGGGGGGTCGGGGAGGCAATTAAAAAATATTGTGAGAAAATTTTAACTACTCCTTACGTTGTTAACTTGTGTTAAGAGGTGTAAAATGATGAAGGCCTAGAATATTATACAGAAAATGAAATACAGAACCTCCGATCAGTTGGGAAGATGCTCAAATTTCAGAAACAGAATGTATAATTAACAGTTAGTTTGGCCTGCCAATGCAAAGATATGCTTTACATATCAGTTCAAGTAATTTACTATCTATATATACCTTAGGACGTCGAATTTGTCTTCACTCTCAGGATTGACTCTTGAAGAGCCGTGATTTGCTTTCTTGTTCGATTTCATCGATGTAACATGACTGGACTGAGTGTAGTGATGTGAATCAGATAATTATGGTATTTATACCCACGTACGGAAATATTTTCATTTGATTTGTCTATAATTCTCAGGAGCAACCACCAAAGTATCCAAGTATAGATAATGGCCAACTATGCTTTCGATGGATCCCCCACCCACGTACCCAACCATAGAATGACACACTACCTTCCTTTCCTGGGAGCAGTAGATATAGTTCGATGATGCCATCTACTACACAACAATCCTCTCGAACGAGTACTTCCCCACCGCCTTCCGTCTCAAATACCCGATCTCACGCTCAGTTCGCGCTACCACCTCACCCGTCATCTTCCGGATCTTAGTCCTGCTCACCTCTTCACCAACCATAGTGGTGGATGTACCAGCTATACCCGCACCGCCAGCAACTTGCACTCGCTTAAGAGACAGAGGAAGCATTTGGGTATCACTGTTTAGCTGCCCCTCAGCAACAGTGACGTTATCAGTATCATATATAAGGATTTCAGCACCGTTGTGTCGTTCCTTGCGCTTCAGGCGACTGCCACGGGGTAAGGTCGGGGATGTTCGATCAGCCTGATTTTCCTTATTGTTCCTATTGCCCCTGCCAGCACCAGCGGTGGCTGTTTCAGCGTATCTGACAAATTCTCGCACAATGCCCTTGAGATATGTTGCCTCTTCGATGCCGACCAGCACAGCTGAGATCTCGGATTTCATGTCTGCGATTAGGCTTGCTTCGCTGTCCTCTGCACCCGCGAATGCGGCGGCGGAGATCCAGCCACTTGGCCCTATGGCGTCAATACAGGCGGTTAACACATTGACCATGGTGGGAAGGTTGAGGGTGGGGATTTTGGGGTCGGAAGAAAGGGGGCCCTCTGACTGTTCCATGAACCGTGAGGTGTAGCCCCCTGTGGCCAGGGAGTGGCGGAGATGGTGGATTATAGAAACTGTGTCGGAGTTGGAGAGGACAGAGCGGATTGCTTGGGTCACTTTGTGGATGGGGTGGCAGTTTAATTTCGTGAGGGATAGGTTTAGGGCAGCGATGACGTCTGTTATGGTGGTGTCAATCTCAGGAGTGGTGGTGGTGGGTTTACTCTGGTTTTCAGGGGTTGTTATATGAGGGTTATTTTCTTTAGATGGGAGACCAGCTTCGGTGATGTTTGTTGGTAATTCTTCTTCTGATCTGGGTTGATGAAAGCGGGCGAAGTCAAGGAGGATCTTCAGTGCATGTGCGAGTTCGGGGGGGTCGAGATTTATCGGGTTCTGTAGCACTTGCAACAGTAACTTGATTGAACGCTCATAATCGACGAGGGCTTGTACCAGTGAGCCGCTTGGGATGGGTGGCATCTGTTTTGAGTTCATCGACTGTCGAAGAGCGGTCCGAATGCTGTTGAGGCTCAAATTATGGGAATTTATAAGCCAACGGAATGTTTGATGCGGCATAAAAGAAACGACCAGCTTCGAAGTCTTTGGGTCAACATCATTGACCCTTGAAGAAAAGATCTTCCCAAGCAGGAAGGAAACCTTGTCTGGGTCCACAAAATTCGCTGATGACGGTAGATGTTTAGGTTTGTCGTCCTCGCCTGATACTGGGGCTCTGCAGAATGCATCTTTTATAACATTATCAAACTTTACGGTATCCTTAGCTTCAGCTAGGGCTTCAAGCTGCTTCTTGAATTCAGCCCACCGAGCAGCTTCGTCAGGTTCAGAGAGACCCACAGGCCGCATGTGATTCACTCGCTTTGCATCAATTTTTCGTACCGAATCTGATTGCAATCGAATTCCTTTACCAAGTGCATTGATCAAAAGCCCATCACCAGACTGTTTTAGAGACGCATCTCGGTCATGAGACGATGAAAGATCAAAGCCAAGAAGTGCGGATCCACGTATCGCAATGGCAATTCCAAGCTTCGAAAAGTAGGAGACAAAAACTATAGGTACTCTATCTGTATCTGATTTTGCGGCGATTGCAGTAGATATATCCATTAGCGAAAAGTCGGCTTGGATTGTTTGGTACCGTGCGTTATAGATTGCAATTGATGATTTGCCAACACAGATAACAGATTGCGGAGATATTCGCATGATTGATGAGAAGGTTTCATTGGGAAGAATCATATGAGACGATATTTCAGGTGAGTATGGAGATATATTGTAATTTATAAACCCATTATTAAAAGATAAGGAGAGCCCACTAGTGTTAGGGTGGAAGCTCCATTGCAGAGACTTGGGGTCGAATGGCGTTTGTTGCTCTTCGGAGTTCGGTAGACGAATAGCCATTAGGTGTCGCAATCGCTTTGCGTGATTCGTTGAGAAATCATCTTCTGCAGCGCGAGCGGGTAGAGAAAAAATGTTTACGTCGAAGTCGCTGGGAAGCAAGTTCTCTTTGTGAAGTGGCCGGGAAACAAGTATTAGCACTGAGGATTTGCCCGACTCCGTTCCAATCTCATCACCCATTACCATCGCTACGATATCCTGCCGCTTCTTAAACAGCGACTTGCGTGCGTCATCGAAAGCCACAAGAAATGCAGTCTGGATTTCATGTGTAGTGGACCTTTCAATCTCTGTAGTTGGAAGGGTATTCCACTTTTGAGTCTTGAGATCCGGTGAGAGCCTGCGAACCCGTCCATCTTTATGAACTACAAGTACATCGAAGGGATCCTGTTGATTCTCTGCTTCTAGGGATGCGGGAATGATGCCAAGGAAAACAATAGGACTTCGGGAGTCTTTCAGCTTGAAAGAGGTGTTGGAAATGTTTAACGCATTATGAGCACTAGCAGTCGACTCATCTAGGAAACATTGCACTTGATTCTCCGGCTGCTCTATGGCACAATAAGTTTGCCTTCTTGTAACTGTATTTGAGTTCCGAGTCGACTTCTGCCGCACTGAGCAGGGAGGACATGAAAATGAAGACTGCGGCGGAATTGCATAGGAGGTGACCAGTTTTGGGAATTGAACCTGTTCATAATAGGTTAGCGATGTATCAAAATGAATGGCAAGTAAAGGAACATGGCCCTTACGTTGTAAATATTCACGCTCTCGCCGTCGATAGCGGCCACGACCTCATGTCGTTTCCTTTTCTTGGGCCCCGCTACACCGTGAACTTCACCTAATTGGCATTTACCAGCTGAAGCACCCAGAGCACGTGGCAATTGGGCAAGGACAAAGGGTGCCTGTAGCTCCATATTGCGAAAAACGCCGTCCTTTTGATGCCGACGCAACGGGGATATAGACCTGGAGACATGAAGTTTGTCACTTTTAAAAAATATTGCAGTTTTTCTGCCGGCAATCGGGGCAATATTTTTCCGGAAGTCCTCCACGCTAGTCAAATCCGGCATCGAAGCTAAGGCAGGATACGCGATTTGGCCGAGACGCGGCAGAGAAATCGCGACGAAGCAACCCGGAGGGATTCCAAGGTTGTTTTCAACTGCATCCGCGGACAACATGATAGATCTCATTGCAGTGCACCTACTCCAGTTTCACATTATCTGAGTTTGTAATCCCTCTCAATCTTAGCAAGTCCCTCTTTTATTCAATCCTGTTACCATTCGGGATTCGGCTCTTGACAATGCAACAATTCTCGAGGGGATTGAATGGCTGCTATCACTCTTGAAAGGGTCATGGGACAGCATGACCAACGGACCTTGCACCCGTTCTTTGGGAAAGGTTGGTGGAATTCTGTGTCATTTATGATAGCCTGTTAACCTTCTCAAAGGCCCAAAAGATACCGACCTCCCATCGTCTGAATGCAAACTTTTACGATCCCTGGAGCCTGAAGGTAGAGTGCCGGTTAGGGAAGACACTGTCAAAATATTGATAGATCCTACATCTGGTTCAGATCGCCTCAATCAGAGCTGTGAAAAGCCTTCAGCTCGTGGCAGCAGAAAGAGGGACAAGCAATTACAGCTCCCGCTCACAAGCAATGTCCACGAGCCCCAACCTATCACGGGAGACGAGGATGTCAATGGTAGCCGGAAAAAGCGCCGCAAAACATACACTCCAGAATCTGCTGGACAGGTCATGGAGGAGCCACTATGGCAACATACTGTTCAGCAAAATCCGGCGCCTTCGTTGGGTGCACAGCTAGAGGCTGCTGCTCGCAACGAGGCTGATGCTGTAGAACAACAATCCGGGAATCAAAGCGGAGTCGAGTTGCCCGCAGCGGTTATGGTTTCGGAGGAATTACAGAACCAGCCATCTTCATCCTCATCAGTTAATATCCACCCGAAGTCCGATGATCCTCCTATCAAAACATTAAGGCTAAACCCAAACGGTAAATTATTGAATTCTCCAGTACGATCCAAAAGCACACCTCGGGATCCTGACGGGCCGAACAAAAAGAAGAAATCTGTTTCTCAGAAACGAAGCAAAAAACATTCTGTGTTGGTATCTTTGGGTTATGGAGCCAACGAAGAGTCACGTTCCTCGATAGGCCAGCAAATAAATGAAATAATTGGTGGTCGGAAACGGTATCCTTTATCAAGGGATGTTGTCTGCGATCTTCTCCCTAGTCATCCACCCCAACAATCTTCGAAGCCTACGCATCCATTTTTCCTTGGGAAGGCCGCAGCGCAGATAACAGAAGCGCAATGTGAACAGGGTGAGGATATAGCTACCGACCGCCTAGCATGCGCTCAAAATGGCCGAACAGCCGCTACTAATCGACTCTCGGACCAAGATCCCCAACATAGTCAACAAACCTCGAACCTGTCACAACAGGGGAATTATTCCAATGCGACAGCAGCGAAAGCACGATCACTTCTTCCCCAAAACATAGAGCCCACCGATCCCATTTGGCCCCCGAGGGGGGCTGTCCATGTACGTGGGCTTCCACCGAATGACGATAACAACTTTTCGTTTGTGGATTTCGAAGAGAGAAAAGCAAAAGGCTTGGTTGCCTCAATACCAGAATATGAGAATATCCTTTGTGTTAAATCACAACTCTTCTCACATATTATCGGGAGCGATATAAGATCCGCAGTATTAAGATCCCCAAAGAAAAAAATATGCACTCGTGACACATTCATGGGAATAGTCATGAGTCGACTTGGTTTGGCTCCAATGCCTACGGAAATGATTGGCGAAAATGTTCACCGTCAGCGAACCTCAATACCGTACACGTCGCACCCTGCAGTGGCTCAACTTCTCTCTTCGGTACGATCATCAACGACTGCTTTCGACAAGGGGGAATCCGATGACTCGCCCTGGACGCAGAAATATGCACCTAATGGAGCAGATTCCGTACTGCAGCTGGGTACTGAAGCCTTGGTTCTGAAAAGGTGGCTGCGAAATCTCACCGTGTCGACAGTAAGCAGTGGTGCTTCCGAAAATGATGGAAAGCAGACGAAAAAAATTCCTGGTGAGAGCGCAAAACGGAAGAAAAGGCGAAAAAGACCAAAGGATCTTGATGAATTCATTGTTTCCAGTGATGATGATGCACCGCCCCAAATGGATGAAATCGGTACTCCTAACGATGAGGACGAACTGGCTGGCGGAGTTACTATATCTAATAAAAGGACCGTCGTTCGATCCGATAGTCCAATCGGAGACACTAAATCGGTGTTTGAAAATCGTTTAGTGGCTAATTCGATACTTATCAGTGGCCCTTCAGGTTGTGGAAAAACTGCGGCTGTCCATGCAGTAGCCAAAGAACTTGGATTTGAAATTTTCGAAATAAATGCCGGAAGTCGTAGAAGTGCCAGGGACGTTGTCGAACGTGTCGGAAACATGACACAAAACCATCTAGTTCAACTCCTTGGACAAGTCAACGACAAGTCCCGTACCGCACCTTCACTCAAGTCAATGTTCTCCACGCACAACAGTGAACCTGGAAAGCAAAGCACCGTGAAAACCTTTTTTGGAAGGAATATGAACACGCCAGAGACAAAGCGAGAGGACATGGATGATGAGCCTGCGTTTAGCAGAAGAGGACCATTGCCGAAAGCACAACCGAGCCAGAAACAGTCTCTTATTCTCCTTGAGGAAGTAGACATCCTCTTTGAAGAAGACAAACAATTCTGGAGCGGTGTTCTAACGCTCATTAGCCAGTCTAAGAGGCCGGTTATATTGACATGCAACGATGAAAGGTTGGTTCCCCTTGAGCAGTTGAAACCACATGCGATTCTTCGATTTCGCCAGCCCCCACGAGACCTCGCAGTTGACTACCTCCTCCTCCTTGCTGCTAATGAAGGGCATATTCTGGATCGAGAATGGATATCCGAACTATACACTGTAATGCGTTTAGATCTTCGTGCAGCCATCATGCAGTTGAATTTTTGGTGTCAGATGGGTGTTGGGAGTAAAAAGTCAGGCCTAGACTGGTTGACTATGTTGCCCGTTCGACATAATAACCAAACACATGAGGATAATCGTCCTAAGATTGTGAGCACGGACACGTATGTTCATGGAATGGGGCTTGTCTGCCAGGACCTCACCTGTGATGATGATGCTTATGAACGAAGGAGCCAGCTTATGTTCGAGTGTTTAGGCCAATGGCAAATAGGTCTTATGGACTGGCATGAATCGAACATGCATCGGGACGAGTTACGGGGTCATGATGGCCAGAGTCGCCTTGAAGCGCTGGTCCAGGAAAGTCAAAAGGCTGATATGATGGCTAACCTCGATATGATTTGCAGAGGTTCTCCTGAGTCCCCTACTGATGTAAGTTAATTGTCAAAGACTTACCGCAGGAATAATTCTAACTTCTTCCACAGGATGTCTTTGACCTTTCCTGGCCTAAAATCACTAGTAAACAGCGCTCCACGTACACAGATGGGTATAAACTGCTACAAACGGATCTACTGGCTGATTACGCATGTCTGGCAACAAAAATCGGTGTCGCAATGACTGTTTTATTGGACAACTCCTTCCATGACTCCTCACCATCCTCCGACGAAAACACCATTATCCAGCAGACCCTGGAAAAATTCTCTTCTCATAAACCTGTATACTTAAACCAGTCCATTCTACGCAACACCTTCGAGCCGATAATCGATGATTCGGACCCGTTTAACGCTCCATCTGGCCGTCAATCCTTTTCGTTTGATGGCAGTACAGCACCAATTTCCGAAGACCTAGCACCGTATATCCGAGCAATTGTCGCTTTCGATTTACGGCTCGAGCAACACCGGCTAGCCCTTAGCGGACCCCTTCCACATGACTCCAAGAGTAGCAAAAGGATCCGAACGACTAGAGCTAGCCTAGCAGCTCTTGAAGGAGGTGATAAAGCAAGTGTACGCAAGGATAGGTGGTTTACGGGGAAACTCAATACTAGCAATGTCCTGGCTACGGGATGTCCGGAATGGCAAGACGCACTTAGATGGAAGATTCCAAGGATCTCTGTGAGCGAGGGCGGGAACCAATCTATGGACGAGCAAGACGTTGCAAGCTCTAGTGAAGGAGGAATATAGTTTTTTGCATATGTTTGAGACTACCATATATGAAAGGATAGATAGCGCCTTGGCTGTGTATGAATTAATGCTTTCTTATTGCTAATAGAAGTTTATTGACATTTTCTCCTGGACTATAGGACTAGTGTGAGACTTCAAAGCATAAAATTGTGGACTTGAAGATTATGGTAATTGGGAAATTCTCCTTTGAACCTACTAGTAAAGGTCCAATTTTATAACCAGGATCTAGGGTGTACTGTACATACATACATACATAACTAGTTGGCGAGCGAAGCATTCTTGTATATTGTAAATATAATTTAAGAGCTATCGCTAGAATGCCACGTGACCACACCTGTTTAAGCGGTGCTGCGCCTTGACCTTGCCCTGGCGTCTAGTTACAATAAACCAATCTTCCACCTCCATCACTATATCTCTCTCTTCTAGTCTCAAATCATAGCTTACTCTAGTTAATGATTGCTAACTACTATTTACAGTGGATTAGTACTCTTAATTATTTGTATATTCTTCTATGATATAGCACCTGGCCTCCAGGATAGTAGATGCATGATACTTTATGCTTATATAACAGGTCATAGCGAGTGAAGCATGCTTGTAATAGTTAATGAGTCCCTGCTTCTGGAGTAGTTAGTTAGTTACACATATTGCAGCGTACATGAGCGGCTTGAGCAGCTATTGCTCTTGATTCTGTGGAAGGTACCCCGTGATGTGGCTTATCTAGAGGCTCTTTAGCGTCAAACTACAAATTCCTCTCCACTGCCGCAACCACGCAGCAATTAACTCCGTCTCCACCAGGCAGCTTGATAAGCACGTCCTTGAAGCCCTCTCCATTCTCGAACCCACGATCAGGCTGAGCGGTGAGCATTTACAATTGACGTATATTGCTACTCTGGAGTACTAGCTTCATTATCCGGTGTGATCTGGGTAGGACTTAAATCACAACCAAGTAACCTCCCCCTCCCACCAAGAACCCAGCTTCGACCTTTCCCCCCTTGCTACCCGCAATATGTCCCTCTTTGGTACGTCTCCCGAAGATTCACCTGTGGCCAAAGCCACTTCTACCTCCCGCTCCAAACCATCCTTGTTTTCAGATCAGCCGGCCTTGGGTGCAACCTCATCAGCCGCCCTATTTGCCGACGAGGCACAAGGAGGTTCCTCAGCATGGAACTCGCCAAATCCGAAAAGGGCCGCGCGCCACGAACTTGTCAAAATGCTATTACCAGCCTCAGAGGTTCCGGAAGGGTACATTGATGCATATGATGCAGTGTTGGATTCGGGGGATAAACTTGGTGCTGGCATTTCTGTCATGGGGGCGAGGAAAGTCCTGCGAGATTCTAGTTTGAGCGCAGAGGAACAGGCTACAATTCTGAATATGGTCGCCCCTGGTGGTCGCGATCTGCCGAACGGGCTAGGGAGAGGCGAATTCAACGTTTTGCTTGCTCTGATAGGTTTAGCCCAGGAGGGCGAAGATCTCACTTTTGATACGATTGACGAAAGAAGAAAGAGTAAGGATCCATTCTTTCACTCGTTGAATGTTGTTTTGATCTTCTGTAAAATTGCAGTGGTGACGTAAACTCACGCTAATCGATTCTCTTATGACATTCTAGGACTTCCCAAACCTAGCATACCATATGTCGATCGGTTGAAGTCCCGCCACAGCACAGCGATAGCACCACCCGAACACGCAGTTCCTCTCCCCCACCAGCCGTCACAGCGTCGGATGACGCAAGGGTCATTTGGGGATTCTGATCCGTGGGGAAGCCCCGCATTGCATCGCGGTCACAATCATTCAATTGAGAATGGTATTGGAACTAGCCCAGGTGTAAACGGGTTCGTCGCGTCTTCACATTCTGCTACGAATGGTTTCGCTCACAGAATTTCAAGTACACATAATGCCCCAGCCGATTCCGCTACTGAGGGTGATCAATCTGCCGGACAACCCAGCGAAAATACCCCGGGAAGTGTGGCGTCTGGTTGGGGGGAGAATTTTTCTAACCCGGCCGGTGCCGGTTTTGGATCCACAGGAAACTCTGGGCTAGGGGGGGAATTCGGACAATCCGGAGATGATCAAGGAAACACCAATCCTAATAATAATATATCTAGGTCCATTGGGGGTGGCAGGATCAGCTCGCATGGTGTAGAAGAAATAATCACGATTAACATGCTGCCGGAAAAGGAGGGCATGTTTTTTTTTCAGCATCGAAACTACGAGGTCAAATCCTCACGGCGAGGAAGCTCTGTAATCCGGAGATATTCTGATTTTGTATGGTTGGTGGATTGTCTACAAAAAAGGTATCCTTTCCGGCAGATACCACTTCTCCCTCCAAAGAGGGTTGCAGGTACGTTGTAGGCTTGACTTCAAGCTTTAAAAATGCTCACGAATTCTTTTATCAAGTCAATGGCACTCACCTCGCAGCGGACTCAAACTCCTTTCTCGACAAGCGACGAAAGGGTTTAGTACGATTCACAACTTCGCTTGTTCGCCACCCTGTTTTGAACCAGGAGCAACTGGTGGTGATGTTCCTAACCGTTCCTACAGTATGTGATGAAATTGGAGACATTTTCCCCAAGCCATTTAGCTGTTATGATGGTACTAAAGCCCAAACTAGGAGCTGTCCGTCTGGCGAAAACAAGCCACCATTTCCGTTCAGGAGGAATTTGCAGGCAAACCACTACCTCCGGATCTTGAAGACTCCCTCCCTCCGACTTTGAATGAGACCTTTGAAAGAGTTCGTTCTGGAATCAGGCGTTCAGCTGACATTTATATCAACCTTTGTAATCTACTTGACCGCCTTGCGAAACGTAACCAAGGACTTGCCGCCGATCAATTCCGGGTTTCCAGAGCCCTACAGTCTCTGACCGATTGTACATCGGACACATATGCTGTCGACACCAACGACGTGCCGCTGTTGAACAATGGCATTAACTCCACAGCCAAACACCTCATCGCCAGCCAGGGGTTGTTAGATGACGAGGCTCGAGCATGGAACGACGGAGTCCTTGAAGACTTCAAGGCTCAGCGAGATTGTCTCGTGGCTATGCGCGATCTATTTGATCGGAGGGACCGCTATGCCAAGGACAACATTCCACAACTTGAGCGGAGGATTGAAAGCAATGAGAGGAAATTGAAAGAGTTGCGGGCTAGGCCTGAGGGGGTTGTTAAGCCTGGGGAGGTGGAGAAAGTTGAAGATTCGATTATCAAGGTAAGAAAGAAATGTCCTGTTAACAGCTTGGTTTTCCTTCCCACTCCCCACTCCCGGCCGACCAACGATCTGCCCCTGGTTATAAAAGTGGAATGAAAAAATATGCCCATAAATTAGTTCTACATGACCACACCAGTAACATGGACTTTTCTTTCTCTGCAGGACAAACAATCTATCGTCCAACAGCATGCGAGGGGCGTGTTTATCAAGGAATGTATCCGTGACGAGCTGCTGTATTTCCAGATGAGCCAATATCACATCAGCCGGCTGCATCAGGACTGGAGCCAAGAGCGGGTGAAGTATGCCGAGCTGCAGGCCGAAAACTGGCGTTCTCTGTGCGAAGAAGTCGAGGCAATGCCTACTGCTGAATAGAAGGATGGACGGACTATACCGAGAACGACAATGCATCCTACCACTGACCTCTGAATAGGGTATGTTTTGTGGGTGTTGATCGAGGGTGTGGATGTGAATATGGTACATAGAAAGTTTTCAAATTTTCCGTTGTCGGACGTGCTATACATTTGATCGTCTCTCCTTCATCGTCTTCATCTTCACTTAGCCTCTGTCAGTCGATATTCTTGCGTATTGTCATTTAACCTCAATTCCCCTGTTCGTATAGTCCGATTTTGATGTCACCGAGTGCCACTCTTCTTTCTTGGCCTCTGTTTATCTATTTCTGATATTTTGTTTTGTGTTGATAACGCTCTTTTTCAGGATTACTTGGATAGTATTGTCATTTCTACTCGCTCGTATCAGCTTTTTTGTCTTTTTGAGTGCAAGTTTTGCTGAGGTCGAGTCTTGAGGACCGGTTCCATCTTTTTTAATATTTTCTTTTATACCCACCCTACCCAACTGACCTATTTCTTCAAATATTTTACACAATTTACGTTCGCGCGCTCTTCTGCGCTGTGTAAACGAGACGATTTAATTGTACTTTTTTTTTGGAAACCCTGGGCGTGGATCAAATGGAACATCTGCTGCCTGGATAGCCATAGCATTCTTTCATTGCCTCTTATTCCAAATGGAAAACGCATCTCATCCACTCCCGACAATTGGTATTAATTATATCGAGGAGGGAAAAGTCGTAGGCGGCTAGCAAACTACGTGGCGGCGCCGCGATGACATGACGACATGAACGATATATATATCTTGTTGCTACTGATACACAACTGATGCGCATATTACCATTTGCGCTCTTCTACCTAAAGCATTAATCAACAGATAGCCGTGACCCATCTTCTCCATATTGCTTCCTTGATGGAACGAAAATCAAGCAATTGCCAAGTGCCATGCAGCGAGACACGATCCCACATGGACAGGCTGCAGCCAAGAAGCGTCCAAGACTGGTGGCGGGTGGTTTTTGCATACAGATTCCTGAGTGCCAAACGTGGGACACAACGTGGGGTCTCCCTCATGCAGATGCAGTGTGATACGTGACGGCCCAAACGGCGAGAGTAAATTCGTGGGCGACAATGGTCGTTATTGTCACCGAAAAGGCAACAACAGTTGAAGATAGAAATTGTTCATCCCGGGCGCAGAAGGCCTTGGCAGCCGCTTAGTTACCCAGATTAGGTAACCCGGCGAATAGTCGGTTAATCATGCAGTTAACTAACTACTTCTACTTGAACCAGAACATCTGCTTTGCGAGGACTCTCTGTGCTGCGCACAATCATCATCTATTCTTCCAATCGACAGGCGGACTGGTTGCATCTGCGGTCATCGGTCCCTGGTCTCCAACTGGTTATCCAATCGATGCAGCCCCGCCCGACAGGCCCTACTAGCCAGAGGGATAAGCATTGGCTGGGACTCGTTCGCGAATGATGGGGAACCAAGGCACACTAACAGACATCGCGCGGGGGGTCGCCACCATTCCAACTGGCCACTGATTGTCGCCGCCGTCAGCCTCGTTTCTTCTGTGGCCCGAAGAAGTGCCTCCGCTCCTCCGCTCCTCCGCTGATAACGAAATCACTTTACAGAATACCGCTCTCTCCTTCTTCTCCCTCCCCTTCATCTACTTTTTGCAAGGCGAGATTACCTTGCAACGGGGGGGAAAAAGAGAGAAATTAGACACCTCTCTCTCTACACATTCTTTTCTCCTTACTAACCCTGTCTCTCCACTTGCGGAGGAGCTGTGGTAGATCATCCATTCCCATTCGTTCCTCACGTATCTTCGCTCGCCCGGGTGCTCCCGCGTGTCAGCGCCACCAAACAGCGAACGTCGAATTTTCGTTTCGTGTTACGAGAAAACGGAGTTTTGGATGTCTTATTCTGAAGGATTATGTCCAGAGGCGTTTTGGAACTTGATATTTCGGGAAGAGCTGGCACACCGCCACGAAGGCTTGTTCTTGGCCTCGGTTAGTGTGCATTCGCAGGAGGCATTGGAGTTGCTGAGAGCAAAAATAGAAAATACTTGAAGTTCCCGGGAACCTCAGTGACGAAACAGGGCGGAGAAACAGCGAGTGGGAAAGGACGTTGTGTGAAAAGTTGGGTGCCTACGATTCCCGCTTTCACTTTTTGAGTGAGCATTTCCACTATCCTCTCCTCCTTTTTTGCTCCATAGGCGGGCAGATATTGAACCTCGGAGAATCTAGGTCCTCTCGTGCTTTTTTTGGCCGTTGTCGAGTTGGAGAACCTGCGATCATGGCGTGGGAACATCTAGCTATCGATAAGCCGCACGTGGCCTATATGATCCTGGGAGGGTTTACCAGCTTGTTTATGTTGTGTTCACTGTTCGTCAAGGAAAAACTATACATTGGTGAAGCTACCGTGGCCACACTATGCGGTGTCATTTTCGGTCCTCACGCTGCCCGCCTCTTCGACCCGATATCCTGGGGAAATGTGGACAAGATTACGCTGGAATGCTCCCGCATTGTGCTCGTCGTTCAGTGTTTTGCCGTCGGGGTCGAATTGCCCAAGTTTTATATGGAAAAACATTGGAAATCGGTTGTCCTGCTTTTGCTTCCCGTCATGACTTGGGGATGGCTCATAACGAGCCTCATCATATGGTGGATGGTACCACCCTTGTCATGGCTCGAAAGTTTGGCTTGCGCTGCATGTGTTACTGCTACTGATCCCGTCCTAGCGTCATCAGTGGTTGGTAAAGGGAAATTCGCAAAGCGTGTGCCCAAACACCTTCGAGATTTGCTCTCTGCAGAGTCAGGCTGCAACGATGGTATGGCTTTTCCGTTCATCTACCTCGCTGTTTACCTCATTGACTACCGACCGGATTCGAAGAAAGTGGCCTTTCATTGGATTTGCTTTACTATCCTTTACGAATGTATTTTCGGCGCGTTTTTCGGGTTTATGGTCGGCTACATTGGCCGTCACGCTATCAAATTCGCCGAACGGAAGAGCCTCATCGATCGAGAGAGTTTTCTTGTGTTCTACTTCGTACTGGCTTTGTTTTGTGCTGGTTCCGGCAGTTTGCTGGGTATGGACGATTTGCTTATCGGCTTCTCCGCTGGGGTGGGATTCAGTAATGACGGATGGTTTACTGAGAAGACAGAAGAATCCCACGTTTCCAATGTCATTGATCTACTACTCAACTTAACGTATTTCGTTTATTTTGGGGCAATTATACCGTGGCAGCAGTTCAATGCTCCAGCAATTGGTATGGTGCCGTGGAGGCTGGTTGTGATTGCTATTTTCGTGATCTTTTTCAGGCGGATTCCCATCATGTTAATGTTGAAACCATTTATACCTGACATCAAAACATGGCGAGAGGCGCTATTTGCAGGCCATTTCGGCCCAATTGGTGTAGGGGCTATTTTCGCTGCTATTCTCACCAGGGCAGAGTTGGAAAATGGCTCAACTCAACCTCTTGCAGAACTGCCAAGGCCTGGTGACGAAAACTTCGCAATTGTCACTGTTATTTGGCCTATTACGACGTTCTTGGTGATTTCATCCATTATTGTCCACGGATCGTCGATTGCCGTTTTCACCCTCGGAAAGCATATCAATACCTTGACCATCACAATGTCCTATACGCAAGCTAACGAGGACGGCCCTTCATGGATGAATCGGCTTCCTCGCATCCAAACGCAATCAAAGGCGTCAATGTCCTTACGCAAAGAATCGATGGAATCGGAGTCGAGCGGGAGACTTCCGGAATTCCCTCCTGGGACTCTTGGTCCGGTTGGATTTCCCGGGAATTTATTACGGCGTCAGAGAGAAGATGCGGAAAGTGAACCGAATAGTCGCGCATCTAGTCGTAGGCCTCCAAGAAGACGGAAAAGAGGTGCGGGTGGGCCGATTAGCCAGTCTGCAATTATGCCCCAGAGGAGGTTGGAGACCCCTGGTGCTCCGAAAATTGAAAGCAGAGAAGAGAACAGACCTCCCTTGGAACAACGCGAGTCGACAACTGAAATACCTGGCATGGAAGTTTACCGTGAAGGCGACAAGATAATTATCGAAGATGAGGAAGGTAATGTTGTAGATACTGCCGATTATAGCCACTTGAGCCCTGAGGAACAATCGCACATTCTGCAACAGCATCATCAGCCTCGCCAAGATCGAATCGGAGAGTTGCCACTATCCAAGGGTCAGGCGGTTGAGAAACACGATAGTGAATGCTCTGGCTCTGCCGCCGATGGGAAGGCCGGAGATACTTATGAAAGGATTAAAGAACGACTCCCTGCATGGATCCGTGGTGGCCGAAGGCTCACAAAAGAATCCGAAGGCGCAGGACCAACACAGAAACCAGATGACGGACGACGTCGACCCGCGAGAGCATATCAATTTGGAAACACAGTCATTGTCGAAGATGCAGATGGCGAAGTTATCAAGAAATTTACTATCCCTCCTGATGAGAAGCCAATGAAGGATTCCGAGGAGGCTGATTCTAGTAACCCTGCAGAGGTGAATCTTCCATCGTCCATCGAGCTTGAGCCCATGCGACGAAGGATATCCCGCGTGGGGACCTGGATTGGCCTTGGAGAGCCTAGAGAAGGAGGCGAACCCTCCTCGAAGAAAACACAACAAACCGAACGTGATTCGTCTGATGATGAGCGTCTTCGATTCACCGTCACAAGGCCAGACCTGATGACAAAGCCCGAAATGGGTCTCAGAATGGGCAAGCAAGATTTCATCAAACAGATCCGCACACTTGACCCAAAAACCCGCGCGGAACTACTCCATCACTCCTCCACTCCGGAACAGATGAAAGCCGCCCTCCAAAGGGAGCGTGCTCGTTCCGGCCACTTGGAACATCAAGACAACCGCGACTCCCAAACCACTAAAACAACAGGGCAAGAACGACAACAAGATGACACCCGAGCACATCAACGGGGCCTCATAGCCGCCTCTAGTGACAAGGGTGAAGAACCAGGTTGCTCCACTCCCCCATCCACCACGCGAAACCCCCGCGATTCCGAAGATGATGGCACCGAGCGAATCCCACCGTCCCAACGACGCCAACCAGCCGGTCCAACCATTGCCATCCAGACCGCTCCCTTCCCACAAGCATTACATGACAGTGCAGAGACACCGGCTGAGCGAAAACGCCGGCTGGCAGCGCTGGGTGAATTGCAGGATCAAGCTGATGATGATGATTGGGGTGGCACGGAATCTCCGGGCGGAACTCGGGGTCGGACTGGCAGACGTGGTCGACGGCCTGCGGCCCTCGAGGATCCGGATAGTGAGGATGATGGGGAACCCCGTACTGTGAAGGGCAAAGTGCAGTTTGCGGATGGGACGAGACCGGCGAAGAAAAGGGATGGGGCCGGTGAGGTGGTTGTCGCACCGCCAAAAGCGTATGTGGCTGGCTCGGGAGCTGCTTCTGAAGCTCCTGCTAGCGATGGGAACGAAGGAGAGGGTAACGGTGGTAGTGAAAATTCGGGTATGGGAGGTCCTCGCGAGAGGAGTGGGAATGGGACTGGCTGGAGAGGGCATAGGCCGCATGTGTCATGGGGCGGGGAGACGGGAAGGAATCTGTAAAAAGCGCTTCAGGGTAAGGGTATGGTATCTTCTGAGTACAAAATTAAATGGTTGGTCTGTGATTTCGATGAGCTCCTTCTATTATTTTTTTTGTTTATTTTAGATTCCTGATGCCCCCTTTGTTATGCCTTGATGATGGACTGATATGATTTATGTTGTGTGTGCGTGTGTTTTTTTTTCTCCTTTTTCTCTTCTCTTCTTTTCTTTTCTTTGTCGGCTGTTGCCTTAATTCTCTTTTTTTTTTTGCTTTCAGTTTCTTTTTTAAAAACTTTTTGCGATTTTGCAATTTTCGAGTATATTTTGTGACGAAGTTGACTCCCTTTTCCATTATCCGCCTTTTCCCCCCTTTCTACTGGTATGCCCGGGCTACTAGTCCATCCGTATGTGTATATGTGATGATGATGGCATTTGATATAGAATTGTATACAACGCCTCTGTTTCTGTACTTGCATATATTATTACTTAGCCGCAGCTCCTCGGTAAAGTTGCAGGCGAAAGTTGATTCTTATAAATTTAGCGCTGAATCCTGTATTAGAAAAGGTTATAGATAGTAGATTACATACATACAGCTTGATCATTGGACAGACGAACAAAATGGGAAGTTTTAGATGAGATTCGTTGATCACCGACCTGGCCCCTGACCTTGCCCCTGAACGCTCATGTCAGTTATTTTATATAAATGTCCCAACGTCGTTATCTATATCAAGAAGAATTGAAGAAAGAAATCCTTTTCCTATTAGGATGAACCATGATTGAATCCCAAACTCAAACTCCCTCACCCCGCATAGGCACTCATGCAGGCTAAAAATAGTATCACAGCTTGATATTAGCTGTTGAGAAATCGAAGTTTGATTATGCAAGCAGCTTAGGCGGAAAGAACAAGCTCAGCTGACGAGCTGAAGGCAGGCCGGTTGCTAAGATGCGCTGGCAGACAGGCATCCACCGCGAAAAGGGCGGTCCAGCCAGTTCAAAGCATTCAGAATCCAGAACAAGAACCCCCGAGCATCGTAAGGCATTTGGAATGGTCATGTCTTGATAGCCAATATAACCGTTGAAATCTTTCATGCAGGGAAAACATGGGTGACTAAATATATGTATTAGTTGGTAAGTAGGTAGTTTCATTTCATAATACACGTAGTGACAAATCAACCGATCCGAATCCTCATTCTGCACCAAAAAATTCAAACCCAACTTCGAGGGGAATGGGGGTGGAGAGATGAACAAGATAAACTTTGGTAGATGCAAAGTGAATGCTAGCTTATTGTTGAAGGCGGTGGCGGGAAAAAAAGAAAGAGATTCAGTGAAGGTCAAAGGGTTTGTGAAGGCAAAAATAAAGGGAGCTGTCAAACGTTAGGTATGCTTGAAGTCCCCATTGAAAGGAAAGTAACACATCTCAAAGAGAGGGATGTAAAATAGTTCCAGAAACGCCCGTTTTTATGATCGTCACGGATGGCATCAGCTTGGTCTGCAAGGGAACGTAAAAGTGGAAACCATAAAAAGATTCGAGAAGAAAATGTCCAAGAAGAAGTCGCGGAGGGGAAGAAATAGAGTCGTGTTCAATTGGACAAGACAGGCAAAAATAAAAGCTAAAACACCAAGCAATGAAAGATAATCATGACATCGATGAAGGAAAGTAAAAGAAAATGGGAACTAGCACCACAGAAGGAAAGGAAAGGAAAAAGGCCGCGTGTTATTGGTGTATTATCTTTTTTTGCAAGAGTGATCAGATCATAAACGCCTGCAGGAAATGAGAGGCGAAAAGGAAAGGAAAACAAAAATAAGAAAAAGCTAGGGAAGGAGGGAAGAAGAGAAGAAGAGAAACAAAAAAAGATGAATATGGACACGTCAAAAATATCGAAACAACGTGGCCATCTGACATAAAGAAAATTAATAAGGACAGTCGCCAACTTGCAGACGATTGTAACCAAAGAGAGGGGAATAAAAGATTATATGCGAAATCCTAAACCGTCCGCATTTCGAAAGTTATAGAACACCACCAGGCAGCTGTATCGAATTGGTCTGGATGGATCGTCCAAGGCCTGCACTAGCTAGGCCACCGGTTCCACCATCGAAACCTGCACTGCCAGGCATGATGCCAATGCCTCCGGCACCAGTGGTACCTGGTGGACCTTGATATCCACTGACCATCTGACCATCTACTAATTGCGCTTGCTTCCGAAGCATGAACATGGGCTTCCGTCCTTCTTTCTCCAGTTGCTTGAAAAGAATTAAAGGTCGCTCATCGAGACCGAGACATCGCTCCTGATCACCAAAGACAATGTATAATGCGTAAAGTCTCCAATCTTCGTTGATATTGTATTTTTTAAGGGCAGCCGGGAGGACTCTGTGACAGGGATCGTCCATAGATACTCGGAAAGATTTGAATATTTCCACGCTAGGGGCAGGTGATTCTCCTGGAGTTCGTGAGGCGAGCTGGTTCCCAGTGGCAGAGCTTGGTGGTTCTTGACGACTCGATTGAGTAGAAGGGGTGGCGGCAATGGATCGGTCAGGCCGTTGATGGGATTGAAGTTCGTCAGAGTGGTCGTGGATTCCGCGGTTTGAGCTATTTGATGCTTCCCTGGCGTATGATCGAGAGGCTAATGTTTGCTGCGGGTAGAAGCTTCCTGGGGAAGTAGGAGAGGGCATTCCTTTTGGAGAGGGCTGACCGCCACTCATAGAAGCAGTTAGATGTGACGACGCCGCCATGGCTGCAGCTGACGGATCTAATGAGTTATCATTGACTGGTCTTCCCTCAGGTATAAATTGAGGGACGTGAGTAGGAGAATTGTTTTTGGGAGTCGATCCCCCTGCAAATAATTTCTTAGAAAATGACCTAGTAAGGCTATTTCCAGGTTTCTCAGCTTGCTGTGTGATAATTGGAGTTGCAGTGGGTGGATCATGGTTGTGGTATTCTGAGTTGATGGTGGTACCGGAGTATGTCGAATTTGGTTGATAAGGCAAAGGCTGTGACCTATCTTTCGCGATTTTTACTACCGGCAATAACTCTTCACGAAGTTTGCGATAGTCATCCGCCAGCTTCCTGAGTTCCGCTTCTGCAGCTATGATCCTTTCATCTCGCAATCTAATCGATTGAATTATGCGAGAAATATCGTCTTGAGTCGCAGCTTCAGCTCCATTACTCTGCTCGGCAGCTGTAAACAATCCTATGTTAGAAACTTTGTCCCTGCACCTTTACTAGGTAGAGGCATCTGGCGCATGGTAACCTACAGAGAGGGACATAATGGTCTGCATCCAAGAGTATTCCTTGCTTGACTTTGGTTTCGTATACGCTCTTAAGAATAGTCAACCGATGACCAACGCTCGAAATACCCATTTCCTTCAACTCCTCGTGTTTTAGAGCGATAAGCGCTTCCCCAACAATTTCATTTTCTGCAAGGCAAGAAAACACGCAAGGTAGTATTAGTAAGGCAGGTTCGATATTGCTCCATTTTCCCATGGCCAATGTTGGTATACATACCTAGAAACGCATCACAGTATTGGCTCAGGCCTAACCCCGCCGCAAAATCTGCACATTCCTCCGCAGTCCATTCCGTAATGATTGTTCTGGGAGAACTCCTATCATCAAGTGTATTACCAAAGGTGGTTGGCGTATGTTCTGCGGATGGAAGCTCTGAATCGGTGGGAGATGTTTCTGAGTCTTCTATATGCGGCGAGGTGACCACGCTTCGTTCGTATTCATCATCAGCATCCGAATCCGCATGATACGGGGTTTGGAACGCCATCTTGGAGAAAAATTAAATACAATATCGCCTGGTAGGAGGATGGCAATGGAGGTTTGGAAGTGACGATGGCCGAGAAGAGTGTTGGGGGACCAAGTAAGCCCGCCACCCTTTAGGACGAGCGAAGGGAAGGATATCAACTAATCCCTGTAGATGACTCTCGAAACACACAGGATGGTCGAAGGACCTGTAACGCTTGCAACGAACAAAGCGACAAGGTTCGACAAGCTCGAGACAAAGACGATGCGAAGAGACAGCGGCCTTGATTTGGAAGTTTTGGCGTTCGTGGTGGGAGCTTTGTTGATATGGGCCGACGGAAACAAAGACGGATGCTGATGCGGGGAAATTCGACGAGGATGAAAGAGAGATAGAGAGGTTCAAAACATAAGCTGGTTATAAATGGGTCGGACAATGTATGTCTAGGCGTGGATCAACGAATATGCCGTCAGGGTTGAAGGAAGAAAGCGGAGGGAGAATGCTGAGTTAACGAGGTGAATCGGATAGCATACGACAGTGGCGGGTATAAATGGGGAAACATCGACAGGGGAGGAATGCAGCGAGAGGAACAATCTATTCACTGAGGGGGTAACGGGGGATACAATCGAGACGGCAGACAAAGATCGAACAACAAGTGCAGGAAGCAAGCGATGTTGTTGGAACTCGTTGTTGTATAGCACAACCTCGCCGTTGATATTTCGAGATCCGCAGGTTGGATGCGCTGAGGATGAGGAGCGACGGATTGGGAAGGAACGTGCGGCCAAGGTGCCATTATCACGTGGTACAATCCATGGCTGCGATAAAATATGCACGTGATATGGTCCGGACCGGGAACCTTCGGTTGCACTAAGCTTAAAATAGATCAAGACCCCTGGCGAAAGCTTCCTGATGAAGCATAGTGGGTCTATCACCTGATTGCTGTTCCTTGGCAAAGCTTGATCCCGGTTGGCGGTCACATGACAATTGCTCGGCATTACAATACTCCATTTGCACGTCTGTCTGGTCTGGGAGAAATATCTTCGAGAATACAGATTTCTCAAATGGAGAGTCTCCGCTGTACCCGATTGGCCAGTCCGTGATCTGTAGAACTGGTTTTCCTTCAGGTACCGTTTCACCGGCCTTGCGTCCTACATTTCCTTGGTTTCCAGCAGCAGGAACCACTGCCCCTCCAATGCCCTGGGGACCCTGGGCCTTGCTCTCCTGCGGACGCGCTACCCAGGGCTCTAAATGAGGCTATATATACTTATTTAGCCGGGTAATAATAACAAAAACGATATAAGCCCAAAAGTCCCCGCATTCTTACTATACATACCAGAATGCTGAACTGCTTGCTCCCTTGTCAATTTTCCATCGACTACACAAAAAGCAACGGGAGTGGGTATAAATTAGAACTAGACAGATATATTTTTCTCTTCGTTTTCAGGACAAGGTCCACTCCACTTTCGTGAAAGTTGAAACAGAGCCTGTCCAATTGATCTTTCTCGATTTTGATCCATTCCACTCTTTTTCTTGCTTTGGAACATTACAGAACTTTCGCTGGAAATATTTCTACTTGAACGCCGGTAGCCCCAGAGAGATGTTCCGAAGGTGGTTTTCACGGGACGCTCTAGATCCGTCTGCGCCTCACTATTTATTTCCATTTGTTCTGGCGATTAAATAAGGAAGAATTGGCCAATGAATCGTGCCCATGTTTCATAAAGATACAGAATCCTCAACCCCCATGCTAGTTGTAAATCGGATATTCGTGTCTGCGTACTATGGAAATCGCATTGAAATGTATTCGCTCCTCCAGGAACATCTATCCATACATCGAGTATTTCTCCCCAGAACCCTCCCTGCCCAATTATAGTTGGTTGTTTTTCGTGGTCTGATCCCCGGCTGCGCATGCGTGACTAAGCTCTTCTGCTGGTTAGTTACAGCCAGTCCCGGCGCCAAGAAATGACGTCCGGAATATCAATTTTTGATCTCCGCCCGCTCAATCTCCTCCTGCCCTCCGCCCGGTGCATGCCTTCATTCAATTCCCGTGCGATGCCATGATATGATATGTCTGCTCCTCTCTGTTGTATTTTGCTCCTGCTTCATTGCTATTTCCTCGAGTCATGACTTCATTTGCTTGACAAGTTTCCCCTTGAACAGGCTGGCAAAGAGAGATACCAAGGCACCACAACTCAAAGCCTAACCGTCAAGGTCCAGACATCCATACCGCCAACCCTTTTTGCTTTTGCCAGGTTATATATGTGTGGGGCGACGCAGGCTAGTTAGCTATTTACAATATTTGGTTGGTAAAATACTCTGTCTTATTTTTCCCTTCATTGCTTCCTAGATTGTACCGTACTTCACATTCTAACGGAGGTGTCATTTTTGCTCTCAAGGACGCTGTGCTTTTTTCCCCCGCCGCAAACTCGTCCAATAATCTAAAACCAAAATAGACGGGCGCTGGTCTTCCGTATTTATGATATTTCCGTACAAGTTGGATTAGGGGTGTTCACCTCTTACCTCCAGATTGCGCATTTGGAGCTCGTTGCTTTTTTCTTCGTTTAACGGCGCACCCTTTACAAACTACCACCCCGTGAGACCGCCCGCCCTCCAAAACCAAATTATACAAACGAGCTCTCGACCCATTCACATACGACACACATAATGCCTATCACAGCCCTCTCAACATCCAATCAGTCACCCACCTCATCCACAGACGCCGACGATCCTACCGCTGTCCTCCTCACCTACCTCTCTTCCACCTCCTCGGCAACCACCGTCCTCGAAGATCTCCATGCCTCCCTCCTCAGCTCCCTCCAACGCTGCGGCTGGACTGAACAGGTGCGCGGGCTCGCACTTGAACTCCTCCGCGCAGGACACTGCAGCCGCTTCGAAGAAGTCGTCGATACCGTCGTTGCTCTCGCGACGAGTAGTGAAGATGTAACTGCTTCGTCGTTAGCGGTGGCGAGAGAGCGGAAACGGAAGAAGAGGAAACAGATCATGATGGGCGCGAGGCTGAAGAGGGCAAGGATTGGGGAGGGAGGTGCTGGTGCTGGTGTGGATCAGGAGAATGGAGATGATGAAGATGGGAAAGGGGATGGGGGGAGTGAAGATGACGCAGATGCGGATGCGGATGCGGATGCGGATGATGATGCTAATGGTGGTGGCCAAATCGAGGGGAACTTTGCTGGGAATGGGATTATGGATGAGTTACCGAATATTCGCATCCCGCAAGGCATTGTTGCGGAGGGTGTTAAAATGCTGCACGAAGCCCTGGAAGGGGTGTTTGTAGTAGACGGAGGTGGTGGGGACGAGTCTGCTTCTTCAAATATCATCGCAACAGGCGAAAATGAGCTGAGCAAAGACCAACAGCCGCAGGGGGAGATCCACAGAAACAAATCAGCACCTATATCTGCAACAAATGGCGTCGCCAATGCCAATGGCAGCAGCACGGCGTCGTCGAAAAAGATGCCGTTTTCTTCTTCCTCGTCGTCGGTGCCTTCTTTAAAAACAACATCTAGCAGCGCAGATGGCAAGACCACTACTAAACTCAAGGCTGCGGCCAAGAGCAAGTTGCAGGAGAATGGAGGTGGAAAAGCGGCGAAGAAGACGAAGAAAGGTTGAGGGATAAGATGGATAAGACCCAGGGGAGGGACAATTAGTGTTGTTTGATATGTATGTTTTTTATGCTTAGCCTCTCACTCACCACTTTTCCGCCTTCGTTCCTCCTCGTCGTCATCTTCTCTACTTTTCCCAATATTTCTCAACCAGAATTACTTCTGCTTCCTTACCCTTAACCACCCTGGTAACGCTCCGTTGTACAGTTCTTTTAGTTCTTCACTACATTCCTGTATATTATGATGTTTCCTTGTTATCGCGACCGCGACCCTCTTTCCTCTTTTTTTCTTTTCTTTCTGTTGCCATTTCATTTACGCTCATCATTATCATCATCATACTCATTCATCAATCTCGTAGAGAAAGAAGACAATTTTCCCTTAACAAGAGAGTGGAAAAATATGTCTTTTTTTTGGAGTTGAGAAATCTGTCGATTATGCACCTTTTGTCTTGCCCATTGCATTTGATCCATGGCTCCTGTTTGAATCACTCTTTTATTGAAGGTTTCTTTTCACCATCTATATATATTCCCCCTTAATTTAATTTCCAAATTATATTTATATCGTTCATGCATTCACCAGGTCCCCCTGTCCTCCTCTACTGTATATATATAAATTTGGCAGCCTTGACTTTATGTGGCACTGCGAATTCTGCTATATCCATCCCCCCATTCTCTTTCATCTCTCCGGGGCCCCCACCCCTACCCCCATTTCTTTAAAATAGATCTTATCTGAGGAACGCTACCAAAAATAACTTAGATATACATGTTTATACCTGAGAGCTATTTATGAGTTACACAGTATATATGCAACATGTAAGGGTCCTCTCAAATACTTCTCCTTCAACCGCACATGTTTCTCTTCCCGGCTCGGCTTCCAGATATCTATCTCATCATCTTCAGAGCACACACACACACACACACACACACACACACACCTACCTACCTGCATAGCAACAACGCGCAGACCGATTCATATAAGATATTCCTCATATCATCTAGGGATAGGTAAGGGGTGGTGTTGAGTTGCTTTCTAAGAGCGAGGGATACTTT